ATTCCCTAGTTCAGGCTCATTTTCTATTTACTTTAATAAGCTATTATATTATAATTCCTTATTCTTAAAAATTAATTTAGTATCCTGAATCTCATTTTCTAGAAATAGTTTTACTATATCTTTTATAATCTCTATACTATGGCCTTTAGTATATTTATAATTCTTTTTATAGAGAATATTCTTATTAAATATAATATTATATATAATAATTACTTTATTAAGTATAAGGACCCAGATTTTATAAATATTAGATATAATATATCTAACTAAATATCTAATATACTCATATAATATAACCTTAAATACTCTCTTATTTTGTCTTACTTTATAGTCCTTAATTATTAGATATACCCTAGAACTATATATATAGATCCTATTCTAATTAGGCCTAAGATTAACTATTATTCGAGTAATAAACTCTAGGTTATACTAACGGAAATAATTATAGAACTATAAATCGAGTACTTTATTTAGTATTCTCTAGTTATTTATATATAAGAGGCTCTAATTATATAGATAGATTGCGGCCATAGAACTTTCTGGCTATAGCTTTTCAGGCAAATTAGCTATTAAGTATATTATAATAGCCTTATTTATAATCTCTTGCCTTACTTACTTAGTATTACTATTTGGCTTATATATATATAAAAAAGAAAACTTGATTTTAATATTTTCTTCCTTTACCTAGATCTAATAGGCTAATATTTCTTGGATTAGAATAACTACTTTTTCCTAATTATACTTAATATAAGTAATTAAAAGGTTATATTATCTATATACCTAGTACTCAAAATCCCTAATTATATTAAATACTACTAAACCCTCTTTACTTAGTAAAAGGTATCCAAAGAGCTTTTTACTAAATTCGTTCTTAATTATTAGAATTTAGCTTAAACTATTATAGCTATTTGGGTAATTAAATAAGTTCTATAAAATCCTCTAAAATAGTCGAGTAAACTTCCTTTTAGTTAGCCTATACGAGATTACTTACCTAGTATATATCTAAGCGCAAAATTCGTATATAATTCTTATTAGTCTATTAATTATTATATTATATACGTAATTAATAAGCTTTTATAGAGCTTTATAGGCTAAATATTCCGCTCTTGTATATTATTTTTCTTCTAAATTACTTCTCGGCTTAAGATACTTCTTTAATTTCTTATATTAAGCTCTAATTAAATATTCGAGTATTAGAAACATAAGTATATTACTAGTACTAGTAGGAATTTCAAACAAAATATTAAAGTAAATAAAGAGCGGCTTATATTTAAGAAAAACTAAATTAAACCTATATTCTAATTATATTAATACTATATTCTCTTTATAATTTCCTAATCTAATTATAAGATTATATTTATAATACTAAGCTTTCTTTTCTATTAGGCAAGCTTCGGAAATAATATTTATATAAAATCCTTTAATAACTATAATATTATAGAGAATTAGATCTTTAGTATATAGTCCTATAGGTCTATTAATTACGTTTTTAATTATACGAGTACTATATCTAATAATTAGAAAACTAGTTATTTCTGCTTCTATATAATTATTAATTTTCGCCTTAATAAAAGTACCAGAATTAATTAGATTCTTGCTATTAACCAGATATATAATACCGTAATTATCTAATAAGATACTCTAAGAAAGCAGATATCTTGAGAAATTAAGTATTATATAAATTTCCTAACCTGGGCTCTAAATTATAAATATAGGATTTACTAGAATAATATTAAAGTTCCCAGAAAATTAGGTTCCGGGTACCTTGGGCTTCTTTTTAGAACTAGTACCAGGCATTAGCTTCTCTATAGCTTATTTACTAGTAATTTTCATATTATATTTCTCTTCTAGCTAAGATTTCAGATCCTTCTAATACTCGGTCAAGATTCTTTCCCGGATTTTTCTAATCTATTTTTTATTAGGCTTAAATTTTATCTAAGTCTTACTTAATCCAGTAATCGTAATTTCTATAGTAATATAGCTAAGTGGGTTCTACTTATACTTATAGATTTTAGAACCCTTATAAGGGCACTTATAGTACTTATACTTATCCGAATCGGGCTTGCTATCTAATCCTTTACTAGTTTAATTCCCGAGTATAATAAAGATTATAGGAGCTCCTAAGTACTTAGTATTCTGGTTTTCTAAAATAATCTAATTAAATACCTGGCTATACTATTCGAGTATAAGAATTAGAAGCCCTAGCTTATCTTTACTATATAGATTACTAAGCTATTCTATTGCCCAAGTTAGTATAAGTTTCTGCTAGAGGGCTATTAAGAACTTAATTACTACTAGAGTACCTTTAATTTCGGCGATTTTAAAAGCTCTGGCCCTATTAAGTACCTTCTCCCAATTAGTAAACTAGTGCTTTAGGCTTACTCCTCCTTTACTTACTTATAGTAGAACCGAGCTATATACTCTCTGAGTAGTAATAATTTATACTATATTCATAGAACCATATTTTATTAATAATACCTTGAGAACCTTATGAATAGAGCTCTATTTACTCTTCTCGAGGCCCAAAGTAAAGTTTATAAGGATCTCTATATTAACTATTTAATAGAGCCATTACCTAATTATATAGTAGTATACTAGCTTATTTATCCAGTCTAGTTTCTTGATCTCATAGTCCCGTAAAAGTACCAAATAGTAATCTCTAATATCCCTGAATATTATAGGCTATAGAGATACTAGTTTCGATTCTTTCTTAATTATAGATCAAATATCTTTGTCCCAATTTTCCGTATTAACTTAGTATCTGGTATAGTAATCTTCTATTTCCTTTAGTATGAGTTCGTTAATTATAGAAAGAGGCCTAGGAGAAGCCGCCATATTCGTTTTAATTGCTTTATTATTAAATAGGTTAATCTTATCCCAGATGCCCTCGTTACTAGCTACTCTATAGAGAGTATTAAACCAGTCTGTCCAGGAACTACGGTTCTTTAGGACGACGATCTTTACTGTGGCTTCTAATATAATTGCAATTAAGCTTTGGAAACTATAGGAACTATAGGAATAGTTTCTATTAATTAGTTAATACCGGAAATGCGAATTAAAGTGTGATTTTCGACGAAATAAATTAAATAAGCTCTTAAATACTCTCTGTGGCATACTAATTAGGAAGCTTATTAGTACGAGGCCGGGCTTATAACTAATATACGTAAAGATTATAGAGTAGGAAGTTGTATTGGGTAATAAAAGAGTTAATTAAACTAGCTAGAAAAGAGCTTGAGTGAAGTGTGAAGCTTCAGAAAGTGAGTATACAGATCCTGACTAAGCAGAGTAATCGCGCTAGCCCCAATTCAGTAATTCTCACTATAATATTAATATTATTAATAAAAGTAGATCTAGGCTTAGTAATAGCTATAGGGCTAATATACTATATTTATAGGCCTTATACTGCCTTTTCTTTTAATATAGCAGAATTCTAATTTAGTAAAAGTAATATAAGGCTTATAAATATAGTATATTGGCCCTATAATAGCCCTATAGTATTACTAAGGCCCTGGACTAATAATTATTAATTATCGAAAAATTAGTATAATTATCTAATTATTACTTATTAAGCTTATTAGAGCCTATACTATAAAATATTATAAATAATACCAGAAATTGAAATAATTATTAAAATAATTCAAATTTAATCTAAAAATAATATTAGCTTTAATTATTTTATTATTATTATTATTATTATTATTATTATTATTATTATTATTATTATTTCTAAATAAATTAGAGTTTTATAAACTTATAATAATATATATTTTCTTTTAATTTTTAATAAAACAAGAAAATATAAAATAATATTTTTTTAAATATTAATTAGAAAATATTAATTAGAAAAGAGTTAATTAGAAAAGAGTTAATTAGAGAATATAAATTAGAAATATTAATCTTAAATGAGCCTAAAAAATTAGTTATTAAGTATTTGAAATTTATTTGTTTTATATATAATAATTACTTTATTTATTTTATATTTTAAAACTAGAGCTCTTATATATAAACTTTCTTATATTTTTATTAGAAAATCTAATTATAAATAAAGGCTTAAATAAATATAAATAATAAATTAGATATTATTAAAATTCTAAAATCTATTAATACTTTTATTTAAGTTTTCTTTTCTTTTTCTTAAAAGAAAGAAAAAAGTTATTTTACTTTTTTTAATATTTAATAAACTTATCTTATTAGAAAACTATATTATAACGGGATCTTTTCTTTTCCAGTATTTTTTACTAGTATATTATCTAAGTTTATATTACTTCTTTTATTTAATCTCTTATTCTATATTATATAAACCTAGAAAATATATATAATTTATATATAAATAATTATTACTATTCTAGTATTAATAATTCTTCTTTTATTATAATTGTTTTCTTATTAAATTACTATATATACCCGCTAATTCGAGTATAATTACAAGTAATATATATTATATATATAATTCTAATATATTAGAAGATTTTAAATAGCTATTTATATTAAGTAAGAAAGAGTAAAGTATTAAAATCAAGTAAAGTAGAGCTTAATATCGATTTGAGGAGATAATATGGCTCTCCGGCTAGTTAATAATGTATATTAACTATAATAGAGAGTTGGAAATCCAAACCTTTCTTTGTGGAATTATTTGATACAAATCTTCTAAGATTCCTAATAAATTCTGTAACGAAACCTGACCTCACCAAATTCATTACTACCTACCTTGGGGCCTTAGAAGTCACCGCTCTAACCTGAGCGGAGCCCTAAGAGGACCGTATTCTGGCTACCTTAAGAATTGGTTATAGCTTCTATATTTGTTTTTGATATAGAATTTTAAAGGTATCTTATTGCACGTTAAACTTACAAGGATCCCTACCAGAGTTGATTTGCAGCCTATTTACTTATCTCGCTCGTTTATGGGTTTTTCCGCTTTGGTAGCAAGATAACAGAATTGGAAGAAGTGAAATTTACTTTATCTTCTTCTGGCTATTGGCCAGTACATAACTTTATTAGAAACCCAATCTACTTATAATGACTTAGGGCTAGATGAAGGATCCACGGTGGGGTCGCCTCCTTTTTAAAGCGGAACGTCAGAATTCCATCATCTGTATCAAGCTGCTGCTGCCAGCTCAATACCGTATCTATTTGACCTTTGTGCATCATCATAGTCTCTGCCAAGGACTGGCCATACTCTTGATGGGCAATCGCAAATTCTAAAGTCGATGGGCAAAGCCGGAATTCGAATATCGGCACGCTGAACCCATACTTTAGACGTACAACAAAGGGTTCTCCTGTCCCTATCAGATACTAAAGATAAATAGTTTGCTGTCCCGAAATTTCGACGCTGGTATCCCCCGAACGGAAGATCCTATCAAAGGCCAAAATAAAGCCTTGATCCACAACGTATTCCCAAGCTGGGGGATAGGCTTCGATGGCTTCTATATAGGTTCTTGTTGTCCCTGACAATCTTGTGAGCCTCAATCCACTTTCGTACATAGTCATATATTCTGTGCTAATGTAGATTGGGATGGCTGCATCATTGTCAGGTTCCTGAAACAATGATAACGATATCGAAATTGGTACTGCGCCACATCTGATGAACTGTCCCACCATGGTAGCTTTCCCATCCTGTTCTGGAGAGGGGATGAGAGCAATGGCGATATTTCGTGAACCTTTCTCATTGAGCTTAGCGCAATTGAACAACCCAATGAAGGTATTGTCACTACCAGGCACCTTGCGCAATCTCATGGAAATTTGGAGGCCTGCATTTGTCATCGAATAATGGGAGATGCCAGCCCAATCAGGAGTATAAGGCACGACGTCCGCGAATCCAACAAAATCAGATGGTGAGCTTGCAAGTAGTTCACGGTTACCCATAGCTCCGACTTGTCTGGATCCCCACGCAAAGATGGACTGATCGTGAGAAGAGCTGATAATGGCTTCCTGGAGCCGATGGAAAGCTCTCGCTTTTTCGCCATAAAGCAATGGCATATTCACATTGAATATACCCAGGAGCGAATAGGCAACATCTTCTTCACGTGTAGTTTGCCGCAATGCCGCCCAACTCATCCTTTCAGCAATGCTGGCATCGCAGCATCTGTTGTAACCGTTCAGATACTTGGTCCCTATCCCGGTAATCTCAGTGATCAACCCATTGATGGAACCGGTGGGCGGGGAATCACGAAACATTGAGTAGAGTTTTTTACCCAATCGAGTCCACGATGCGTTGTAAAATATAACCATTCGAGGAGCCAGTAGTTCTTGGAGAGTCCAGCCCCTAGTCCACCACTTGCTCTTTCTGAAAGCCAACGTGGATTCTGGAACACCTAAGTCCATCGTATCATGGACGTCGGCCAGGTAGGCATAGCAGGCTGAGGCCCTTTCATACCAATTGAACATGGAGTTGATGGCTTCAGACAGTTCAGCACTGCTTCTTTTATCGATACAGCATGTGTCGATCCAGACATAGTCAAAGCCACTGCCCAGTGCTTCTCTGCAGCAACCCTCAATCTTATCCGAGTCGTTGTTGTATCTCCCTTTCGTGATTTCTTTGAAGAGCACCTCATCCTTGCCCCAAGTATGCGACAGAATAACATAAGGAGGGACATCCTTCTCGAAGAACTCCTCCAACCTCTTCGTCTTGGCATTGAGGAGCCTCATGGGTTCGCTTTGCGTGTTGCCAGCTATCGACAAAATGTAAGATTACATGCGTCTTCGAGTAAGGCTTACGGTCCTCAAGTGGTTCCTTGAGGTGGCGCAGCTCAAATAGAAATGGATTCCTTTCCCCAAGAAAGCGACCGGTAGAAGTGACTTCCCACAGCTACGGGGCACGCTTCGAGCCTTATTACGACCCGGGGCTGGTGTTCTCGTAGAGAAAACAGCTCTGTTGGGTGTGTGTATGTACGTCTAAAGAGGGAAGAAGAAGCGGTGAAGATCCACAGAAGAAATAGGCAGAAGTGAACCAAGTCCAGGTTAACGAATTACCGGGTAAAACACACGTCACGAAATACGAGAGAGATTTCTAGAACTCTGATTAATTCTAGAAGAGAAGCGTGAAGCTCGTAGAAGCTTGGGAGCGAGGCTAAATACTCCTTAGCGCCATAATTAAGCGAAACGTGTGCCTGAGGCCTAAACGAATTTTCCCCCTCACAGCGGGGAGCTCGAGAACTAAGATACAGGGTGTCGAGCTAAGCTAAGTCACGTGCGACATAACAAGCCTCCTGGTGGTCGTTTTGAGAGTTTGCGGATGTCTGATGGATGCTGATCCGAGATGGTTTGTGGAAGCACGCCCTTTCTGAAGCTCGACTCACGATGTCCTCAAGTGAAGGTTGACGAGGCTCTGACCTGGCATCGAGACCTAAATATAACCCGACATGTGTTGCAATGTTTTGGAGGTTGACGACTTGATTTTTCAGCTCACGCGGGGTAAGCACTCTATATATGCATCCGGTATATAAACTACAGTGTACCAGCGTACACTCAGTTCCAACAACATGGAACGTCTGCAGCCAGCACGTGATCCCATACACCACGACGAAAAAGAAATATTCGATCAATTCCATATCTGCCCAACTATCAGGATGTTTACACATCTCTTCCAGCACCAGTCATTCGATCTGATATGATTCTTTGGTAGAAAATTCACCTGGGTGTGGGGCCATTGTCCTCGAAGCAGTGGGACATTCCAGACCAGAGCTTGACTATTTTTTTGACTATTCCGGAAGTTGCGGCACTTTCTCACGTGGGAGAGCGACTATATTCATGAAGTATTGCCGAATTTATGTTTCATTCTTCGGTACATTCAAGCATACTACACAATTCTCAACTACATCTGCAACACCGCCACATCAGGGGAGGGATATCAAACATGCAACACTCCCAGGACCTTCCAGCAACCGATCGCCAAGCTCTTAGAGGTCCATATTACTCTTCTACATCACGCCAACTCCAACCCCGGACCCTTCGTTTCCATCTTCAAGAGGACAAAGAGGTCATGTCTCGACCACCAGCTCCTGAGTCTCTTCCCATAGATATACACCGGGATGGCCAAGAGCCCCAAGAAGATCGAAGTGCCGCCAAAGACATACATTATCTGTTCCGGACCGTTGGATTCCACCCAAGGGTTGGCAAAATTTGAAAGGCCGTAGAACATGAAGTTCTGCATGCGGGTCAGCTGGGAAGCTATGGCATTGGCAATAAGAAAGAAAATTACCTTGAATAGCATGTTCATGATGAATATCTCACTGCTTTGGCTTCGGAATGCATCGAGACCGTAGGCCAACGTGGCAAAGATACCGATCAGAACACCAACCATCATGACGCCTTGAAGGAAAGCACAGAGGATTGCATTGGCACCAATAGCCATTGTATAACCAAACAGAAACATTCCAAGACCCATGAAGACAGTCGCTCCCGACATGAATACGAGACGGAATTCTGGCTCACTGGAGAATATTAGAGCAGATCAGTTGGAGGAAATGGAGGACTTACTATACGCCTTGGTTTCGTTTCCCCATATACTTAACAATGGGGTCGCTAAACCAGCCGACAAAGATAGACCCGATCATGCCACCGATGAACGGTCCAGCACCAATGTATCCGATCTGCGCAGGCCCAAATTTCCAGGGCGGCCCGGAAAAGATTCCCGCGAGAATGATGGCCGACCCGACGTACCAGGCGTTCAAGAGTCCGGAAGTGATGATAGCATAGCAAGCGGCGGGATTTAACAACGTTAAGAATGGCCCCAGTAAGTACTTGAATATGTTGTCCTTGGAGTAAATACCCGTGTATACGGCCAATTCTTGAACGAATGTTTTCTTAGGCGGTATATTTGCCAGCTCCATCCCGACCTCCACTTCTCGATGCCGCTCCTCGATCTTCGCCAATTCATCCAGCTTTTCATTAACTGCGAGGTCGGTTTCGTAGCGAACATCACGGAGGTAGGTGGTCTCAGGGCAGAAGAGGAACATGAGTACAAATTGGACAACGAGGAATATCTGGAACATGTGGAATAACCAGAGCCATCCGAGACTTGCAAAAACTTGTCCGCAGATGATGGAGGCGAGTGAGGACGCCGAGTTCTGGATGAAGTTCTGGAATGCCACTCGTGTGCCACGCTGATGTACGAAGTACATATCACCGATTGAGGCGATCATTAGGGATTCGAAGGCGCTGGTGGAGAAACCTTGTACGATGCGTGCTGCGAGAAGGTAATTGTAACTAATTTTGGACTCGCCGATTGCTGTTCCAATGATATCGAAGATTGTGGAAGCCAGGAAAACGGGCCGTTTGCCGTATTTTCGACTGAGGGCACAGACGATAGGTCCTGAGCAGCCTGCCGCAAGGAGATTATAGCCCGAAACGAGAACAACAACTGAGAGTGGTTTCCCGACCTGTTCGGCGATGACGAAGTATGAGGCATTGAGGAACGGCCCCTGAGCCAATCAGCGCCTGTAAGTCGTGTAAGAAGCAGAAACATACGTTTGTGCCTGCATTCAGCATTGTGCCGAGACATAGGATTGCAATGATCATGTCTTTCTTCCACATTGGCCAGTTCAAGGGATCATTTGGGTCGTCACTGGGTTGCGGGGAGAGGACGATGTGGCTGTCTTTCCCTGTGCCATGCTTGAGTCCGACAAGCCGCTCCTCGGAGTGAGCAGCTTCATCATCCAACAGCACAGTTCCAGGGACATGTGCGAGCTTATTATCTGGAAGATTGTAAGCTTGAATATATCAATGGGAAGTCCAAACTGGTTGGGACTAACCTTCCAGAACACCAAGCCCCATTTTGAAGCTTGCCCGACTTTCAAGAGTGCAATACGAAAGAAGTTATTGAAGCAACACCACTTCAAACAAATTAAACAGGGAGAGAAAGATCTCTCATCCTCGTGGGAGATCGGCAGGTTCATATACTGGGTGCAGATTGACTCAACAGCCAATAAACAACAACAAAAACTCCAAGCTTCCAGAACCATTTACCCCGCTGCATCCCTAGGATCCGATGCGAAACCAATATTTGGGAGTTCAGAAGCGAGCATCGTTACGCGTTGGTTGGTGGTGCTGCATGATTCAGGACCCTTACCCCAGACACTCCTCCCCGCATTCGTGCTCGGCTGCCTGTCAACCCATGCAGAGCCCTAGGGCATCATCGGCAGATGTTATTGAGATTCCATCGATGACACGGGAATAAACGCTCGGAACCTTCAACCGCGGCTTGGGAATCCCGGATGTTGGCTGCATTGTCTGTGCTGACGCAGCTTGGCTGGCCTATATTGTACGACACTACCGAAATAATCTTCTTCTTCAGCTCGAGAGCGTCTTCTTGCCCTTTCCGCCGCGATATATTGATACCGAGATCAACAAAGCTGTCAGCTACAAGGCATGACCGAATTCATTTCCCGAAAGGAGCTGCCACTCGGGAATGCCCCTGTGTCATGTGGAGGAGGACTTCGCATCGGGGAGGAGGAGTTGGGGAAGCCCCAGCAGCGCTCCAAACGCCACAAGGAGCGCCACGAATGAGGGGAGCTCCATTGACATCTCTCTTTGTAAGATTCTTCATTTGCCAAGTGATGAACAATTGCTTTGAAAGCGGAGAAGTGGAGATGTGTTGATCCAGCCGAGACTTCTCGGCACGTCTTGCATGTTGCTACGAGCTGGAGATGCAAACAACCTGCTCGAATTTGAGGATGGAAATAGAACGTTTCGGGACTTGTGAGCACGACTACACTGTACGGTACGGCAAGCTCTGTCTGCCATGCACGACGCTGCGTTGCGCCTCACTTGAGAAACATAGGGCCCAATGATTTGATTTTGCGCCCAGCTCCGTGGTACTCTGGCAGCCTGGGAGGGCACAGCAGAAAATCGTGTGACAAGATGAGTTTCGCAGCCTTTGCGCTCCGTGGAGTCGTGGACTATTGATGCTGACTTCTGGGAACATGGCTTGCCTCGAGATTTCTTGCCCCTGACGAGTAATTACCCGGCAAACGCGTGAGTCAGGTCCCTTGAACGTCAACGTCAACGTCTCTACTGCATCTTCAAGATCCCGACTGCACACCGAAGTCATGACCCTCCAGGTGCTGCCCGATGAGTTGCTCGTCCAGATCTCCAATCACTTGGAGTTTTCGACACACCTCTCAAATCTTGTACTGTGCTGCAGACGCTTCTACCGCCTCGCCAACCCAGCGCTTTATTCCAGTTTCAGTGATCATAGAGGGCCGCTGCAAATACTGAAATTTCTGTCAACGATAATGGCGCGGCCGGATCTAGCACCCTATGTCAAGACTTTCATCAGCTCTGGCCCGCACTCGCATTGGGAAGAGACCACACTTTTATGGTAGATGCCATGAGCATCACACTGAAAGCAGAGCTGGCGAAGATCTGCGGAAATGAGCGTCAGAGGGGCGGATGGTACGACGCGATATCTGGCTGTAAAGGACAAGTTGGTGCTTGGGAAGCGGTCGTTGCAATGTTTATGCTGCTTCTCCCAAACCTCTCAAAACCTAAGCCTTCCTTATTACCATGATACAGGAGAAGACCTGAAATGCATTCCCGCGGTAGTTGCTCGTGCGGCACAGCTCCAAGACTCGAACATTCTGTCACCATACGCTTTGAAGAATCTCCGCAACATCGAACTTGGCATTTTATCTGACGACGAGGGAGCAGTAGATTGGTCATAAAAGACTTTCTTCCCACTCAAATCTCCAGGAGCATAGCCTCGGCACACAACTTCTACAACGACTTCTACAAACAGAATATCCCAGCTATCCCAGGGGCTTTTCCACATGCGACCACTTTTCGCTTCAAAGATCCGATATGTCTCCCCTTGTGTTCCGAACTCTCCTCAAACCTTTCCCCAACGTCACGCATTCGACGTACAGCAACTGCGGCGAAGCAGAGCCCCCATTCTCGTTCTATCCACATGAAATGAGGTTGAGAATCATCCACTCGCAGCCGTCGCTGCAGGAGCTGACCATCATAAACACCCAAGAAGAGATCGAGACAGTGGACTACCTGATGGGGGAGAATGAGGGTTTGCCGCTTGGGTCTTTGGTGAAGTTCCATAACTTGCGTCGGCTTGAAGCTATGGTACGCACTCTCGTGGGGAGGAGACCAGGGGATCCTGGTTTCGACTCCAGCTTGCCGAAAGACTTACAGACGGGCCCTCGTGTTTGTGAGAATACTCGGTTTGCAGAAAGCTTGCCAGAGGAGTTAGAGTTGGTCCTTAAAGCCTGTTTGATTCTTTGCGGTGGTGAAGGTGTTGTTCGAGAGGAGCCAACAAGGCGCATTGAAGAGCATGAAAGTGATCACACTTGTCTTTGCCTATGGTATCTCTCTAGACGAAGTTGCGGAGGAAGGGTCGAGGTGCGTGGCTGAGGGCCAGAAGTTGGGCATCGTGGTAAGTAGACATAAGGGAGAATATCCGGGTTCTGAGTAAGTTCGTTGAATATCCAATGCCCGTCTTTTTACAGGAACTTACATCCAATTAGCGATCAAGCTGATGAACTGCAAGGCATATGAGCAATTTCTGATATGGTAGGAGTGCCGAGGGCGTGTCAGAGTATGTGAACAGACTTGAGGGTGAATCTCAAGATTTTTGGATTTGTTGCACATCGCTTCAATGTACCAAAAGTCTTGGGACATTGAGATTGTCCTTGGAGTAGAGAGTGAATCTCTGAGTCAAGGTTTTGGACCACCCAGGGAATGGTGAATCAGTTTTTGCTTCATATCTCGCTCAATGTTTCCCATTTTCTGGGACATCTTATGTCGAATCGAAGTTCGATTCTCGTCTCGCATTTTCAACGCTTGAGAGAGCACCACAGCAGAATGCAGAGGGAACTTGGGGAGGGGAAGTGAGTTTCCCTGGCGACGGTGAACATAGGGTGGCGTTCTGTGGCTTTCATCTCAAGCGAGATGCGACCCTTCGGACCACGTTTCAGACATTTAACATCCGAATTAACTTCTTCACCTTCCTCTTTCCTTTGAATTCCAAATCAACTCTCTTGAACCTCCAGTATGGCTTTCAGTAAGCTTCCTGAAGAGCTGAAAATACAGGTGTTCCCCCAGCTTAGAATCCAGAAAAGGGGCATGTTGGAATGGGACTACCCCGAGTCATTGCTCAATGCAGCCCTTTGCTGTCACACTTGGAACGAACTTGTCGCGCCAACCCTTTACTCGACATTCGTCGAGAAAGAGTCGAATACGGCCAAGTTTATTCACACGATCTTGGAGCGGCCAGACTTGGCATCCTATGTCAAGATCTATTCGAGCAATTTTCCATGGATTGATCCCCTCAAGCCCGAGCTACTCGAGCCGCACCGCGTCAAAATCGAGGATCTGATTGCGACAGCATGCGCGGAAAAGGGGCAGAGGGAGCTTTGGTACGAGGCAATGTTCAGCCCCTACCCTTCTTCGCACCCAATTGTCGCATTGGTCCTGTTACTCCTACCCAACCTCTCAACATTGGAATTTTTCAAGGAGACACCAATGGGCATCTACACAACCCTCGTTTTCTCCAAAACGGCTCAGCTACAACAATGTGACCTACGAGCACCGTATTGCAACCTTCAATACGTTCAATTAGCTAGGTTCTCCGAAGTGACGAACTTCTTTGAATTCATCGAGCCATTCGTTCGACTTCGGTCGCTAAAAACTTTTACTTTTGAGAATGCAATAATGTGGGAGGATATTTATAAGGGCATCGAAGTCGTCGCACCGCACATCACCCGTCTATCTTTCCTACGAACCGACATCCACCCTCACGCATTGGCACCTCTCCTTGAGCGTTTCCCAAACCTCACCTATTTCTCATATGTCTACAGCAGTAATACTAGCGACGGGATCCACTATCCTTACGTCAACTGCTCTGTCAGAGACGCAATTATGCATCTGCAGCAATCTCTCGACGAGTTGATAATCGTGGACCGAGAGAAAGACCCAGTCGAGGAATGGGAACGTAACTGGAATGAGGAATTGCACGAGGAAGTTGTCATCTCTCAAGAAATCGAGCCGCGTTCCTTGGCCTTCGGGTCTTTGACTGGATTTGTCAAACTGCGTCGGCTCGAAGTTACGGTTTTCACGCTCACAGGACCAATTCCACGTGCGGTGTTTAATGAGGGAGCCACTGCTGTGGCGCAATTCAGGCTTGGGCAGGCGGCGCGACTTGTGGAGAGCTTGCCGAAGTCGTTGGAGAGGCTGGTTTTATGGAATTGCACTGAGGTGAAGAGAGGGGCAGAGAAGTTTTTGTTTGACAGAAGACGGCGGGGTGAATTGCGAAAGTTGAAGATGGTGGAACTGGTCTTTTCAGAAAGATTTGATGTGGAAGACGGACTCTGGTGGCAGACTGAGGGGGAAAAGTTGGGGTTGGTTGTGACTGTACGGATGGATAGAGGCAAGGACTATGATGGACCAAATTGCTATTGAAGATGACACCAGTGAAACTTGGAACTTGAAGCTTAATTTGGGACATTGACAATGAGATCCAGCATTCGTGCCCTCCTTGAGCCGGCATTGAAAGGCATCTATATAGAGAAATATAATCACGTGATCTTCATTCAACAAACCCAAAGATCTTGGAAGAACCAGTTATGGAGAACTATACGGATACGATCTATGCAGTGATGGCGGTGCTGTACGACAACAAATGAGCAGGAATATTGTAGAAGCTGAGCGCTGTGAAACTAGTTTTGCAATGGGCCATGAGAGAAGGTTTGGTGGAAGTAGAATATTGTATGGAAGATGGGAAACGTTGGGAATTATGCTTAAAATTGTAGTACCAGACAATGTTCCATAGTACAAAATCGGTCAAACACTCCGACTCTTTCCCTGACATAACATCCAAGGGCCTACCATGAACGCCACTGGATCCAACCAGGCAAAGATATACAACATGGAACGCCTCAATTTGGAGTCATCACGTGATGACTTCGTCACAGGCAACCACTCGCCAGCTCTTATCTCATCTCACAAACACAGACAACTCCACGCTTAAACAGGATTCAGAGCCCAAAGCTCGAACAAAGGGACCAAAAATCCATTTTCTGCGGCAACTTTAGCACTTACAAGGTTTACGTTGCACTTGATCGTGGAGAGGATTAGAGCCTATCGCCTCATGCAGGAGCTTGGGAACGGAAGCCGCAAACGAGGCAGCAACGCTGCTACGACTCACCGAACCAACTCAAACTCATCCATTTCATCGAACCCCTTCCCATATTATACTGTTGCAAGCTCGCAATTCTCAGCACTCATCGGGTTCGCCCCAGAACCATGACGCTCAACAAACTTCCCGATGAGCTGGTACTACGCGTTGTCTACCAATTAGACTCCCCAAAAGACCTTTCAAATTTGGCTCTCTGCAGTCACCACCTTCATGCTATCGCTATCCCGATATTGTACTCATCATTTGCGGAGAACCAATGTCAACAAACGTGGGCGTTCCTTTGCACGCTTTTGAAGCGGCCAGACCTAGCGCGCTTCGTCAAGTCTTTCACCAGCACCTCATGGAGCGTCTATTGGTCCCCACCTGATTCGCTCGATCGTAATCGGGACGATGTGAAGGACATACTCGAGATGGTATTTGCAACCAGTGAAGATAAGAGCGAGAAAAATCTCTGGCTTTGGGACTTCTACTCTGAGGAAAATTGGGATGCAGTCACCGCATTCGTTCTCCTTCTCCTACCGAACATTACGAGCCTCAAACTACCAGACTATCCGAGGCTCTCAACTTGGGTTTCCAAAGCTCTCCACCGAGCCTGCAAATTTCAGGACTCGAATACATCCTCACCATATTCTCTGTCTCACCTGCGTGATGTGGAGCTCGCCGCTGATTACTTTGCTAGCGGGGATGTGTTCGCGGACATGGTCATGCCATTCTTGCCGCTCCAGTCTTTGAGACGCTTCACCTGTGCCGGCTTATGGTTGGGACAACGCAACATTGAAAGTCTCAGAGGGAACGTCACCCACTTTTCACTTCCTTCTTCTGACGTCAACTCATTGGTATTCGCCGAACTTCTCAAGTGCTTGCCCCGTCTCGTACATCTTACCTATTGTCACAATTGGGTCGATGTCGAGGAAGAAGGGGCTGCTCAGCCTTTTATACCGCGCGCCATACGGGATGGACTCATGCCATCGAGATTTTCCTTGGAAGAATTAGTTCTTGTCAATCATGAGGAAGAATGGGAGGACTTTACCTTTGAAGTAGTACCACTGCCTCTGGGATCATTGACAGAGTTCGAGAAATTACGCAAAATTGATGCTACCGTGTACACTCTTGTGGGACGAGAAAAATCACACCAATACGGCAATGTACAATTCGTCGAATCCCTGCCCCAGTCGCTCGAGATATTGGTGTTGCGAAATTGCGAGCCAGACATTTGGTCGTTACTCCACGTATTGCTTGACAAAAGACGAAACGGATGTTTGGGGAAGCTGAGGATCGTGAATCTGGTATCACGAACTAAGGCGTTTATGGATCTATCTGCGAGTCGGGAAGCTGCAAAGAAGTATGGGGATGAGGCCGAGGACTTGGGAATTTTGCTGAACATAGTTGTTGGCTTGCCAGTTGGCGAGGTTGCTCTGATTGGAGGTTTCCGCCCTGTCACTTCCCAGTGAAATTTTCAATTAAAAGCACTTTACCAATAGCCGGCGGCTCTTGACGAGGTTCGTGGAGTTGTGTACACTTTATAAAAGTATGGAAAAACATGGACAAAACAACTCGGACCACAAACCAAGCAATGGAACCTCAACGAGAGACAGCAGGTAACGTGATGACTCACTCTCCCCATCACGTTCGTTCCCTTCTTCCAAACGAAGTTCGAAAACAGCGAGGTTATACTGACAACCCCGCGCGGGGTAAAGTAACATTCACGATCTTCAACATGTGAGATGATCGACACTTCGACATCGTCACATCCTCGCATCGCTCGCATCATCTGCAGTACTTTGAGTAGATTTTGAATGTCTCCATGGTACTCTGCCTCGGCAGTGCGCGCCGTGAACGTGTGATAACGTTACTGTACTACTGTGCCATGTGCTGGGGGGTATCTTTTGGTCGGATTTCCTGTGGTCCGACTGGTGGAACGGCGCAAATGGCGTCCAACTCAATTGATTCAGGACCCTGCCCCGACCCTAGCACGGCCCAGTCGAGGCCCCGTTTCTGGCATGAGCTCGGCGGCAACCCCAGCCCCTTTCCGGGGGTGGCACGCTCGAGGCGGCCCATTCTTACGGAGCTATCACCTTAACGGCAAGGCTTTAAAATGCGAATATCGAAACTCTGTTGTGAAACCTCCAATAGCCCTTCTGCCACGAGCCATCCAACCTAGTAGCCACGGGCCGACCAGGTTCGGTTCCCATTGCGGGGGATGTTTATGACATTCGCAATCTCCCGAGCCTCAGTTCGAACAATGCTGGTTCTTTCCTTCCTTCCTGTTTGCTTTTCGACATTCCTCCGAAGATGGTGAGAAGATGAAGCTATTGCGAACTTCGAGCCTGTTGTGGCTGGCGACACTTGTTTCTCGTGGCTGGGCGATCTCTCTCCTTGAGGTGCTGCAGGGCTATCCTCAGTTGAGCAGCCTTTACACTTTGGTCAATTCCTCATCAAACGCGACTGCATTGCTGGCAAACGCCAACAACTTCACATTCCTTGCGCCGAGCAATGATGCTATTTCGAAATTCAATGCCCAGAACCCAGGTGTTCTGAACGGTACTCAGATACTACCGAATATCCAGTATGGACTTCTCAAAGGCGGGTATCCGACGCTCTCGATCTCAAGCACGCCGCAATTCATCCAGAGCAACTTGTCTGACTCCACATATGCCAACGTCACCGGGGGACAGGCAGTTGAGCTCGTCTTAGGAAGTGATGGCACGCCTGAGGCGATAACAGGGAATCGAAGCATCAGCACTTCATCAGGCTCCGTAAGTCCCAAGATCCCATCTCTTCGCACTTCTGCTGACAATGGAAACAGGATATTCCCTGCGTCGGTGGCATCGTCCGTATAATCAACTCTGTCCTCTCGATCCCTGTTACCACTGTGATGGAGATCACAAATGCGAACCTGCAGTACTTCATTGCCATATTAAATGCCGATGGGTATCTGAGTAGCAGCGCGACATATGTGAATCAAGTCCTCGATTTGCACGATGTCACTTACTTCATTCCCAACTCTGCAGCCGCTCTCGCTGGTGCCACCCAGCTCGCTCAAAACTCCTCTGCAGCTGACCTCGAAGCCGTGTTCGAATACCACATCGTCCCAGGATCCGTCAACTACAGTCCGATGCTGAAAAATGGAATGAGCTTGAAGACCCAGCAGGGGACAAACCTCCAGATAACAATCCAGGGTGGAGATATATATGTCAATGCCGCGAAAGTCATCGCATCAGACTTGATGGTTGCGAACGGAGTCGTGCACGTGCTTGACAAGTGAGTCCTGCACTTCCCCCCCCAAACCCACCAGAGATCTAACAATCCCCAAGCCTCCTAAACCGCTTCGACACTTCCGGACCCCCAAAGCCCACCGCAACAGCATCTACGACATCCAACCCAGCTCCAACCTCAACCCAAAACTCCATCACCACCCCAACTTACACCTCCAGCGGCGGGAACAGCGGCATGTCCACCGGCGCCAAAGCCGGGCTGGGAGTCGGTGTCGGCGTCGTCAGCCTCGCGCTCATCTCTACCCTCGCCTTCCTCATCTACCGGCACCGCCGCAACAAGGCAGCAGCAACAGCCGCAGCGCCCTGGGACAACAGCTCCATGTCGGGCGCGACCGCATCGCCATTCAACAAATTCTACGTTCAGCGGGGCCAGGTGCAGCGACAAGAAGATCCAGGATTGGGATTGCAGAGTACGGGGATGCAGCAGCAGTATGGAGCGGATTCGGGGGTTGCGGGGAGGGAGTATGGACAGGTTGATGGGCCGGCCATTCCGCCTCGGAGTCCGAGTAGAGCATTGAGGGGGGATGGGAGCTATTTTTGATGAGTTGAGGGGTGGAGAGGGGAGGATGATTGTGGAATAATGGATGGCTGGATGTATATAGCTATACCCCTTACGACTTTCATGCTGTTGTGGGCTTTGAAATGTTGATATCTTGTGGCAGGCGAACTCATATAGAAATCTATCATTACTCAATTTAGTTAATGTCAAATGTGGAACATCTTCGAAGTGAGACACCAAGATCCTTTCCTGATCCAAACTTCTGGCTTGAGATGCTGAACCGGCAGCAATATCATCACTCGAAGGGACTGCCCCCAGCGCGGAGATCTCAAATCTCGTCTCCACACCCTAGTGAGTGAACACCTCTCAATAACAGGGGCGCACGGGATAAGCGAGACTGTTCATGTTCACTATTTACTGTTTCTATCTGATTGCCTGGAGAAACGACGCACCCCTCACTCCATCCATGCATATCCACTCGTAAACCCATGCCATCTATCATTCGCACCACCCATTCCCTCCATCCATTCATCTGCCCACATTCAAGCAGCCCGCATATCATTTTACCGCCCAAGCGCCAAGGCAGAAGCCGATCGATCTGCTCGCTCCGATCCATAACATACAAAAAGGTAAAGAAAAAGGCGAAAGTAGCAAATGCTTGCTCTTAAGTACCCAGGTCCAAGAAAGTCTACTTGAGGAACAAATCCACTCCGTTTCTAACAACGCGTGATCGGTCAACGTGGTCTAAGCCGAGCATATCGTCTTCTGCCGTCAGCATCTCATCAAGGATGGAGTCTAAAGCATCATATTAGCATGTGATTCAGAAAACCAAGACGAGCGTACTTGCCATCAGTGAGATATGTAGGTTTCGAATAAGAGCTTCGCTTGACAATGGCGAATTTTATCTTTTCGAAGTTTTTGCCCTTCATGCCAGTTCGCTTTTCCAATCGTTTCTTGGTGTCCGAAAATACTTCACCAGGAATTATCTTGAACCTGAAAGGAATTCCATGTGACTTGCTTGGTTCGCTCTGGAAGTGGAATGCTTGGATAAGCTCTGATCCTGGCTCCAGATCCTCTTCCGGAATTCTTTCGGCAATGACATGGACATACTCCGTGATGCCCATGACTTGGCTTTCCCGGATGAGGTTCTTGTGGATTTTGCTGCTGTGAGTCTCATAAACTCGAATGGGGCCAGCTTTCTCTTCGTCGTCCAGTTGTGCCTTTTTAATGAGTGCTGCAATCAGGTCTTCAACTGTGCCGTTCTTGGGGACAAGGATATCAAAAGGTTCCTGTACTATATCAGTAATTGCTCTAAATGAGCGTGGCTTATCTTACTTCTTTCGACATGCCATCGCTCAGCCAAATAACTCTCAAAGCTTTCTTGGTATCCAGTTCTGTTAGACTGATGTCGAGAACCTCAAAATAAAGGGCATCAGGCCGTTGGTTGTTATTGGCGAAGGTGCTGTATGGCGGGTTGAGAATGGTTGAGAGACTCTGACTTTGTCCACGCTTTACGGATGCTTTTGGGTTTCCATTTGCAGCATTCACGGTCCAGAATCTGAGATGTGTTGGGTCGACCTTCAAATGCTCTCCCACCTTTGCTGCAATTTGATCATAAGAATGCTTATTGCTAAGAATCAGTTCAAACGGTTGATACAGTTCGGGATTGGCATTTCGTGTCGGATGAGGGTGGAATCTGACTTCTCGTCTGTGAACGAGAAAATCATAGAACTGTTGAGCGTTGTCGATGCGGTCCAGGCCCAGGTTCGATTTCGATAACGAGGTCTTGTCGGAAGAAGACTTTGAGGAAACGCTCCTGTCGTCGTTGTCAGCAAGCGTCAACTGATTGGTGAGATATGTGACGGACTCTCGATCGCTTTCCGATGACTTGACGTCCGCTTTCTGGAAACAGACAATATCCCCATCTTGAAGCTCAGCTGCTTTGAGAGACTGCTTGGCCTTCATTGGCTCAATCATATTTGGCTTGATCTCCTGTGATAGTATTAGCGAGATATTACCAATAGTGTTTGATATCACGTACTTCAAACAACCGCAGCTGCGTCTTCTCTATCCAGCCCATCTTCTTTAGAATAACTGGGACTAAATCCTCAACTTTCTTCTCCCTACTGATGTAAATGTGACCCGCCCCCGACAGAGATTGGCTTTCAACATCGAACCATTTCAGGAACAAAACAATAAGATCGGTCTTTGGTGCATTTCCATTCGTTTGACTTGGAGTCGCTGGCCAAATGGCATTGCCATCGATGTTAACCTCCTCAGCTACCTCTGCCCATAATCGTAACTCCGCAGACTTGCTACCCCCCAATCGCTGATAGGCGTCCTCGACTGTTGTATTCATCTCGGAAATCGGTGCATCTGGCCGAATAGTCTTGTTTTGCCGGTTGACCATAGCCCAGAGACGTATTCGCTTGGGGTCAACATTAGTGTCCTCTCCAACTTTCGCTGTCAATTCTCCTATCGTAGATTTCCGAAGGAGTCGGTAGAATCGGGGGGCAGCAGGCTCATCCTCGCTGTTGGCGCGATCAAAAGAAGTCAAGTCCGTTCCGCCATGAGCTCGATAAGTATCCTCCGTGATGACCTTGCAGCCCAGATACAGGTGTTGCTCCTCTCGTTCTTTCTTGCGCATTTCGCGCAATGCTGCTTCTTCGTCAAGTTTCTTCTGGAGATGTGGTGGCGTATCCCTTTTGGTCACAGGAAGGAGAACTTCATCGAGTCGACTTTGGCGGATATAAACCAACATGTAGGCGGACATCTGGCGTATGATTGGTTTCGTTTTACCACGCATTGCCATTGGACCGTTTGGCAGTAAAAACTCACCACCAAAATTATCTTCTAACACTTCTCTCATGGTAGCCTTTGTAACTTTATCGTCGTCGTACTTGTAAAACCATCCCTCTTTGTTTGGCTTGATGAATGCATAGTAGTGACCAGCGTTGAGATCACCACTGTGGACCAGGACACCATGGAGTTGATAAATCCAGGGTTCTGATTTATCTGCGTCATCAGACAAGTACGGCGCTGCGTCAAAAGTCTCGGGGAATTCGTAGCGATCGTTGATCTTCATCATCGCATCGCGGTCAATGTCGTATTGGAACCGCTTGAGCTGTAAGTGGAGGACTTCGGGGAACGTCTCGAAGATGACTCCTTTGTTGGCATCCTGGAGCGCGAACTGCTCGCCTGCAAAGTATTGGTTCTCGCCATTCATAACCTCAACTTGGACATAATCCTTGAAGCTCTCCTCGAGATTCTTGTTGCCGCTGACGTTCAACTGGATATCCCAGAAATCTTCAACCCGCCGAGATTCATATTCGACGTTGATGCACGAAATGTAAGTCCGGACCTTGCCGCAGAAGAGCTTGGGCAGAACATTCTCGGCCTCAGTTCCCTTCATCTTCTCCTCCATGCGCTCCATAAGCTTGCGAGAAAGCTCTTGTACATCCTGCTGCTCGAAAATGTGTCTCGTTTCCCAGCCGAAGGATTTGGTAAGCTCATTCGTGCCTACGGCAGTGTTCGATGTTTGGAGTTGATAAAAGAGTCGTTGGAGGGTGTATGCGCTATTCTGGAGGGTCTCTTCATCTTGTGTAGGAATTTGATAGATAGCCTTACTGGTTAGCCAATATCCAGCGCTCAGGACAATGTAATCATACCTTTCGGAATGCGTTTGTGAAGTACAAAGACTGTATGAGTGAGTTCAGGTAGCAGGTAGCGCCTTGATTCTTCAGTCCGACGTAGCCGGTCTCCTTCTTCGAATCATAGTTGTTAAAGTTGTGCCATAAGACCCCAGTCTCGTCCTTGCAAATTCTTACATACGAAGTAATATTCGCAGTGTAATTGTCTCCCAATAAGTAGCGGCCAGAATCATCCCACGGGGCCGTGTATAGCTTCCGTAATTCGACAAATCTTGTAAATCCCCAGTCGCCCTCCTCCTTTGTGAATCGGTGGTGGGCAGTATGATATTGGTAGATGGCTGGTGCTTCTGGATTCCATACAACCAGCCCAAACTGTACACAGCAGGCAAAATCATCTGGGGGGGTTCCTTCCGGATAGGCATGCTCGAGGTAGAGGGAAACGTAATCGACATTATTGCCGTTGGGAAAGAAAAGAACGCGCCTACTGACGTCAGCAAAGGATGCCCAACCATTTTCTCCTCAATTTTGAATGTTGCATACCAAGGATGGCCCCCGGCTTCAAAGGTAGGGCCATGATCCCTCCGCGGATGGTCTCGCCAGTTCTCTATCGCCCAAGTGTGTACTTTGTCCTCGAGGACAGGAGGTTGTTCCGGGAGAAGAGGAAGGACAAGCTCTTTCATGCCCTCAACTACCAAGAAAGTGAAAGTCAGCCAGTGGTACAGCTCAGGAAGGTGGGGATCTCATACAGTCATCAGCCCGGAATACCGGCTCGTCTTCTGGGTTGATGATGGCAATGTCGCCGTCATCTTTCTCAGCCTCTGCTGCATCGTTGAGTAGATCTTCCGAGTCAACAATCATATCGTTGCCGGGGGAAAGTGCATCTGCATTGAAGAGCTGCTCATAATCGTCAGAGTCATCTTCGAAGATCGGAACCACGCGGATTTGCGCCATGGTGGATGCGAAGTTGGAGGCCTTGGTTATGTATGAGGTGGAGGGGAACCTGTGGAAGAGGGGCAGAGAGGGAGGGAGAGGTTCTTACCGGATTCATGATTGCAGAGGTGAAATACGCCTTCCCAGAAATACAAAACCGAGATCAAAGAACTGGAAAGGCTACGACGATGGCGCGGTGTGGTTTCCTGGTTGATTCGGGCTGTGCAAGAGCACCTTGCTCTTCCCAGGTTCTTTGGCCTCGCTTCGCTAACGGCCGCTGGCGAATGATGACGTGAAGTACCGCGTCTGTAGATGTTGGCCTTTCAATAGCCGCGATCAAGCTTTGTAGTTGCCACAAAACAAGAATATCTGTCGGAAAATAAGAATGGAAGTTGATGCTTGCCTTTGTAAAGGCAAGAGGTGACAAGGTGAAGAGGAGGATTCACGAAACGGAATAGTGAATGTCTGGAATGGCCTGGTGCAGTTGACAAGGCTGGCTTTGGTGCCTGTAGCCTCATTCGGCCAGAGACGTATGGTCGGATGCGTTTGACGATGGCCGTTATAAGGGCGGGAGGTGCTGAGGTGAGGAGGGTGATTCTCGAGCAGAACAAGTGGGTGTCCGGAATGGTGCCATACAATGGACAAGGCTGGCTCTGGTTTTTTGCCCGCCTCATTCGACTAGAGAGGTGTGGTCGAATGTATTTGATGAGATTTGCGGCTAATGCTCGGAACTCCTTTCGAGATAAAAGGGGCCAAGGCGGTGAAGGGACTTGTGAAAAGTTTTGAGAATCTGTGAATGTATCAAAGTGCTATGGAAGATTGATCAGAGATGTGACAGGAGTGAATTGCTCGGGTAAGCTTCGGGACCCCTTTCGAGGTAGAGGGAGCGATGGGGTTAAGGGGACTTCGTCATTTGGAGAATCTGGGAATCCAATCAAGGTAAATGCTTAGAACGTCAGCGATCTGTAATTCTCAAATTCAGGAAACTCAATTTACTCGAGGTGTCCAGAACACTGGGGACTTTTAATTTCGAATTTAGAGGGTTCAATGTACCAAAAGTTTCTGGGACTTTGACATCAATTGCGGTGATTCACGCAAATTTACAAAGTCATGGAAGCATTGTACCAGAAGTTCCTGGGAGATTGATAACAATGAAAAGCGATTCACCAGAATGAAGGTGTGCAAGGTGAAAGCGGTAAAGGCACTTGTGACTTTCAGATTCAGGGAATCATTGTATTTCAACTTGTAGACAATTCAGGAAATATAAATATAAAGGTACAACATGAATGTACAAAACTAACGGAAGATTGATTCCAAGCCTCGAAGGGACGGAACCGGCTATAAATGTAATGTCTTGGATTGTCTAGGACACTTTGAGACCTGCACAGGCTTTGGGACAAGTCCACGTGCTAATAGGGGGCAAACAGCTTGGATTGGGGGATATCTAGTTAGACGCCAGTAAATAACAAAGCACAATCTCTTCCCCACTGACAGAAATCTCGTTGAGAGTAATAAAGAATGGAAAACTAGAAGATCCATCATGTCATGGCAGCCTACTTTGTCTCATCCTTCACAGGAGCCTCAGCAGCAGCATACTTGACAGTCAACCCTTCCTTGATATCCTTGCCCTTTCCACCATACGCTGTCGGTAGCTCTTGGCCCCAACCAGGCAATTCTCCAGCCAAGTTACTTCCATAACTCAATGGGTGGAACTTCTTGACAGTTTCCGCACTCAGGAAGAGCTTCATGGCTGCAAAAACCCAGCCCATGACCAGGGGGACATTGACGAAGAATTTCTCCTTCAGGAGTTCGGGGTACGCCATGCTGAAGATCTGGATGGTCTCCTTGGAGGCGGCTTTGACGGCGGGATCCATTCGAAGGAACGAGACGTTGAGATAGTCGTGAACTTGGACCATTCTATAAGGATCAACACCGTTTTGAGGGATGGGTACAGTTGCAGAAGCGAGATCAAGCTCTTTGAGAGAAAGTTCCATCAGGGCAGCGCGCCATTTAACGAATCTGAAATGCATTTAGCACCTGAACTCAAAGGGAGGTATCAAACATACTCTTGGACATCTCCGAAGGTCTCCTGTTTGTTCTTCACGCCACCATAGATATTCCAAGTGACAATCTCCTTCTCGTGACTCTCGGTCTTCGGATACACTGTGACAAATCCCAAACCACCAAACTTGGCTTCATTGAATTCGGTCTCGGCCAGGAGCTTCCTGGGTTGCATTTGCTTCCGCCACTTCAGTGCCCCGCTCAATTGAGCCTTAGCTTTGGCTATATCCTGGGTGTTGGCGCGCAAGAACTTCTCCAGAACGATGGAAGTGGGAACATCAAACGAGTTGGTGAGCTCTACTCCCCACATCTCCGTGTATTGCGCGTCCGCGATGACAGAAGGCAGCTCAGCGAAGAGCTTTGAAAGAGGGGTGCCAGGCGGCGAAACTGGTCTCTGAACATCATCGCCTGAAGCTGGCTCGGTCTTTGATTGGGTTTCAGAAGCCTCAGTCTTCTTCTCGTCCTTGACGGGAACCTCGGGAGCTGTGGTTGGAGCTGTTGGGGTTTGCAATGGAGCTTCAGCAGCCTCGATCTTCTTTTCTTCGGCGCCCGGAATAGGTCCAGGAGCCGCGGCTATTGCTGCTACAGGTTCAGCACTCATGGTGATGTATTTTGATGAGAGATGAGGCCAGAAACTTACCAAGGTAGAGTGAAGCTATTCGTGAAACCAAGGGTTTTATCAAAAGTGGGGACGTTCACCTATCAAGGTAGCACGTGGTGAATCCCGAATTTGAATAAACATCTCACCAGCGAGTAGCGCCCTACAACGCAGCGGCTGATGCTCGGAAAAGTAATATACTGTCCTGAACTCTCGCCACCGAACTTTCAGTGACTACTATCTTCGCATTGGATGAAATCCTTAAAATGTCCCTTGCTTTTTCTGTTCAAGCGGCCGATTGCGGGGCTGTCGCGGGACGAACCTTCTGCTGCAACTCCGCTCTGGCAGAACCCCCTCTTCTCCCCTATGCCTTACAATCAGCAAACAATCCACCTTCGAGCCTCACTCTCTCCTTAATACTCGCATGGAACCGCCGGCATGCTGCAGTCCTGTTCGCAGAATGGCGCCAAGACCCTGCGGTTGACGATGGGAGCTCGGTGTAGGCCAATTCAGCTGTACTACTGCGTTCAAGCACGACAAGTCCACAATACTCCCCCATGGAGACCAGCCACTACCCTGGATGAGTGAGTTCTGTCTGCTACTATCAAAACTCAATGGCTGATGATCGTAGATGGGTAGGAAAGGAAGCCAGGCCGATAAGTCTCAGACAGCTCATGGTCTTTGGCCGTTCTTTGACGGAAGCTCGATTGATAAGCTCTGCGAATTATGTGAGGACAGAGCTGCCAACGAGGTGGATACTCTCATCCTGCGAGCCCGGGGCATGGACTAATGAGACTCAGGTTGGCACATCGAATTCGAGACATGCAAACTCTGCCCTACGTAGTTGTGACCAATCCCCACATAAGTCAAGTCTACGAGCTATATTATAAGGCATTTGAGAGCCTACGGAAGGTGCGGGAGATTAAAACATTGGAGGACAATGAGAAGTTCTGCAAAAAGATCAGCCAGACTCTACAGGAACATCTGACTGTGATTCCCAAGCTGTCAATGGGAGTGATAGAATGCTGGGACCTGATGAAGCCAGAAGATATGGACAAGTTCATGAATACGATTCTACGCTCTGTATGCCTTCCCACATTTCAACTCTCCAGAATGCCCGTTCGACTAACAAATCTCCAGCGTATCTCCCGCCGAGTCATAGCAGAGCAGCATCTCGCCCTGACCGAAACCTTCAATTCTCCCTGGCACTTCCCTGATTCGCCCAATGCTTCAAACACGGGCACCGAGTTCGTCGGTGAAGTCTTCCTGAAATGTAACGCTGGCGAGGTCGTAAACCGGTGTTACAACACAATCCTCTCCCTCAGTTCCGCCACCTACGGTGCCACAACTCCTCTGCCCGCCCTCAAACTCTCCGGCCACCTTGACGCAACATTTCCCTACATCCTCTCACACCTCGAATATATAATCGGCGAGCTTTTACGAAACAGCATCCAAGCTGTGGTGGAGCGGCAGAAATCCTCGCCTCGAGGATGGGAGGAGACACCTCCGGCCATTGAAGTCACAGTCTGCGAGGCCCCACAACATGTTATAATACGAGTCAGCGACCAAGGCGGTGGAATACCTCATGACACACTGCAGTATCTCTGGTCATTTAGCAAAGGGCCTCGGTCCTCACAAAGGCTGGAGAATCTGACGCAAGTTCCCAAGATGGCTGCCACATTACAAGAATTACGGGTTTCGTCCGATATCCCGACATCACTCCACCCGCCGTCTGAGCCGCATGAAAAATCTGAGCACAGTGGAGCAGGACATGACAGCTCTTTATCAAGTCTTAGTAGCAGGCCACCGAATCTACGGCTAGGGATGGGTCTGCCATTGAGTAGAGTGTATGCAGAGTACTGGGCTGGAAGTCTGGAGCTACATAGTCTCGAGGGATATGGCGTTGATGCATTTCTGCAGATCAGTAAACTGGGGAATAAGAACGAGCAGTTAACAATGCGTGCCAGTATGGACGCAGTATAGAGATGAGCATACCCATTTCAATATAGAGATGAGCATACCCATTTCAATATAGGATTGGAAACCACATGTCACGATAACAGCAAGTATAGAGAAGCATGAATTACATTCGGCTAAAGCTAGTTAAGAAACAAGTCTCAGTCCCAGAAGCACCTAAGAGCATAATTAAGCAGCTCCTCAGCACCCTGCTGCATTCGAAGTCAAGAGACGACACGAAAAGGAAAAGGAGAAGAAAACGGTGTTGCCAATGACCTGCTTACAACACTCCTCACACCCGATCATCCGGCTTCTCGACCACCAAAATATTCTGACTTTTGTCCGGGTATAGTTTCGTTGCGCGTGGAAAGAGGTGATTTAACGACGACCATGGCTGCGGACAGCACTGCCCTGCATCTGCTCAAGCTCCTGCTCCAACGACTTGATCGCCGCATGCGTGCTCTCCAAGTCTTTGTTTAGGCGATCACGCTCGCTGATGAGCTTCTGCTCCCATTGTCTGAACCGGTGCTCTTCAATCTTAACCTGCTCCGTGAATCGCTTTCGGAGATTCTCTTCCTCTTCCTTAAACTTGGGGTTGTCAAGTTTTCGGGGTCTGGCCTCACCAAACTTGCGGGTCTCCATTTGTTGGGCGCGGTAGGCTTCGTAGTGTGCTTCTTCGGTAGTGTGGATGAGATCCAGCATGTGGGTTCGGATGAGAATCGAACGCAGTTTCTTGAAATCGCAGTGGTCTTCGTTCTCGACTTCTGCGACACCCCATGAGTATTGGCGGCCCTTGACGATGCGGCCATCGCTTGTCTTCACATCCTTCTCGGAGCCGATGACGGCAAATGGCATGGCGGCCATGAGACTTCGGGCGTGTTGTGCAGCAGCCTCGTCATCCTCCTCGACAGGCGGTGTGTAAATCTTGATACCTTGCGCTTCAATGACAGCCCGGATCTGTGTGATATTAGCTTCTGATTTGCAGACCGCCTTTCGTTGTTGAACGTACCCTTTGCTTGTAACGGGCCAAATCAGCCGGGCTGAGAGTATCTGCCTTCGCAACGACCGGGATCAAGTTGACTCTTGAGCTCAATCTCTTCATGACCTCAATATCTAGCGGCTTCAAGGTGTGTCCGGTGGGTCTGATGAAGTACAGGCAAGCGTGAACACGGAGATCAATCTTATCAACACGGCGGGGTTGTTGCTCTTGCAACATATACGACTCATGTTGATCATCCAAGAACTCGATAATTGGCATCCAAGAATCACGGTTGTTGACATAGTCGCCAAATCCAGGAGTATCGATAACGGTGAGGCGGACTAGGATATTGTCAGAGCTGGCAATTGAAAATATACACCCATTATGATATACCTTTGAAGAACTTCTCCTCAAGCTCAGCCTTTGTGATTTCGATCTCGACGGTTTTGTCCACTTGCTTCGCGTGTCTCTTCTTGTGGTCGGCGTAGTTTTTGATGGTGGTGGAGAAGAGGGTCTGCGATGCGGTCAGAATTATTACCTCCGCATGGGCTGGTAAGGATTGATTCCACTTACGTTGATGAAGGTGGTCTTTCCGAGTCCAGATTCGCCAGCAACCATAATCGTGAAAGCTGCGCCTCTCTTTGCTACTATCTTATGGCGCTGGTTGGGCTTTGCTTGAAATTAGCTGACATTCTGAAGCTATTCTGAAGATATGCTTGATGCAACACATACTAGGTTTGCGATTCCGATAGGGGACGCGCTCTCTGAGGTTGGGGGAGCCATTGTGGATGTGCTTATTGCAGATTCACTTGCTTTGGGGTCGAACGCAGATAGAGACTTCGTGCCGTCGTGAAGGGAGATGATTGTCGCAAAAGTTGTTTGTGATCAACAGTCGTGGGCTTTTCAGGAGGTTCGGGAAATTCACAGTTCCCCTTTTCGTTTAGAACTCCCGGACTTTTAGCGTGTCCTCGAAGAGTCTAGCGTGCCTGCCGCTTCGGAGAAACTAGTTACCGATCAACTTGCATGGGAATAAAAAAACTACTGGGCGAGAAATACATCGCAAAAATGCCAATTCAACGGTGACCATGAAGACGGAGTTTAGGGTATATTTTTTACTCCTCACAATGTTTATGCGACGTATTGACAGTTCACATAGTTCTCCAACCTTTTGGGGACTGTATACAGCCAGGGAAACCTGCTCTTCAGCCCTGATGGATCTTGTCTATTCTCTCCAGTCGGGAATCGAGTGACGGTTTTCGACTTGATAAAGTGAGTATTAGATTGAAATGGAGCGAGTAATCCGCTAATTGTACTATAGTAACAAATCCCATACTCTCCCATTCGCGCATCGAAAGAACATCGCCAGACTCGGCCTCACACCGCGGGGTAATTTACTTCTTTCAGTCGATGAAGATGGCCATGCAATATTGACAAGCGTATCTCGACGAATCGCCCTCCACCACTTTACATTCAAGTCTTCAGTCTCTGCACTCGCATTTTCTCCCTCGGGACGTCACTTTGCTGTGGGAGTGGGGCGGCATATACAGGTTTGGCACACACCTTCAACGCCAGATCAAAACGTGGATGGAGAGTTAGAATTTGCCCCGTTCATACTGCATCGAGTGTATGCAGGTCACTATGATACAGTCCAGAGTATTGAGTGGTCTAGTGATTCTAGATTCTTTCTTAGCGCAGCTAAGGACTTGACCGCCCGAATATGGAGTTTGAATCCCGAGGAAGGCTTTGTTCCAACGACACTTGCGGGACATAGGGAAGGTGTTCTCGGCGCATACTTTTCAAGGGACCAAGAGACGATTTATACAATAAGCAAAGATGGTGCTGTTTTCCAATGGGCATACTTGAGGAACCCCAATGCACCTGAACCAGAGGAGGACGAGGAAATGGAAGATGCAGACGAAGATTCCCATGCCAGATGGAGAATTACACAACGACATTACTTCTTGCAAAATAATGCCAAGGTTAATTGTGCGGCATACCATGCAGACTCGAATCTGTTAGTGGCTGGTTTCTCGAACGGCGTTTTCGGACTATACGAGATGCCCGAATTTAATATGATACATACTCTGAGTATCTCTCAAAATGATATCGATTTCGTCACCATCAACAAAACTGGCGAGTGGTTGGCATTTGGAGCCTCAAAGCTTGGTCAATTGTTGGTTTGGGAATGGCAATCCGAGTCCTATATTTTGAAACAGCAAGGCCACTTCGATTCCATAAACGCCTTGGTGTACTCTCCAGATGGACAGAAAATTGTCACAACAGCTGACGATGGCAAAATCAAAGTCTGGGACGTGAATTCGGGGTTCTGCATAGTCACTTTCACTGAGCATTCAAGTGGAGTTACAGCTTGCGAATTTGCGAAGAAGGGAAATGTTTTGTTCACATCAAGTCTTGATGGATCCATAAGAGCGTGGGATTTGATTCGATATCGAAATTTTCGAACATTCACTGCCCCAACACGATTATCATTCTCATCTCTGGCCGTGGATCCTAGCGGGGAGGTGGTCTGCGCTGGATCTTTAGACTCCTTCGACATCCACATATGGTCAGTTCAGACTGGCCAATTACTCGATCGATTGGTAGGCCATGAAGGGCCGATCTCATCACTTGCCTTTGCGCCAAATGGAGGCGTTGTTGTCAGTGGAAGCTGGGATCATACAGTCCGAATATGGTCGATCTTCGACCGAACACAAACCAGCGAACCTCTGCAACTTCAAGCCGATGTTCTCGACATAGCATTCAGGCCCGATTCGAGACAACTTGCTGTATCAACACTGGATGGCCAGCTCACATTTTGGTCAGTCTCAGAAGCAGAACAACAATCAGGAGTCGATGGAAGAAGAGATGTCTCTGGTGGTCGCAAAATTACAGATCGTCGCACTGCTGCCAATGCGGCTGGGACGAAGAGCTTCGGCGCTATCAGGTATAGTGCCGACGGCACATGTGTACTGGCTGGTGGAAACAGCAAGTATATTTGCCTCTATTCAGTCGACTCGCTCGTACTGTTGAAAAAATACACAGTCAGCATCAACTTGTCATTGTCAGGGACACAGGAGTTCCTGAACAGCAAGCTGTTGACGGAAGCTGGCCCAGCTGGCCTTATTGACGAGCAAGGCGACGCATCAGATCTCGAGGACCGGCTCGACAAAAGCCTTCCAGGATCCACAAGAGGTGGTGACCCATCGGCCAGGAAGCGTATGCCGGAAGTACGAGTAACAGGTGTAGCTTTTGCGCCAACAGGCAGGTCTTTCTGTGCCGCCTCTACCGAAGGACTTTTAATATATAGTCTGGATACGATGCCGCTTTTCGATCCTATCGACCTGGACTTAGCTGTCACACCAGCCTCAACACTGCACGTTCTGCAGAAGGAGAAAGACTACCTAAAAGCCCTCGTCATGGCTTTCAGATTGAACGAAGTTCCATTAATACGACAAGTCTACGAAGCAATCCCGCATAGCAACATCGGACTCGTCGTTGAAGAGTTACCTGTCGTATACGTACCACGGCTACTTCGTTTTGTTGGCAAGCAAACAGAAGAGTCACCTCATTTAGAATTTTGCCTGCTGTGGGTACAGGCCATTTTGAATGGACACGGTCAGTGGATCCGTGAGAATCGAGCAACTGTGGATGCAGAGTTGAGGACGGTCAGTCGTGCTGTTGGAAGGATTAGAGACGAGTTGAGACGACTGGCCGATGAGAATTGTTTTACGATTGATTATCTTCTGAGTCAACCGACGGCGCAAAATGGGGCGCAAAATGGTGCTGCAAATGAGCAGAAGTCTATCACAAATGGAACTGATACCCAACAAGTGGAGATTGAAGAGGATGACGACGACGATACTGAGTGGATAGGCTTAGACTAGGAATCTAATGTTCGAGCATTCGGGTCTGCTATAATGTACTTGTTGGGCAGTCAGTTTGCACCCCCAAGATGAGTTCGAATCTTCCATCGTTGTGTTGGGCAATGGGCCTATAGGTGGCAAGTCAAGCCACCTCCGTTGCTAAAGCGCCTGAGACGAATCCTAGACACATGCCTCCATTTCCGGGCTCGATGCATCTAGCAGAAAGCGGCGGGACTTTCAGCATAGAGTAGCTAATCGGTTCTTTCGTCTCAGCTTTTCCCAGCCTCTTCGCCTTAAGCTATTCTCGCCAAACTGGCCAGTGCCTTCGCCCAGAGTTTCCCTGTTCCCCCATTCAGCTCCACGTGCCGCGTCAGCTCCCCGCCCACCAATCCTACCTCACAGGGGGAGTTCCCGTGGTTGTGTGGCGTAGAGGCAAGCTAACGTAGTGCATTAGCCTTGCCTTTCCTAGAACAATGTATTGTGACTTGAGAGGCTCGAGAAGCTGAAAAAGCCTCAGAGCCTCAGAGCCTCGCAGGCTTTTTCTTCGTTCACAACACCTCTCTCCTCGGCGCTTGCGGTTCATGGCACGATACAAGCCATAGAGTCGATTTTGCTTCCAGCTTATTCTGAATTTCAATTGTTTATTGTTCAATGTCTGCTGCCATCATCCAATTGGCGCAAAAGTCTTCGGCTCCCAACGGCAGCCAGAGAACCAACCAACCAAATGGAAAAGACCCAAGCGTCCGAGAGCTCCGGAAGCGACCACTTATTGTCGGAAATTTTGAGCGCATTAAACAGAATTGATGGTCACCTTCAGGCACAACAGACCCGCGTCGATGAGCTGGACAGTAAGATCAGTGCGGTGACGACGTCTGTAAAGGAGGCTGTGGATACGACGCAAAGCGCTAAGAATTCCACTGATCGTCGCTTGAAAGTTGCTACAACAGTTCAACCATTCAGGGAGAGGAGAGCTAGCACATTTCCTACAAGCCCTTCAACGCGACTTCGTGGTCCTGGCCTAGAAACATCGGGCAGAAATGGCAGCGGTCAGAGCACCTCGAGCCGCTCTTCTCTATCCCAAAGAGTTCTTGTAGGCCAGTTCAACGACAGACACTCTCCTCGAAACAGCCTCCCAGGGAAAAGCAAGATCTTTACATTTCCAACCCCGCCCAGCAACTCAATCCCAGAGACTGGTTCTGTTTCGAGAAGAGGAACATTAAGCTCTCTCTCGCCACCTCCCATGGCTCAGAACGAGCATATCGATCACGCAATACATAACGATGGCCTGGACTGGTATACAAAGTTCCCACCGCCAAAGAGCTGGGTCGTTACCAGGACTCAAGGGAGGGATCTTAAAGTCAAATATGGCGGGGAGGACGCGAAGAATCTTTGGAAAACATTCGTTGGAGACTCGTGCACTATTCCTCCTGATGGCAGGGTCGAAATGACTTTTCAACAACATATCCTGGAGCGTTTGGACGAAACACAAGTCGTGTTACTTTTAGAGACACTTCGGGATGTCTCAACCCAACTGGAATATCGGCGTCCCGGAGATCTTAAAAAGAGAGGGAGCTTCAAGGTCACGGACTACGAATTCGATCCCAATTTTGAAGAGTCTGTAGCAGAGTATCGTGTCGACATCCCCAGTGGGAGGTTTCTGGATCCAGACCGTCGAATTAAACAAGCAGCAACAAGCCCTAGTAGTGAGGACGCGAAAACAGCACCCTGGAAACGAATCATGTGAGTGATTCCGTTTGATCACGCTTGAACATATTTCCCTTCCATGCTGCAAAGGCTTTGGAACAATGAGGCAGTCTTCGAAAGCAGAGCGTGATCGACAGAATCTAGACCCGGTCCCGGTATTTCCGCTGACGCTGCATAGAGAAATCAGGGGCTTGTCAAAGAAACTTATCGACGAGCACGAAACTTGGACAAAATCCATTGACGAACACGAGACATGGACTGGTAATTTTCGAGATCCCTGGAATGAGGCTTTACCTGTGGTCAATCCTATATGTCCTTTCTTGACTAACCGAATAGACGAGACAAACTACAGCCAGCAGGGTTACACCGGGATGAGGACGGTTCAGGAAGCTCTAAAGCACCACCAACAATGCTGGCGGCGACCACCACCTAGCGATGACAACTTATGTTTTCATGTTACGTTTTACGAATTGGTAGATCTCACGCATGATGACGAGCTGGAGGGTGAAATTTGGAGGTCTGGTAAGCTCCACAGCGACAACCCCGATGAGCTGGAGGCTTTGTACGGCATCAGAACCCGTCGAATCCGAGAGAGTGCTTGTACTGTAAGTTTTGTTCTTTAGTATCCCTTAAACCCCCCCTAAGTTAAGACTCATCCGGTGGCAGATTGTGGTGGTTCCAGATCCAGCAGCGTCCCAATTCTGGACCATGCTGTACATGTGCCCAAATGGCTTCGAATTATATGATAAAAGCAATGAGTTCGAGCATTACGATATGGTATTGAGTGCAATCAAGGGTCGAGATGCAGAAGGTGCTCTTGAGGCAATGGTAGGATTTTCAATCCGTATGGTTCTCCAGCGATGGGAGAAGATCTTGGAATATTTTACGTGGCTTCTGGGTCACAGAGATTCGCTTTCGGATCCGGATGCCCACGATAGCTTGCTTTTCGACGACGACTCGTTTTCAAGATCACGCAGATATTTCTGGGCTATCAACTACTTAGCGGAATTGGATATCAGCATTTCTCGAAACATCATTCAATTGGATAGATTTATTGGAGAGGACTCACCTAACAAGTCGATTCGCGAACAGCTGAACCAATTGCAACATCTACGAGAGCGGATCCTTGGTCAAAGAGATGAAGCGATTGCATTGCGGGACGGGGTGAGTAATTTGAACCATTTCATTAGGAACGCTCAATGTTCGTTCCAACGGGTCTCTATAACATTGAGACTATATGCTCTTGGAACTTCCGTTCGGGTATCAAAGCTTCATACTTAATAATCGGTTGAAATGGCTTCTTAATGCCAGTTTATATCAACGTTGGCAGATAATGAGCTTCATGCTAATATTCGAAATAGCTATTCAGTGCGAGCGGGGTAATGGAGAGCAGAGCATCGACAAGACTCAACGAAAACATCAAACTCCTTACATTCGTCAGCATATTCTTTCTGCCACTGTCATTCTGCATGGTATTTCCATCCCTTGCAAATGCTAATACCATTCTGACCTTACTACAGTCCGTATGGAGCGTCAACAATACTATTTTTAGCCTCAAAGCTCTCATCATAGTCGCCACCCTCGTCGGACTCAGCACATATCTCCTAGTCTTCAATCTCAACAACGTCGTCGAACTCTGCAGTCGGGTCTACAGAAAGCGCAAGCTCCTGCTCATTGAGCTGATGCAAAAAGACCTCGACAAGAAATGGAAAGAAACAGGTCAAAAGTTCACCAGCTTTCAGCCAAAACAGGAGAAACGCAAACCCTCAGAATGGATGTTAGGCCTCTTCGTGTTGCACAAAGCCTTCGGCCGCTTTCAATTTATCAAAAGGCTTTCGGAGGAGGAGAAGCAGGAGAAAATCCGTTCGAACAAGGAGGGAAGTATGCCCTATTGGCCAGATCTCCCGTTGCCTGAGGAGCTTGCACAGTCGACGGATTTAGCAAAAGTCCAAAGCGCGGGTGCGGGCGAAGTCAGGAAGAAGCCTTCGATTCGAGACAGATTTGCAAGGCTGAGTATGGTGTTTAGAAGAGGTGCTGTCTCGCCAGGAACCACAGCAAATGTTTGAATCAGCGAGTCCTTATCCGCAACAGATAGAAACGTGTGGACGTTCGATCTGATTGCAAACTTAATACGTAGACAACGGCATAAAGTAATGGGAACATGGGGTATATTTTATAATATATTAATAAAGACCACACTAACATACCCTATAGGTCTCAGTTTTATCTCCTATAGTAGTATTCCGGTCCCTATAAGCCCTATAAGGGTCCCCTGAAACAATTAATTAACCCCCGCACCTTCTTACAAAGGGGTAAAAGGGGGTGAGTGAGATATAAAAGTTAAACCATGATATTTGGTACTATACTAGTATATAGCTACTCGGGAAAGAGGTGGTGGTGGGGGGTGAGGCGATGTAAGTACGGATGTTGTGGAGGGTGGCGGTTATGCCGAAGGGGGTTCCGGTGTGGAGTGCGCCTGTGAAGCAGGAGGGGCATGACATTTTGATTTTGGCTTGGAGGGTTAGGAAAGAGTATGGATGGGAGGAGAGAAGGGAACTTAAGATGGGTGAGGCAAAGAGGAGGAGATCGGCGATAGTGACAATCTCCGCACAGAGGAGGCGTCAAGGTTTACTCGGTCTGAGTACGAGTACTCGGAGAGCTGGAACAATTATTGGTTGAAAGGAGGCTGGGGTACTTGATTGGACTGAGTTTGTTCTTGGCTTTTTAGCTTGGCAGCCCCAAGAGTTCTTTCGGACTTCACTCTATTCATAAAACACGTCTCATCAAAGTATTATAGAAATTCTGTCTCATTCCTGTCGTCTATAGAATTCATAACGTTCATACGCCAGTCCAGTCAAATCCCGTATTACTTGCTGTTTCCAGAACGAACAAATGCAACATAAACATCTCATCTCATCTATGAGCGTAAGAGCAAAACAAAACATAAGTACGGTACGCAGAAATATAACAGACAGCCTGACCCAAACGATAAATTAGACAAGACATGAAGCGCGCTACTGTAAATGATGCATGCATGCTGGTATCTTTGTATACTCTCTCAAACAAAATAGAAAAAAAACGAGAAAACTCCTCCAAATATGTTGAGGATTAAGGGATAGCGTTCAGCTCCTCTCTCTGCCTCAAATACTTCTTCGCCAGCTCGTCGCCTCCAACGGAGGAGAGTTCCATCCAGTGGTAAGCCACACACATCGTAGCCGGATCGCTCCTCTCACGATCCCGCTCTTCTTTCCCGGTGCTGCCACCACCATGCATCTCCATGACTTGTGCCTTGAATGTCTCTCTTGGCTTACTGAGCGGTGCAGTGACGCGCTCAACAAGCTCGGGGTGGGTGAGGTAGAAGATGGCAAGTTCGCGCTCGGCGACGGGATCTCCTTCTTTGGCGGTTATAGTCCACATTTTAGCTGCGTCTTGCATACTGTACTGCATCACCTCGCCACTTGCAGTGGTTGGTGGAACGGATTCGGTGTTCGATGTAGTGGTCTTGCGGGTCTGCGTATAATGGACGACAATCTCATCGGCAATTTCGATGAGAGTGCGGCAAACGTCTTGCTTCAAGCCCAGGGCAGCGAGTCCTGCATCCCAGAATGCTTTGCCGCGCTCAGTTTTGTCGAGAACGGCAGCCGGAACGAAGGAGGCGATGAATTGCAGGTCGCGGAACAGAGTTTTTGGTCGAATATCTGCATCACGGAAAAGGTCTTGGAGGACGTCGACGATCATGTCGGTGCTGGCTGGGTTGGGGAGGCTTAGAGATCGATCGGTTGTGCGGTGGACTGGGGAAGCAGAGGCATCGGATTGGATGAGAGTTGATGCTCGCCGTTCTTTGCAGTTATCGATGGCCTCCTCAAGATTCTTGGCTCGAGGTGTGGTTGAAGTGGTGTCGGTGTGTCCGAAAGCATTGATGTGCTGAACTTCTGGAGACTGGGGGGCTGCAGTCAAGGACTCATGGCGAATGCGTGGTCGACGTGGGGCCGATGGAGTGAGATATGCAATGATAAGATGCTCCAATTCGAAAAGAGCATTCAGCTTTGCGTATGGATTTGGATGCACAGAGAACATTCTCAGCAACCGCTGGAACGCCATTCTGTAAGGGAAGTCTGGGGAGTCCATTTCCTTGGAGACGCTTTTCCGAGGCGCACCCACGAGATAATCACTGGTCGAGCTCTCAGCTGTGGAGTGGACCTCGGGGGTACTGTGCTCTGTTGAGCGAGTACCGCCAGAACCTCCTCGCTCCATTCGTTGAGCAAATGAATCGGGATTCTCGGGAGGGGCATCAGTCTTTTGTGCTCCTCGCAAGTCTCTGAAGCTCTTTTTCTTCTCCAGGGTTCTCTTCTTGCTCTTTCTTCTGACTTTTCGCTCCGCCCGTTCCTTCCTCTCCATGCAGTCCTGACCGAGGTCACCCGAGAACCAAGAGTCAGTCTCGCTCCCACGCGCAAAGACCAGCGTACCAAGATCACTGATGAGGAGACTTGTCAAGGTCTGCTTCAAATCTATCAGGAATCGTTGTTTCGCTTGACTTGCACTCTCCTCCTTCAGCATTACCGTCTCGTTGGTAGACGACGAAGTTCCTGGGCGATGGCTGCTGATGCTAGTAGACGGCGATTGAGCTCGAGTTTGGAATGGCGACCAGAATGTTGTAGCAGAATCAATGGTCAGCACAGGGCTAGCCATCCCGAAATAATCTTGAGAGTCCATCAGATCTCCAGTGGTGCTCAGTCGGGACGTGCTGTATCTGCCGGAATCAAAACTCTGCTGTGAATTGTTCCTAGCTGACATCGCTCGCAAATCTCGTAGGCCTGGTCGACTGAAGTCGGTACTTCTTAAACCACGTTTTCCGTTATCTGACTCACTGGTATCGTCCCCAGATATGCTCAGTGACCCAAGTCCGTTGAGGAACAGATCACCCTTTTGTCTGCCACTATCCAGAATTCGTTTGTCTCTGTAGTAGAGCTCGCTTGACCAGAGAACTGGGCCCTCCATCAAATTATCACCGACCAACTTATTGATACAAGCCTCAATCTCCAAACAGAATCTGTGAATACGCTCTTCGCCTTTGCAGAAGTTCTCAATCCCGAATTGAGAAAGCCAGACCAACGTTTTGTCTGACTGTTCGTCAGATAACTTGTTCGGTCCACCCTGTTCCTCAATCGCAGCCATCATATCCATTACTTGGGCTTCGGTCTTCAATAGGAAGTTATTTGTGGAGAGCCTAGACGGATTCCGGGGCCGAGCACCTCCAGCAGAGAGATGTGTAGATCTTCTTGGCGACGCCATGCACTTCAATGCAATGGCTATATTCCGAGCAGTATCGTAGGCTGCAGAGTTTCTCACGTCTGTGACGTACCACATCTTGTCTCGAAGAGCCTTGAGACGCTTCATCATAGATTCAATGGTGACATCGTGACGCTCCTGGGATTGCTTCAACCATACCAGCCATGCATCATACTCTTCAATGGCGCTCGTGGAACGTCGAATCGAGTCTCTTGGACCCCGAGAAAAGATACTCAGGAGAGATGCATATCCATCTCGCTTCAAAGAAGTAGATGAAATTTGGTGTAGCTGATTCAAGGTCTTCCAGTACAAGTGAGCGTTGACAAAATCTGACTGGGCTTGGCATTGTGCTTCGGCCGCTTCCAGCATTGTGACCAAGACAGAAGTGGATTCGCGATCAGCCTTGTCGCTTTCCGAGTCACGCCTTAGGTGTTTTGAAGACTTTGAGTCAGGTTGCTTAATGTCCCTCCCAGATCCTGTAGAATTGTCACGAGGACGATAAGGATTCTTCGATTGCGCCTGAGCTGATGATCCTGGCCGACTTCGTTGCTTCTTGCGAGGGCTTTCCAGTGCAGATGTCCTGTTACTGAAGGTCATTGACTCGGCCTTTGAATCTAGAGACTGTGGGATCTCGTAGTCTTCAACAAGCTTCAATATTGAGTCTCTTAGTTGATGGTAGTCTTTCCCAAGATCTGGACCAGCACCAGGTGCATCATCTTCATCGTCACTGCTGGTCGTAAATTCTTCCTCATCGGCCTCATCATCGGGGTCGTGTGGCATATGAGTTGACAGAGTTTGGCCATCGGCCGACATGAAGAGAACCGCCCACCGTTCTGCGCAAGGATGACAGGATCCAGAAGTTCCATCAGCACCCAAACCCTGATTCATTTCATACGTAGCAATGCGGAGCTCAAACCCATCATCTTCGTAATTTGTTGGGGTCGAGGGCTCGTCCAGCAGAGGTTCTCGCGAGGTGGTGATGTCGCTAATCACCGAAGAGCCGCTGTTTGAAACTATGGAAGCATTGTCGAAGGCGTTGCGCGGAGCAGCCATCGATAGGGACTGGCTTAAACTGGACATGCCGCCAGTAGTGACTGTCGATATACCTGATATCGAAGAAGCGGAGGAACGTAGACCACTTATGTGTATATCCTTGACAGAGCCAGAAACTGGGCGTCTTTCCGGGAAAAGCGCAGTAACCATCGTTAAAAGGTCTGATGGACTGAGAACAAGATATGGATGAACTTCCACAGTCTCTCTTAGCGATGTTATGGATCGCGCTGGAAGTAGCTTTGCCTTAGATCGCGAAGGTCTGTTTGATCGGAAACGGGTCATGATATTCTCGATGTGTCCCTTGATTGCCAGTGGAGTGGAAGACGTACTATTCCTATAGAAAATGTGAGATACTTGCGTGCCGGGAGTTTGGATTTACATACCACATCATATCAATGACCAATTTCTGAGCCCTCATGACGACCTCTTTGAGGATCTTCTGTCGACCATATTCGGTGATGTGGTATTCGGACATCATTCCATACGACTGGAGAGATCAGCAGCGAACATGAATGAGAGATTGGATACCACCTGCCTCGGGATGGATGACGACATTTAGCAAGAAGACTGAAAAGAGCCATTTTGATATCAGAAATCTCCTCGTTGCGTGGTGCCACTTGGGATCAAGTTTCCGGAGAATTGCGTTACCAAGTTCAATAAGCCCTTCCGGGATACCTCCTGCTCCTGGATCATCCACAATCTCGAACAGCCCCTGAACGGCAGCGGTATAAAATTCGTCAGCCGCGATGGAGTCTTTGGCATTTCGCGGCTCGACATGGATACGGGTCCCAGCCTGGTCCTCGGCTTTTTCCAATAAGAAGGCTCCATCCTCAAGGATTTTCATGAGATACCATTCCATACTGCTTCGACCTGACCAATCTCGCATCGCCGTCCAAACATTGAGAACACTGCAGATAAATTGTTCTGTACCGGTCTTCTGCTCGGTGATCAATCGGGCACATGTGGAAGCCCACACATCTGTCCTCCTTAGATCCTCGCCGGAGTCTGGACCAGCGGAATTGGCGAAACAAGTATGAATCAAAGCAGATAACGGATCATGACGCTGAAAGGAAAGCAGACGCTCAACTGCAGAGGGTATATGCGCGGGAAGCCGGTGATTGCTGGAAACATGGCCTTTTGAACGATTATGAAAGGGCAACACGGAGTTTATAGGTTCCAATCCTTGATGGAATACAGTCAAATTGGATAGTTCTGAAGCCGTAAGACTTGAAACGCGACTGGCCAAATAGTCTGGGTTCGTCCGAATCTGGGTCAAGAATTTGAGAAGGCTCTCACGGGACCGCTGGGGTATTTCATGCATAAATGTGGTCAAGCCACTGGGGTCTTCTCCGCCTTGGGGATTCGCACGGCTGTTGTCCAAGTCGGGTTCCAATAAAGCATACCTGCGGGTGGCATCGCAGGAATTCCGGACATCGTGTATAGCATTATAAAGATTTGCAAAGTTCTTTTTCTCATCAGCTCTGAAATTGTCAACCAAAGTACGATGTGACAATTCTCCACATCGTGCCAGGCGGGCGGAGAGGGCGGTGGATACGAGAGACCGTTGCAATCGAATGCGAGAGTGGGCTCTTTTCCTTTCTTGATAGGTGCACAGCCGGACCAAGTGGGCAAGTTCTTCCAAAGTTGTGGTAGGGCTAGCAGCAGTCACCTCCGTGATCTTCGGGTTGCTATATTGTGAAATGTCTTGTAACAACGGAAGAGGTGGCAGTTTGGTCGGCGTTGCGGGAGCTTCTGGCAACTTGCCTTTGCCATTTGGAGACGGCTTCACTGGCTCTTGTCTTCGGGGAGCAGGGGATGGGGATGCATGCCGCGTACTGCTTCGGGGCCTTTCCCGCTCTGCGGGCTCTTTGTATGAGGTGGGGGGTCTATTGGGACTTCGGGATTGGTATCGATGTAGTCTAGGAGGGACGACATGTTTTTCGGGAGGAGAGGGGGTAGGAGATCGCGAAGAGAGCTGGGTGATGGTGGGAGAGACAGCTGCAGATCCAAGAAGTCAGCATCCAATATTTGCGCGTGAGAGAGAAGAGGCAGGGTGGAGGAGAAGTGCGATTTCATCCCATGTTTTGGACGTACGGGGAGAGGCGTGAGCAGGCCCGGGAAGGGAGAGGGATCGCTGCATTTGTATCATCGCTCCATCTGGTTGTGGCCTGGCTGCGATCTCGAGCTCCCCAGCTTCGAGATGCCAGTGCACGCAAACAAGTCGGATGGGTTCTGTGATGTCGCGCTGCGCTGCGCTGTGCTCGCGCAATCAGGGCGAGGCCGCGGAAGCCGTTGCGAGGCTGGCCGTGGATTATGCGGGGCTCGGATCCGATAAGGTCAAGCCGATTGCCTTCTCTCACACGCAAAGTCCAGACGACAACTCTCCTGCTGCGGGCTTGGACGTGAGGATATAAGGGACACCTGGGACGAAAAGCACCTGTGAACGCCTCTCGCCGCTCTCGTCTCTCGTCTCTCCTTCTTGTCGGCCGTGGAGCATCGCGCAGGTAGCGTGGATTTGTTGGCAGCGTGGCCAGCCACGGCACACACGCCCAATCATGGCCAACGCCGGATCATCGCCAGCACAGCGACGAGCAGGGATCTTCTCCCCGCGGTCCAATCTCGCGTGCAGGAACATCGTCGAGTCTTCATGGCTGCTGCTGGTGCTGCTGCCGCTCCTTTCAGCCTCCGACAGATCGCACTGCAAGTGCCTGCGGCTTGCAGTCCACAGAGACAAGCTTCTCGGTGGCACTCTGCTGGCTGGTGTCCAGACATTGCTGCACACTGGAGCGGTCCTGAGTGACGGGGCGAGGGGCTGGGGCTGGGGCCTTGGGATTCGAGATGGCGGCCGGTGGGTGGCCAGTGGGGACACCAGGCGTTGCACATACTCCATGGCAGCTGAAGATCGATCACTGGATGCTGGATGTCCGGTGCGAGATCTGGTCCCAGCAGGTCGACTGGCGGGGATGCCTCGAATCTGTCTCTGCCGTTTGCCTCTGCAGTTCCACATACGCTGCGCCGCTGAACGGAGGCAACATAACGGTACGCCGTCATCTGCACATCAGTCTCATCAAGGGTGAGCGATGTGCTGGCCGCAGAACCGGTCGCAGAGAGAATCGATACCAGAAACCCTGACAATATCGAGTCCCGTGTCTGTCCGCTCTCCAGCAGGTCGTGGTCCCATACCTAAATCGTTGAGCCAGCATTTGCGTAAAATCCTTGCTGCCAACGCACACATACATGCTTTGGTGCGAGGACGCACATTCTGCCTTAAAGGCTCGTGGCTCAAGAGCAGTTGCTGCAGGTCTCCCTATTGTTGCCGCTGACATGTGCAAACCCTTGAATAATGGGCAAGCGAGGAGTCCCTTTTCCCCTCCATTCACGTGATGGTGGATCATGTGACTGTCACCTGACCCAAAGTGAGATTCCATCCAAAGTAGCCGAGTTCGCCTTTGAAGTTACTCTTCTGCAAAGTTTTGATCTCGCTTCTATGGTGCCTCTTCAGTAAATCTACTGCAATTCTACAAATATGTAATTTTCTGTCTTGTGAGGCTGAGCTGAGCCGATGCAAGCGCCATTATGAAAATTTCTCCGAGCCTCATTTCATCCGATCTTGACTCGGTTTATAATAGTATCTCAACATTCTGTAGAGTACAGATATCGCGAGCCTCTCCCCAATCAAGTCGCACCAATGTCAAATAGTACGGGGTATGGGTACTCGCCTCTTGGAGACAACAGCATCAGGCTATTGCAGATCGAGGCAGTCACCAATCCTTCATTGAACCACGAGAGAGCTGCAATACGGTGTCAAATCCATCATTTCCATATTGCAAAGGCTCCGAATTATCGGGCGCTATCATACGCATGTGAGTTCCATGCTCCACTGTTTAACCTACCTCGGACAGGATGCAATCGTGACTCATGGCAAGGCACAAATTGATCCCAAAGACGTCGATTATGGATGATCCTAATGTTTCAACTCTTTTACAGGGGGCAATTCGGCGACTCGTTTTATCTACTTGAACGATCAGCGGATCGAAGTTCGAAAGAACCTGTGGCAGGCTCTGTGGCACCTACGTAACAACAATTTCTGTGTTCCACATTTGGCAACAGAGTATGGTTTAACTGAGAAAGATACCAAATGGATATGGATTGATGCGCTCTGTATCGATCAGTTGAACACCGTTGAGAGGAACCATCAAGTTTTGTTGATGGGCCGCATCTACAAGACCGCAGCGGAAGTTTTCGCGTGGCTTGGCTGTCTAAGCGACCTACCTTTTGGCTCCAGAGTTCATACCGCAGTGTACCAATTGGCAGCTCTAACAGAGTATAAAGATCCAAAGGTTTGGGAAGAGCGGATCTTGCGGTATGGTCTGCACAATTTCGTTTCACTATTTACGCTACAGTATTGGCAAAGGATGTGGATTCTACAAGAAATTGGACTCGCTGCCAAAATCACATTACTCTTCGACACTATGTCTGCAGATTGGACTGGATTTGAACACCTACAAAAGACACTGAAATGGACACAACACATGAGATCCGACACAAGCGTTTTCGTCAGAAAGGAAACTCGATTTTTCTGGGGAATGTTGATCGCTAGCCAAGCCTTTCGCCTGGCATTTCATCGCCTCGATGCTTCTCACAACACACTCGAAGAGCTGCTCCACACCGGCCAATTCTCCGTCTGTGCTGATCCACGAGACAAAGTCTACGCCGTTCTAGGTCTTGCCACCGACTGCCAAAACGGCGAGCTGGAGATCGATTACTCCAAATCCCTGTTCGAGGTGTATTCAGACGTCATGAACTTCTGCAGCAAGACATATAATGGGCCAAAGCAAAGCGAAAGACTGCTACGATTGAGTAGGTTGCTCCAGGCAAGCTTCGACAGAGCAGCGGAGCTCAACGATGGAGCCGAAGCATGGCTCTCCTCATCAAGCCCCTCGGCAAAGAGCTTCACATTCAACATACGAGGCTTAAGGACCGGCAACATCGCCCAGCTGCGTGCTCCAGTCCTCTCAAGCTCACTCTTGAATAAACTTTCAAGAAGACCACCCCACTTAGGAATGTCCCCCGATGAGATATCCAAACAGCTCCTGGAACTCTCCAAAGCGATCCCAATCACTTCTAGCTTGTCATCTGCCTTGCAAGCATCCTCTACCTCAACCATCAATATTCGTGCTCCGCAGGCTCTGGAATACATTAAGCCAATCCGGATCTACCGTCCAGGCAAAGAAGAGGCAATACATACCTGCCTCCCGTTTACAATGGATGACAATCGAACAGGCTATGCGCCAACGAATGCACAGACAGGAGACGTCATATGCCAGTTCGCCGGCTCTGAAGTAGTGGCTGTGCTTCGCGAGCTACAAAACGGGAGATACGACATCATTGGTCGGGCGTTTGTGGAGTTTGCGTCGTCGAAATTGGAAACTGGAAAATGTGGGAAGGAGGATGAGATTAAGTTTAAGTTGGATATTGTTACGCTGCAGCAGTTGACTTCGGCAACGGACCCGGTGCTTCTTCAGCCTGGCTTGGTGCTGACTGGAGGCTGAGAACAGTCCTGTTATTCCTGAGGAAATCATGCCCTGGAAATGGATCAGCATTACCAAAGAATCGTTCACAAGGACGGCTCATGCCGTACCTTTGCAACTTTCTAAGGTGTGAAATTGGAAATTAGGTTCAAGGGACCTTGAGCAAACGAAGTCAAGCGAGCCCTCCTTCCAATGCCGATGTCAACCCTTTATTGAGATCTAGAAATACCTTTTCAGCTGGTTCTTTCGGCCCAAGCGTAGCTGAGTAGAAGTTTACTTCATTCTAGGAACTCTTCCATTGGCCCAATTCTTCGCTAAGGACACAAATACGTCAACGTGTAGCAGCAGTCCCGGGCGGCTTTGTTTGCCACATCCAGGAGAATCGCTTCGGGAAGAGATGTGCTAGTCAAGGGGCCCGAACTCGCGGATTAAGTGCAAGGGATCGAAGAGACACTGAAGGTGGGATTTGATAGGGTGTGATCGTTGAAAGCAGCACGTGGATTTATGTACAGCTTTGGTCCTGGTACATTGAGAGCTAGTGAACACGTGAAAATTTTGTGGCTAGGCGTCTTAGTTCTCTCTGACGATATGCCCTTGAGTGAGGATAGACCCATCGTGAGAGAGTTAGCGATCTAAAGCGTAATTGTCCGTGGCCACCACCTTCTACGCGCTCGCTCCTAAGAACACACCTAGCGCATATATGTTTCGACATCGGCGGTAAAGCGCTCCAGACAACTTACCAGACAGAAAAGACAACCCAATTGACGGCGAGTGTTCCCAAGTGTAACGCCGTAATTGCTACTCGTTATTTCCGACTTGTAGCTGAAGGACCGCTCTCAAATGGTTTCAATCGAGAGCTACGAAAACTTTGAACAGGAGATATTCACGTTCTTCGAAAAGTGCCTAGAAAACCCGAGTCATGCACGGAGGCACTTATTTCGATACATAGTAGAACAGTCGGACACATATCCCATCTTGAGTCAACACCCGTTATTCATAGCTCTCAGCCAGGGCGATTGGCCGCCTGAGAGCTTGCGGAGTGATAAATCTATTCCGGGAGATATCTACAACGACGATCTTAAGCTATTCCATCACTTTTTGATATCCTTTGCAATCCTTGCTGGGCCCAGATCGTGGGAACGAAAATGACTTGCCAAAACCTCTGCAGGATATTTTGCACAATCCCCGTCTCAGGTATGACTACCTTCACGCCACCCTCATTCCACTCTCCAAGCTCACCATCACCACACCTGGACTTTTGTGACTGGTCGTAAGAGGCGCGGGGTCATGGGCGATGTTCGCCGAGAGACGTATAGCGTCGAAGCAGTTGACCTCGCGTAGTTGGGTGGGCAGCTTTGGAAGATGGCGGATCTCGCGCCAGGGACTGCTGCTCCCCCGAGATAGGAGGACCTGCCAATTTCCGGAATCAGCTAATAAATTCCAAAGGAGATCAGAGCCATGAATACGACTGTTCGGGAGCTTCCACTTACATTCCGTGCTGCCTTATACACACCAGGTAACCGAATTTTGATGGCCTTGCTTGCGGCTATGATGGTATGCATACTATGGATGAGGGGAATGAGGAAGGGGACCCAGTGAGTACTGCCTAGTGCAAATTCTATGGTCTTTTGCTAGAGTGGGAGGGGGACACTTCCATTTTTCTCGTTCGGATCAGTATGTCTTTGGATATCTGTCACTTATGGGGGTTTTAGTGGGTATGTTTCGAGGAATTTGCGGATGCCCTTGAGCGCGGTGTGCGAGATATCTTGCATTGAATGCCCTCTTCGGGTGCTTCTGCTCGTCTATCTTGGGATACAAATGAAAAGAGTGGATCGAGGGGAACTCCTCAATGCGTTGAAAATGAGGGCTGAATTGAGGGATGGATGGAAAGAGCTTTTATAGACCCAGGTTCTTTCTTCTTTGTAGGCGCGATTTCTGAATGTTGGGATTGAATAGGGGCCTAAGCGAGGAGCCAGGGGTCCCAAGCGAGCCCCTTCAGAGAGTTTCTTATTCGGGAAGCACAACTCACGAGGATGGTGTTCAGAATTAAATGAACAAATAAATCTAAGAACTTCTATATAATGAGTGCATTCTCAACATAAGACAGGAAGACAACGCTTGTCTAGCTTGTGATTGAATTCATAAAACAAAGAAAGATGTAATTTCATGCAGTAAAGACATGTGGAATGCCGCATCTTCATTGCTAATTTTGAACTGTGGTTGTGCCTACGACGGCGCTATAATTGTATGGTTTCTTTCTCTATTTGTAAGAGAAAGATAATATGCACTTTGAGTGAACAGGACTTTTTTCTGTCAACAAAATGAGGTATACGTCACGTGATATTGATTCTCTGTCCTCCAAGACCAGCTCATCCGAAATGCAGGCACTGATTATTGATTATTGATGATAGATTATATATGGATACGCATGGCGACTCGATGGAATCCTCTGCATTATGCTACCATTTGTGATCAAAAGTAGGGAGCTCGGGCTTCGATGCTCCAAGACTCCTAGTGCATTTCTCCCGGCATTACATGTTGACATCACCACTCCAAAATCACAGCCTCGCGAGATCCCATATGGAGAACCTCACATTCGCATCCAGAACTTAATTCATTAAATCCTTACCAATATACTTGTTTATCTCTCATCAGGATGGGAATCTCACACTCCACAGCTAGGTGGGTTGCCCCACTCTCCTTCGCCATCGACTTCGCAGCTCAGCAATATGGAATGCTCTCTTCCCCAAATATGAGAGATGTCCATGATGCAAACCTCTCTTTTTGGTCACCTCAGCCATACTTCATAGCAGGATTCTTCTTCCCGCAACAGCTGTTCCAGTTAGCATGGTTGTATCGACTCTACAAACTGGACCCGAGCAAGAGTGCGAAGGACAAGGAGGAGGTACAGATCATGGTGGATTTTGTGCCTTACTACGCAGTTGGTAATATCTGCATTGCAAGTATGACTGATCTTCCTTGCCTTTTGATACCCCTTTGGAGAAAGGTGCTAACAATTGATAGCTTGGATGGTGTTCTGGAATGCCTCCGAACTAAAGACAGCAAACGTATTCGTGCTCATCAACTCCTTGACGCAACTTTACTATATTTTTGGACGTCTGCCACGAATGAATACACGCTCAACATCCTCCGTACTTACGCACATCGTTTCGAAGACGTTTGCGGGCATTGGAGTCCTGGACTTCTTGCACAATGGCTCCGTAGCCTATTTCGATCATCAGGGCCCGAATACATTGGTCAAGGTCTTGACGGGTGTGGGGTTTGGAGCTCTTGCAAGCTGCAGTGATTGGATTTTTGGAGGATGTTTGGTATATGATTTGGTTGCCTTGGCTGTAGGACAAAGAGGCATCGGAGAGACGGGATGGAGCATTTTATTGGGAATTTTTGCTGTGGGCACAGCGGGCATTGTTACTGCCAAAAATTGGGTTTGGTAGGTGGGTGCGTTCCATGGAGTATATACCTGGAGGGGAAATGCTGATTGTGATGCAGGCACCCGTATGTGAAGGAGGATCTCGCTGCGGGGTACGAAGCTGCTCCAGCGGAAGACACGGTGTAGGGCTTTGTAAAAATAATTTGGCTAGCTATTATGGGTTCTTTTCAGCTGCAAATAATCCACCTCGCTGCAGCACCGATCCTCATCTCTTTGATGCGGGATGGAAGAACAAAGAAGTCTCTATCGTGACCCCTGATTTGGTTGGTTGTCTTGGCGATGTGCTCTGTGGCTTGCATGTCAGCTGCAAGAAACTGAGGCTCGGCAACCTCATTCCTCATTCGAAATCTCTCTGCTTCAAGACATTTCCTTGGGCTCTTTCTCTTCATCACGCCCATTCTTATGTCATTTATTATTCGAATCTAGTTATAATTGAGAGCCCTCAAGATGGACCCAGGCACAGCCCTCGCCATTGTGGGCCTCGGTTTGGATGCGGTGAAGGACCTCCATTCGTACTATGTAGTCTGGAAAGACCGCGATCGGGATGTGGAAGAGGTCGGACAGCAATTGATTTGGCTTATGAATCTTTTCCAAACTATGCAAATAACGCTCAAACAGGATGATCTCAACCCAGCCCAAGTCCAGATGATTTGCGGCTCGATTAAGAAATGCGAGGAAATCATAACCAAACTCAAAGTTAAGTTGGCCAAGGTAAAACGAGAAGGAGATCCGCGTACGTTGCTGAAGAAATTGGACGATCAAAGGAGACGGGCGCTTTATCCTTTCAAGAAGGGGACTATCGGTGGCCTTCTTGACCTCATTGACAGCTGCAAAGAAGAAATGAAGATGGTTATTCCGTTGCTCAACCTGTAAGTTTGAAATCGTGTCTGCAGTCTAGTAACTCGTCTCTCCCATAGATTCATCAGGAAAGATCCAAAAGGGTTAGAGAGACTTGGATATCAAAGTAACATCCGTCTCTAGTGTTGTTAATGAAACGAAGGTGATGATCGTGGATGGGACCAAAGGTACCAAACCCGATACTTTGAGTGAGGCTCTGCTGATAATTTATGACAGAGAAGGAGCGGAAATGAGTCATGGACTGGTTGAAGCCCAATCAGCCAGGCAGCTATCCATGCCGCTACTTCAAGGAATCACGAACCGGGGACTGGAGAATGGTTTCTAGAGGATAGAGATGAGGCCGATGCGAGCGCCATTAAATTTGTTAGAAGAGTCACCTCGATGTCCAACCCCGAGGCGAATATATCTGAGATTGTAAGGCAGTGGCCAGGTAACGATCACGAATAGGCGGATTGCACGGGAGTGTCAGTCCTCCATTTATTTCAGAGAAACTGTAAGTCTCAGCTTTTCGAAGTACTATTTCCTCTTTTGTAGCAATGTCCAGCAGCTCCTGGAACATTCTACTCCCGAAAGTACTTTGAAGAAGTATGCTGACTCCGATTTCTTGGGGAACAGGGTGGCGGCGGTTGTGATAAATCTCTCCTCAGAATCACTACTTTCTACTTAGAACCTCTGCACGGTCCGACATTCAAATCAGAGACGCGGCTGACCCTTGAATCACTGCAGGCCCGTTCCGGAGTTGATATTGCCTCTGAAAGGCAACTTCTATTTTGGAGTCGTATATGGATCTTTCATAATGTAGATGCTGTTCGCTTTTTTTCTCAGGGCGTTATGTTTTGAAACTCCACGGGGGTGGATGAGAGTTTCGAAACCCGAATCTGTGACTTTTACAATCAGCCTCATCATTTCCATGCTCGAGAAACGGCGCCTGCAACAGGACAGACCCGATAAAAGTGGGCATGAACAATTTCCAATAGATGTGGCTAGCTCGAGTAGCGCACAACTTCAGGAGACTGGAATTCAAACGGGCGGCAGTTTTCTTTACGGGCCAGCTCATTTGATAGCCCGAGGAACCTCTTTGCCATATCCACCCGATCAGGTAAAAGAGAAGCAGGTGTTCCCCGGTTTCGTCTACTATACATGTTGCGTCTTAGCCGATGAAATTCCTAAGCTGGAAACTGCTACTATAGAACCTGTCATTATCCTAGAACCCTCCTCTCTTTTCTGGAAAGCTAAAAGGAGGCGGAGAAAATGGAAAGCTTTCCTTTATTCCCTATTAACTTTAAGAATAATTAATAAATAGCTTTATTTCTAATCTCGAAATACTATTAAAATATAACTAGTATTCATAGCGTATTTATTTTCCTTGCCTAAAAGCCTTCTCAAAATTGGTAATCTCCCTAACAGCTCTATCTTTATGCTCCGTTTCGCTTTGAACTTGTCCTTGGGAAAGAAGCTCTATGGCGCTCGAGACATCGTGTAGATAGCTATTGAGGGTCATGGAATCATTTGTGCCTTTAGCAGCCCTATTTGTCTTATTTTAGAAAAGACACAATAGTGTAGTAGATTGTCAAAATCCGAACCTTGACGAGTCCATGTTTGTTTTCCTCGTGGGAAGTCTTTTAATCTTCTCGTCCATGATGTGTCCCTTTTAGTCAAAGATGGGGCTTTGGAAGATATGATATGCGAAATCGTTATGTGAGACAGCCGCAATATGCTTCCTTTACGGGAAAAAGTGGGGAAGTCTACAGAAGATGGACGATATTCGAAGAGAAACTTACCCTCCGCGAGGTCTGTCCCATCCCATTTATAGCTTTGATTTCGAGTTGCTGGCCAAAACGCTGGACTGTGCACAAATGTCCTCGAACTGAACTCGACTTCAAACCCAATTGCATCCACCCGCGCACATATGTGCACGATCATACGCTCCTTAATTACACGTGATTATATCACGTGAGTAATTCCCTGCAAGGAAAGGGTTGTGCACAAATGTGTGCAGACCCCTGCCAACCTCAGCCCCGCCCCAGCCTCATTACAATGGACGCCTTAATCTTGATTTTTTTTTTTTCAACCTTCTCTTGTATCACGAAACGCGAACGGGTCTTTTGCTTCTCCTCGAAGGCTTTGGAAGGAATAGCCCGCATTCGGCTGCTCGAGGAGTCATTGAGAGTCTTACATTGATTTCCTGTCCTTGCTTGGAGCGGCTGGCAGAACTGACAGTGCGATCCTGACATCGTTTCTCCCATTTTTCGTCTAGGAATACTATAGTTGACTACTGAGGTATCGAGAGAGATTGAAGCCTTTGGTAGCAGCAAACGCTCTCCTGAAACGCAGGATAAATTCTCCGAGCTTCTTGTCATTCCCCAAGCAGACGGCAAGCTCCTTGTCCCCACGGTCTCCTTCGCAATGCTCGCAAATCCACTTCTCCGGTTTTCAGGGCACATTGAATTGCGACCCTTGCCATCCAACAGTACGCTTTCTAGCAAAACCTTGCCTTCCGATCACATAAACGTAGGGGCGGACGCATTGCAAGGCGCCCCCCAGCAACCTCAACAGCACGTCGATGTTCATCAAAATCATAAGATCTCGAAACCATTTCGCCGGAAAATCAGCAGAGCCTGCGACCAATGCAACCAACTCAGAATGAAGTGCAACGGCCAAAGCCCTTGCGCCCACTGCGTCGGTAAGCTTCGTGCCCCAAATGATCAGACTTTGCTAATCCAACTTAGAATTCGGCCTAGGCTGCGAATATCGCCGAGAGCGAAGGAAGTGTGAGCAAGCCTCGCGTAAAGATCTCGTACAACAAGCCACAGCTGCTGCCTCTTGCAGCAGCGGCGTTGTGAGCTCCTCATCATCAGTCCTCATTAATTCCAGTAGCCGTATCGAGACATATTCAGCCGCCGACTCAGCTGCGCTATTAACACCCGTCAACCTTGTGAGCTCCTGTCGACAAGACAACTCATTTTCAGTTGATCCAGCCTCCGAACATACGACAGGCCACAGTGCATGCAGTGCGTTTTCGAGTGCCGAGAGCTCATACGACCCGGACTGGACAGCTATCTCTGACCTCGCCGAGCCGAGACGTATCCAGAACCGCATTGGTCAGAGAAATTATCGTGGGTGGCCTTACCACAGTAATCTTGCGCTCACAACTAACTAATAATACAGGCAAGAAGCTTAAAAGACGTCTTGAAGATCTCGAAAGACGGGCAGGATCATCCTCGACTTTTCTATCTCAGGCGCAAGAAGAAAACCAGTACAAGATAAGTCCACAGGTGGGCCAACTGTCACCAAGCAGCTTGGCAAGCCAATATACTCCACCATTTCAAGACGAAGATAGTACATTTTCCCAGGGATTTGACAAGAAGAGACCTCAAACGCCCCCACTTTTTCAATATCACTCGTATCCAGCCCCGGAAGATATTATCTATTCACCATACCGATCGGTACACACCAGCCAGAAGCTTGAGGACTATCGGTCACCAACAGCAGCTATGTTACCTTCAATGATACACCTCCACCATCCCATAAAGCCGAAGAGCCACGAGACTGTTCTTCATAACGTTACCGACAAAAGACTCGCAGAAATCGATCTTTATGGCCAGCGCAGTTTTCATGTCTCTAACCCATCCACAGTTCCTTGCATTCATTCCTGTATTACAGAGAATGTATCAAGTGATGCTTCAACAGAATCGCTGTGTTTGGAAGAGAACCCAGTTGGAGATGATGATGCTGATAGTGAGGATGATACCCTCATGATTTCTTTAGTTATGAAGAGGAAAACAGAGCTAGTTGATCGAATGATGGATTTGTTGTGGAACAATTTTAATCAGTACTGGGACCGAGGATTACGCCAATGTGGATCAAGGCTGGAATCAGGATCGGAACATGTTACGACATTGAGAACTCCTTCAAGAGAGCCGGATGACAAAAAAGGAAGGAAGCGTTCGCGTGATGATGATGACGATGACGATCAATCTAGCAATGGAAGCGGAAGACAACGAAAGCGTAACGGCAAAGGTTCACCTGAGGATCTCAACGAGTTACTGAAATTTGCTTGCCCATATCGGAAACATAATCCACAAAAGTACTGTGCTCAGGATTGGCGCACCTGCGCATTAACGCCACACAGTGATGCGGCTCGCGTGAAGTAAGATCATATCCCGCGGTTCCATATCATTTACAAGTACTAATACTGATGTTCTAGACAACATCTTTACCGAATACACAGAATCCACCAGTGTGCACGATGCAAATGCACTTTCAAAGACCAGGAGAATCTCGAAGAACATGTATTGGCTATTAAAGGCTGTGATGTTTCGACAAGGGAGCCGGTTGATGGCATCACCACCAAGATGAAAGATATCCTGCAAGTTACGAAGGGTGAATATCGTCGTCAGTCTGAAGCAGATAGGTGGAGAGGGATATATCGCCTTTTATTCCCCAATGAAGAGATTCCTAGCCCATGTAAGATTTTACCCAACGTTCCTGCTTTAAATTTTGCTCACAGCCAGTGTAGATTTCGAACCTGTTTTGGAACTTCAGGATTCCGTTAATCTAACCCCAGATCGAGAGATTTTGGACTTCCAAGAATACATGCGGCGGCAAGTCCCCCGCTTCTTTCGAAGCGCGCTAGAAACGATCGTGAATAGCGAAACTCAACATCTCGAGGAGGATTTGCGAGATCGATTGATGGAACTCATCGAAGAGTCTCAGAGTCTGGCTATAGTCAGTTATCGCGAGAGACAAACCGTCGTGGTAGCTCATTTGCCACGGCCGATGTCTGCGAACCAAACGAGTATCGAGCTAACACCAAACAACACGATGGCTTCCAAGAAAAGCAAAAGCCCTGTCGCTGAAACTTTAAGCTTCTCTCCGCGAGCCCCAGCTCAGCTCGAAGCTTCCTTTGATATCCAAGCTAGCTCTGTGCAAGCCTCTCAGAAAGCAACAAGCTCGTCCGATTCTGGTTATATAAGTTCTGAATCAGGCGACATCGAAAGTACCAACAGTAGCGGGACTTCAAACATGCAATCCCAGATGTTTTACTCCTCTGAACTACTGGCTAGCAACCTTAGCGCAAACTTAACCTACAATGCTATATCGCCAGCAATTTCTGATAGCTCCAACACCGCTCAAGGAGGTGACTTGATCAATTTCGGCGGGGGTGTGGAGGGCTCATCTTGGGAAGATTTTTTCTCAATACCTGATATGAGCACTGAAGCATTGTGATGCCCAAATTACAGCCAAGAATGAAGTCTGAAAGTCTCTCTCCACTCGCATCCGATTCCCATGCAGAGATCTCGATATTTTTCACTCACGGCGGCTGAACTAGGCGAGAATGCTGCTTAAGATTGCTAAGCAGCGAGCTGTAGTTTTATTGAATTTATTTAGATTGGCTATAATGGAAGCTGCGTGAAAGGAGATCAAGATTCGTTGCGAGATATCTATGCCTATCCGCATCCAAAATCGTGTCGTACCCTGGGCAGTCAAGGTTGTGCTATATGTTGAACTTGAAGAAGTTGGTTGTTGTGTCTTTCAGGCTGGGGAAATGTTAGCAGGGTGTTAGTTGTAAAAAGCGAGAAGTCAAAACACGTTATGATGTTGTCAATCTTGCTCAGGATGATCAGGCCTGCTCAGGCGAGCTGCTCAGGGTGCTCAGGGTGTCAGGGTGCTCAGGCGAGTTGCTTGGGTTGATCATGCAGCTCAGGTGAGTTGAGTGAGCCGAGGGTGAGCCGAGGGTGATTAGCGCCTGAGGAAGCGCAGCAAGCTTACTAACTCTATACGGAACTCAAGAAAGAGAAAATTGATTCATGATACCCCTAAATCGGCTATTGGTGCCACCAAGTAAAGGAGCCAATCATCAAAACAAATTCTCTGACTGGCCTTCTTACAGCTGAAGACCAGAATCATTTGTGGCACTATTGCCTTAACAATAAGCGTTCCAAAATAGAGAAGTTTACGGCTGTTACTTTTTGGATTGTGCGAAAGTACAGTACAATAGCTTGGATGTATTCTCTTACGCTTCATGTCGCCGTTAGGGGGTGGGCCAAAGACCTGCGAATTGTACTTCCTGGGTTCCGAATTTTGGCCTTGAAGGCCGAAGTATCGAGCCTCTGATTCAGGGGGTTTTTGGACTCAAGAACTGTGAAGATCTGTACAACGCTGGAGAAAAAGAAGCTGGATCTTTCAGCGTTTCCGAGGATAATTCTTGCCTAACAGAATCCGGCATTCGGGTAGATCACATCCTTGCGGTAGAGGATGCCTTCACAGGTCAAGAGCCGAACTTGCAGCTACTCAATTTCTTCAATCGTGCTACACAAAATGGACTTGGCAAGAAGCCAATTCTATCACAATCTACGTTAGGGGTGTTTTGGAGGACTTTACATCTCGATCAAAAGAGTGCGCGGCGACTTCAAAATGATGATGAGCATCTGGTTGACTTCCACCCCGACAACGATAGAGATGGTCGCGTGTGGTTTCAGAAGGATGACCTCTTCGATCTTCAGTACTGTAAAGGGAGATGTCTCTTGACATATAAAGAAGGATATCTTTGTCTCGGACCTGTGGAAGCAAAGGCAGGAGACCTTATTGTCGTAATGCCTGGCGGCAAGGTACCCTATCTTTTGAGAGAAACCGGAGGAAAATCTGAATTGATTGGAGAATGGTATGGAGCTTCCGAACAACCACACTTAAATCTAAGAAACAAGCTAACCCCTCCGCAGCTATGTACATGGAATCGTGGATGGAGAAGTCATGGACGACCTCCGGGAGGGAAAATATACACTTCTAGAATTTAGTATTGCATAAATCTACGCTGCATTAACGCCTCGCCTTGTCAACAGAGAAATTATTTCCCTTTAAATGTACCACAGGAAGCGGTAAATTGAAAATTCTGACGAAAATTAGGAGGACAATTTGGGGGGCCTTTTTGGGATGTCTTCTTATTTTCAAATGAGAAGCCTCTATTCCCGGCTTGCAAGAATGCCAGCAAAGCATTCTCAAATAAACCCTAAGCAGAAACCATATGAAATCCATGCCAAGCAACGCCCCCGCACTGGGTACACTCAAGCAGCTCTATCCAAGGCCTAGCCCACCACTCAACCTCCAAACTGTCATCCCCTTCATCCACCATCCCTCACCATATTACTACCTATCCACCATATTTCTCCCTCAACTTCTCCCACACAATTCTCGCGTCCAACTCCCTCAACTCCGCCTTCCTAAGTGCACCACGGCTATCCCTCTTCGTCGAACACCACAACAATACATCCTGAGCCAGCATGCCCTCCATCGTCAGGAACATCCATCCCAGGGCCGTCTCATCTTTTCTCTTCTCTTCCGCCTCCTTAAGAGCTCTTTCCTCTGCCAAGGTTGCTTCTTCAGCTTGTCGTGCAATTTTCCATTCTCTCCTCCTCGTAGTGAGGAGCGCGAGGGCTTGTTGTTCGGCGTCCGAGAGGAGGTTGGAGTGGGCGGGAGCTTGAGTGAGGGAAAGACATGGCAACGGATCGGGAGTGAGGGTGGAGATTGGCGCAGGTGTGGGAGCGAGGGGATTGATGCTGCTAGAGAGATCGAGGATGAGGAAGGCTGCTGTGATCCTGCTTTTCCACGGTGCGTAGTCACTCTGGCCTGTGAGGCGCGGGATGTCTTTGGCGCTGATTGCTGTCATGTTGATTTTTTGCTGATGTTGAAGGTGGTTGTGTTGTGGTTGGGGTTTGGGAGCAAGACGAGACCTGAAATAGGTGGGCGCGCAAGGAAGGGGAAATGGATTCTGTTTCCGCTGATGTGCACAGCCGGTTTGTGAAGTAAATTGGCTGAAAGGCGTGGCGGTAGGAGAGATAGAACAAGCTGATCTTCTCCAAAATTCGCGGTGGTCCTTTGTAGTGAATAAGCAGAAAGAAGCAGGAGGTGGTTTGGTTTCCGTGATGTGCAAGGCCGTTGTGTAAAGGAATTGGGACGAAAGGGGAGGTGGTCATTGTGTTTCCGTCGATGTGTGAGGACGTTATATAAAGTGAATAAGCTGAAAGGTAAAAGTTATGGGAAGGGCCATTCTATTCTTCTTCAATATTGGAGACTTAAAGAAGCAAAGGAAATTAGTCAGGTGGTTCAGGATGCTCTCCTCTCAAATACAAGGAGATCTTTTGGAGCGAATAAGCCAAAAGGAAAAAGTGATAGGAATAGAAAGGACAAGAGGCTACAATGAGCTGTTCTTTATCGATTAGCTCACTTAAGAATAAGGCATCAGATTGTAAAAGAACTTCAATTTAGCTGCTTCCAAAGTGCCTTGCATGTAGGAGTCAAAGTACTCAAGAAGAGCAGGACAGAAAATGCTTGGCGATTCACTTGTGCTTAGAACCATAGGCGAGATCACTAAACAAGAGTTGATTAAAGAGAAATTACAAAAGAATGTTGGCTCCCGTGGCTAATCAAGTGAAAAATTAATTCAGTTTTTTGTTCTAGCGCTCGACAACGGTTAAAGATACGGTTCAGGATCCGTGTTAAGGAGAAGTTAAATATGGAGTTGAATATCCGATCTATGGAGCTTACAATGATTGGTTGTCGTTAAACTTATTGAGAGCACTAATAATGCCACAGCTGTTCTTGCAAGTGGGAATACGAGATCCGCTCAACATTTTTAACTCGAGAGAGGAAGAACCTAATAAAGGGCTAGACCAGACGGTAGAGATGTTTCAACATCCAGTCTGAAGTTGGTAGTGGTATGATATGGATGTGAATTAATACACACGCCAAGGTCAATCAAAGGTACAAACTTCTCAATAAAGAGTGTTTAATTCACTTCAGGGGAACTAGCTTCCCGAGTATGCTATTGCAGTTCTGACAAGGCGCATGACAATTTCATGATATGAACATCTTGTTTAATAGAGGAATAAAGAAGCACTATCTCGAACAGTAAGAGCGGCGTATAATTAGGCTGATTAAGGGCAGATTTCGTCTCGTTGCTTTGGTGAAGTTGGATCTAGAGAGTAGCGTATCTCGGCTAGAAGCGAGACAGAAAAAGGGGGGCTTCTACACTCCACATCTAGCTAACAGGGAGTTAGTTACAGGATGTACTAGTGATGCTACTCCCATCCTGCATTCTCCGCATTGGTCCTGGCTTCGGGGGGATCCCAAGCCAAGCAAGAAGTCTCATTCCCTGCGAATAAGCAGAGAACTGTCCAAAACTTTAACCATTTCCAGCTTTCTGCAACCTGTGCTGCCAGCCTAGCCCTCCAATGATGAAAGAGCGTGCTAGCGCAAAAATATTCTTGCATCATTCCATCTCACTGTGGGGCAGGAAAGACATCATCAGCCTTACAAGCAGCCTTACTAGTGCAAGCACGTGTGACCTCATACTCGCCACCAAAAGACGTCAGGCTAAAAGATGCACGTTCTTGCAGAAGCGGACACGATCCCACGAACACTTTCGATATAGCTTTCTTCAGGACACCATCTCAATTTCAAAAACGGAAAGAAGAGTCCGAGAACACCGGTCAGGTCATCTAGCTTAAGTACAGTACCTCCACACCGACCTCATGTCCTAATGAAATAAATTATGGGAACACGCTAGTACTGGGCTTTTGATGACAGTACTCTGCTGATCAATCGGTCGATGGCCATCCTTGCAGCCTTGTGCATCGAGGCATCTTGCCAATGAGAGGTGTCAACAACCTCCAAGGGTTCGTGAGAGGCTGACTGCAGCTTCAAAATCGCCTTTCACTTTGGAGGCAAAGAGGAGGAGAGACTCCGGAGTAAACATGGTGATGTGTCCGGAGCAGCACTGGGTAAAGCAATAAAGATAACGCACTAGTTTTTTCTGCATGAGGTCTGATGGGGATATTCTTTGGTTTGGCTGGATGAAGACTTGCCACGAGGAGAATAGAGGGGCCCATCGAGATTATCGAGACCGGAGCTTCTCCGCCAGAAAACAAGCATCTGTGTATGGAGCAGTACCAGGTACTGCCGTGTAACTCCTGCTGGTGGGATGCCGGTAACCAAAATGTTCTTCCTTGAGGGTTGCATCGATATAGGTGTACCATCTCCCTGGATCCTTTGGCGGAGCAGCTCCGTAATTGTGCAAGGTCTCGTCTCTGGACCAGGATCGCATGAGAACTGTCAGATGCTCTGAAAGATAGACAAAAGATTTTCCTCTGGAGTCTGCTTCGAGACCGAGGAAGACAATCGAAAGCTTGTGTGATCATGCTCTGATTGGGACAACGCGCCTCATCTTTCGATCTGACGTTTAGGGTCGACCGTCAACCGTGTCATCTCCGTGCTAAAGACTCCACCTCGATGCTCGATTGCAACAGCAACTTCCGTACTCGGAGCTGCCCCAAGCTCTGAACACCTCATCTGAGATTCGCCTTCATGCCCGGTTCTGAACCCTCCGATGAAGCGACTATCATTGAGCCCAGGATATCATCTGCAGTGTGCCGATGTCAAACTCATAGGCTTGGGCGCTCCAGCGGCTGCCATGACATCGCCGGCGACGTCAAACTGAGATCAGATAATTGGGTCCTCCTTACCCGTAGCCAAAGGTTGTCGAAAAACCCCGGAGTCCTCACACCGGCTTCAGCTCTCACGGCTCTCTTCCCTTGAATGCGGCATCATCTCACTCCATCCTCTTCAGCCGCGACAGACGAGAATGCCACTTCCATCAGAGACCGACTTCCTCGCGGGGATGATGCGTTGATCCGCACACGTTGTCCCTCAAGCAGTCGAAGAAAATCCTTGAATGCCGTCTCCCGTGGCGAATGGGACGTTGACTTGTCTCGCTTGCGTGCCGGGAGGCAGGGTCCATGACATCAAAACAGCCTTGGCATACGTTTGGGGACTTCCTTGATTTAATTGGACAATGGCCGAGAACTTCAAAGTATTTCTTCACTTCGATCCTATTTTGATCTTCACTTAATGGTAAAGTCTGGGACCAGCGTGTGCAACGGTCTGTGAAATTCTCCGAAGTCTCATAAAATACGATATGGTGATATCTGCACGTCAGCCTTCCAAGTAGCAAGGAAAACGAGACAACGGGAACTTTCCTCGAAAATGCTTGTCGAGGCTTGAAATGTACTTGAAACAACTGGGTTCCACTCTTCTTTAAGGAGGAAGATTTGCGCTGCGCAGGATGGGGCCGGGTGATGATATATAATCGGTACCCCAGCACCTTGCAGCAAAACATTGGAGTCGGACAATCATTTCCCAGAAACTTCGGGAGTGCTTTCATGTCCCGTCCAAGGCTCAAAGCTACCAATCAAGAAACTTTTGCCTCGAATGAGCTGTTGATGATCCTTGATCAGGCTGCATGCGTGATTTCTCGCCTTGCAAAGTGCTGATCTTCACGTTCAGAGCCAGGGACTTACTTTTCATCCGGATCAGCCTTGCCACGCTCACAGCCTTGGTGATGTTCCACCTTTGTATCTCTAACTTACTGGCGGAGCCATTGCTCCCCTCACGTGTCCAGATGAAGTTCAGGATAATGAATCATTTCAACCCGCCACTCGCGGTGGGGTCTAACTTCACTTTCCGTCAAAGTCTAAAATCCTTCACGAGACTCGCCAAGGCACGAAATCCAATCCCGGGTTTGTAGTCCCCTTGACTAGGCTTCAATTCCCATCTTGTGGCCGCACTAGTCTATCAATAGCCTTGTCGTCTCATCTTTTTCTCGAAAGTTGATTTGTTGGAAGGAAGTTCAGGGTTGCCCGCCACCGCATGACATCGCTTCGTTGGAATGACGCGAGATCTTCAGGGTTCCGTCCCTTTTCGGCAATAGGCACTCTCCACTCCACCATCCTTCCAAGTCCTCGAACTAGGGGTCGTGAGAGATGAGGTGATTGGTTGATCATGACGATTGAGCCTTCCCGCTTTGCAAGGGTTCTCAGGATCGGAGGGCTAAATAAAAGCGGGTCACTCTGGGAATGGAAACAGAGGATGCGGAGGTTGAGTAGAGCTAGTTTTAGTGGATTGGGGGTCCTAGTCAGATTAAGTCAGTGCGTGAGGTGCGCCTGTTGGTCGGGCATAGTTCCCGGCTTCTGGGTGATATATAGGACCCTTAAGCCCCGCCGTTTCTGGTCTTTGAAAAGCATATTCACATCAAGGTACTGGTACCTCATCTGCAAATATTTATATCGTTGATCGAATCTCCTTTCTGCCAGAACAACTCCTCTATTCTACCTTCCCATACTCTCAACTACTTTCCTCACCTCCAAGAACTTCAAATTCCAAATGTCGTCCTCAACAACACACCTCCAAAACCCACAACCATCGACGGAATATGATATGGACGGACAATTTTCTCTCTCCGCATATGCAAGGACGATGCACCAACACACCAAGAAGCAGATGGAAGCCGCATCACGATCAGCTCGAAGAAGGACAGCGAACGAGACTGGGACGAACGTACACGGACGATTAAATCAGGAAGGAAGTGTCTCGAGTATGGATAGTACCCGATCGTCTTGATCTTGGTTGGGGTTGGTGATGATGAACCTTGTCAACCATCACTGGTGATAGGTGTCGTGGTTGGTTGGTCCGTCCGTCCGTGTCATGAGGCTGTACATATGGGACATTGATGGCGTTATGGTGTCGTTTGGATTTGAGCGGCATTGTGTTATACTTGGGTGGATACATGGCCGGCAGTGCGTACATTCTCTGATGATATTACTCGTCATGATAAAAATATAGACGACAGTTCAACTTCCTCATCTCTCATTTATTGAATCTGTCATGGTGTTCTTGATGCAACAGTAATGACTTTTCAAACTCCATTTACTTTTAAAGGATCAAGAGTTGGCAGTGTTTGAAAGAACCAATAATGGCAGTAAACTACACTGTGCTGAATATTTGGCCGAGAACAAGGTCGTAGAGGACGGCTGAGTCCTGCCAGGAAAACTCAAGCGGAGCGACCTTCAAATCCAATTCGCTTGAGTTCGGGAGCTGTTCTCAACGTCCTAGTTCGAAAGACACCTTGGTCCCATCTTGCATTCATGGTATTTATGTAGAGGACATTTGAAGCGAGTTGATATCACGAATTTTCGTCAAATACCAGAATTTTGCCCCAGAAATGTCGGAACAGTCGTCAACCACCTCGCCAACCCAAGCCTCGTCAAATTCCAACGGAATCTCACCTCGTTGGGATCGCCAATAATTCGGACTCCTCACCAACTCCTTATACCCTCTAATCATCCATCCCCACTCCCTCAAACAACTGCGTAACCCCCCACCCCTCCGCATCCCACGGCTCTCTCCAAACAATCAGACCCGTTCTCGTTGTCGAGAAAAACCGATTAAATCAGCGCAGAGTTCTAACTCATCGTACAAATTACCAACGCGCAGGAGATTGTCCCTCATTCGTGGGTTTGGCAAAAGATCGATCCACGGATGATGAGGAACTGTGCACTGGAGCTTTGTTGGTCGGAGGCTGGGCGGAAAGGATGAGGCGGTAGTCGTGGTCCCTTGGGAGCGAGGAAAGTATGAAAGCGTATTGTCGGCTGGGAGTCAGAGAATCAGGGAGTTTCTGAGCATGACACGGAACACGTTGAACTTGACCAGTGTCAAGAAATGATCCACTGGCGGAGAGATTTTGCAGCAATTGGCGGTTATCCACGTCCGAATTTGGAGACGATGGTTTCTGGTGTGGTGCTAGGTTTCCATATTGATGCTGTGCGGGCTAAAGCCATGTGATTGATCTTTGATGACCCAACTGCGGAGTGGAAAGAAGGCCGTAAGTCCTCTGGGTTTGCAGAAGGGTTGGGATTCAGTTCGCGGTTACTTTTTATTCTGCAGACTCGGGCTTAGGCTTGATATTCACAAATCGCTCAGGGGGGACTTCAGGGATGGAGTTTAAATATACTTTTCTCCGTTCTTTTTCCTGCGAGGTATATAAGCACGAGATTCTTCTAAAAGCTATAGTTCAGAGGATTCTACTTGGAGGAGAACCACCGGCTTACTCTTTGGTTCAGCAGATTCTGAAGTTTTCTTCGCCCTGCAGCGCTGGATAAGCCTGACCAGTCGTCGCCTGCGAGTAGCCCCTGCCGCCATGGCATCCGTTTTAGTACTATTGAGGATGCATCTGAATTTTCTTCCCCTGTTCGACGCATGAGAGCGAAGGGCTACGCTGTATCGTCAGCTCGATGGAAGAGTTTTAAGGTCGGACTCAATAGGTAAGACCACTTGAGAGCAATCCTGAACTGGCTTAGAAAAGAAACCTCAAGGATTCGAGTGTCGATGCAAGTGGCTAACAGTGAACAATCTCTGACACCGCGAGAGCGATGTGAGAGAGAATCTGGAGTTTAAGGATGCAGTTGAAGCTGGTGTTGTCCGAGAGATGCATACCGACATTTCCCCATCAATGGCCGGCAAAAAGCGGCATGATGGGTCATCCCTGCTTGCTCAACCCCCTAAACTCACAACATCATGCCATAATTATATTCATCATAAGTCAATTGCAAGACCAAATCTTGAGGTATCATAATTCAAAGCTATGTCTCGATTTGGCAAATTAGTTTCATAAGTTCGGATAAATCGACGGTGCAACACAAGGAATAGCAATGCTACTTATTGTTTGGGTTCGCTAGCCTTTCCATGTTCTCGGCGTCCGAGAATATTATGTTTATTCGAGACTTTGATACAATTGCACTCCCAGGGTTATCATAAGGTTCTTGGTTCCCTTTAATAGCCCACGATCATCTTTGGCACATATGGCTCCTCAAGATAATTGCACTCCTCTTCGATCAAGGTAACTTTGACCCTTCAATAGCCTGATGAAGTATTTGATAATGAAACCTTCGGCCGAGGAGCAAGCACTTTCTTGATAATCGAACTTGGCGTCGTTCAAGAAGTCTAGAAGGGGCTTCAACAAGGAAAGTGAAGTCCCAGTCCTACAACTTTTGAAATCCTTGTAAGAAGAATTTGCTCGTAGGCCTGACCATTGTTCCATGGGAGAATGGTACAACCGAAAGTCCACCTTCTGGGAAATTTTCAATTCAACAACCAGCATTGCGGCCATTGAAAAGGACGGAAAGCACTTGCTCGCAGATTTGAAACCCGAATCTTGGTTTGCGCCAGGAATGCACCGAAGAGAATACATGATCAAAACACCAAACGCGCGCAAAAAGTTAGATCTAGGTAAAGTGGTTTCGTTGCCCAGTGTAATTTTACAGCTTTGGTCAGGAAATTACCAATCCAGAGCAAACGTAAGCAGCTAAGCTATTGTAACAGCATTCCGGTCCATCCATATTTTGTTTCATAGTGTTTGACTGCATTGGGGCCTCAGCTCGGCCATCAAATCAAAGAATCATCATTCTCATCATCCGTATCAATGCCCAATGCCGCTTGAAGCAGATCTAGCTGCTTTTGCAAGCTCTCAGTCTGTTGTCGAACGCTCCTGATTCCGCTTTGAACACCACCAATGATTTGATAGATCTGCTTCTGCTTCTTTCGTGGGAGTGTGTCTATGAGAGGAGTCGCCGGGTGGCCAACGTTTCGAGCTTCAGATTGTGCAGCCATGCTAGTGTTTCGATACGAATTCTCATACGGTGTATGTTGCGTAGCTTGAATCAATTGGGTGCTAGGAGACAGCGAATTCGACCCATCACGGCCCGGCTCTACTTTCGATGTCTGTCCTGTTCCACCCATTCTGCATATGTTCATCGGTGGAGTGGTGGGACCATTTCCCGCGTCTCGTGGATCTGACCCAGCCCGATATAGGATTTGGTGTCGTTCCGTGCTATTGGGAGGGAATTGCTTCTCGTAAACGTAGTTTACTAGTGCAGGTCCATCACTATGTGGTAGGTTGTTTGGAGAAAGGTTGTAGGAGGCGATCGGGTTTGAGGAACCAGGAAGAGCCGTTTGCGTCTCAGGGTAGGTGTGCATGAGGGCTTGAGCTGCTGCTGCTATCGTCGAGGGAGAATCACGCTTGCGCTTCAATGAAGACGAAGGTCGATCCGAATCGGCAAGAGGAGGTGATCGTGTTATGTAAGGCTCTGCCAGCTTGCTTGGGGTGGCCTTGAAGACCACACCCTCTGCTGCTCCAGTCAGTATGGGAATTAGAGGAAGGAGTCGCAGCATACCTGCTGCATCTTTTCTAAGACTACACAGATTCCCTCTTGTGCCCATCTGTTCCCAAGAAATTGGAGTCAGCATGCTTCTTTGAGGTAGTTTCAGGAGTAAAATGCTCCGGGAGTTCTTGGGTATGCGAGCAGAATGTCCCAAGAGCTGCTGGACATTGCTACGAGAGGAATTGATACTCTGAGACGTTGGGACTTGCCTGACAAGTAGCACATGCCCCATGGAACCAGCCTTCCAAAGATACGCAGACAGAGAACCGTCCCACCCCCGAAGCGCAGTGCGTGCATGGTGGATCCCTGATCTGACCCCGCGTCGAGAGTAGAAAAGCTCCCCGAGTCTGCGAGCGCGGGCTTTCCGTCGATTTCTCAGGAGGAAGCTCCTTTCCAGACTGCCATGGTATCGGTCGGACCTCAGGAAGAGCGCGTAGGCCTTCAAGAGCATCTATCCCTGGTTTCCGGGCTTTTGAGGCCGAGTTGTGCGGTGAGCCCGCTGGTGAAGTGGCGTAGAAAGCTGCGCCTGGCGAGCTTGAGGCGAATTCATGGGGCGCATGTTGAGGCAAACCGTTCGGAGGGTTGGCAAAATTATTCTCCAGAGTTGGAGGCATGGTAGAAGAGGTGGTGTGGGGAGGAAAGTTGGACGGGCCCTGGCGGTCGGATTTACGCGCTATCAGCGATTTTGAGACGTCAGATCGGCTCAAAGGAAATTCAGGTTTATTTGTATTCTCCTTTCTACTTATAAACCTAGATTCCACATCCTTCAGAATGTCCCATTTTCTTTCTTTGTCCGATAGCAGCAAAGCCGATATCAGATACTCTTTACCACCATCAATTCGGCTTCTATATCTCTGGGATCATGGTGGTACGAAAGAGGTGTCTTTTGTGGGACTGGACCAATACGGCCAACCTCCCACATGCCATTGAGAAGCTCAACTTCGATGGACCTTTCTCCTCGGTATCAAATTGGAATGCATGGAGCCCGCCTGAGCTGAAGAACCGCCTGCCCTTTCGCCCCACGGTGCGTGGGATAGACCAACTTACAGACTCAAACGAGTGGGGTATGATATCAAACGATGGTCATACTATCATACATTATTTTAACGAGCCAGAGCGAGCTGTAATTTCCCCCAAGAAAGCTGCTGAGATGTGGAGAGAAAAAATGGTTCCATTGAGAAAGGAAAAGGGGAAGAAGATTGTCGGGCCTGGTTGTGCTAGCGATCCGGGGGGAGAGGCGTGGCTTGATGAGTTCATGAAAAGGGTTCAGGAGATGGAAGAACCGCCAGATTATTTGGGCTTGCATTACTATGGCCCGGATGGGGCAGCTGCAATTCAGTACATTGAAAAAATGTATGTTTCAGCATTTTTTTCTGTCCAGGGGTTGTCATTGACAATAAAAAGGCATCAGAAATATCCAGAATACCCAGTCGTGGTCTCTGAGATAGCATCTATTTCTCGAGAAAAGAAAGAGGTCTTTGCTTTTACTGCTCAAGTGGCAAATTGGATGGATGAGTGCCCTTATGTGTTTGAGTATTCGTTCTTTGGCTGTATGGCCAAATGTGCAGATGATTTTGTCAGTCCGGAGGCTCAGCTCATGCATGCTGATGGGAAATTCACACCATTGATGCACAAGCTCATGAATGAGCAGCCCATAGTCAATTTCTGATTAGTGGAATACAGGTCTGGCTACCCTTGAGTTGAATGGAACCTTCATGGCAGGAATTGAGGAGGATCTGGGGTTGCACAACATGCTACGAAGTACTAATCATTCGAGCACTGGTGAGGTGGACGCCATAGTTCAATGTTACATCTATTTCCATTTTAAGGTAGAGAAGGAGAATTCGTTTTGCAGACCCCTGGACCTGGTGGACGGGTCTCGATATGATTACTCATTGTCACCGACCGCTTGAGCCTCCTCCCATTCGGACTCGCTTCTGTGTTTGTCAACCTCGTTTGATTAGTGAGGGCCTCTGATATATAAGCCAATTGAAAGATAGGCTCCCAGATTTCTAGGTACATTCATACAAAGTCTCAATTCTCTTTTGATTTTGCACGTAATGCTATTGTCGGGCTTCAGGGGCTGGCAGTCTGCCCGAAGCCGTTCGATAATTTCAAACACTCTCTAAGGCCGGAAAGGCCTCCGAAAGTTCCTTTGTTATAGATAGGAGAAACTACCTGATCCGTTTTGCTCTCTGATTTTCTTATACCGATTTCTTCCTTGCATTGAATTCCTCGAGTCCAAAATCTGCAATCACCTACGAAATGGGAGTTCCAGAATCTGGCTTGTCAACGTCTTCTGCTGCCAGCGAGGTGACGAGCTCAAAGGATGAAGGGAACCGCGTTGCAGGGGGATTGGAAAGCAATGCTAGTGCTCAGAACCTTGATGTTGAACCAGTGATAGAACAAAAAAAGCCCTTCAAGTTCAAGCTCACCATTTTCATGCTTTGCTTCATCTCTGTGGTGGTTGCAATGGCAAGTCTCTTATCCCTACAAGTTTATTGGGCACTATCTCAAGTCCAATCCAACCCCTTTAGTCAATTCTAATCCGAGATTCGGATGTTAGGACTCGGTCATCGTGGCTTCGATGTTACCGGCAATCACAGTCGCCCTCAAAGGGACGAGCTTAGAAGCATTTTGGGTTGGAATATCCTATCTTTTGGCACAAACTGTTAGTATTGCTTGCCATGGGTCTAGTCTTCTAGCTAACATTTGTTAGGTGACGATCCCCCTCTACGGAACTATTTCAGATATCTTGTGAGTCTCCACATTCGAAATGACCAGGAAAAAAGCGGTCCTGAATCTCACAGCGGTCGGAAATGGGCAATGGTATTTGCGATTCTTGTATTCTTATTTGGCAGTATCCTTTGCGGATCTGCCCAGGATATGAATTGGCTGATTGCCGCACGGGTTGTTCAAGGGCTTGGGGGTGGAGGATGCCTCTCGTTGGCATCTGTCATCATCAGCGACATTACGACTTTGAGGGAGCGTCCAAAGTTCCTCGCTATGGGAGCGTTCGCGTGGGCCTTAGGGATGAATATTGGAGTAAGCTAGTCGGAGGTAGTTTTGAAGTCTTTCCCGCTCACCGTGGAGAATAGGTGCCCGTCGGCGGCGCCATTGGCGAGTTCTCGTCTTGGCGTGTTGTTTTCTGGATCAACATTCCGATCTGTGTCATTGGCACAGCTGGACTCATCTATGCTCTACACCTTTACCAGGAAATATCGTCACTCCGGTCAAAATTAGCGAGAATCGATTACTTGGGGATGGGTATCTTCGTCGCATCTACAACTTTAATGCTCTGCGGCCTCACGACCGGCGGAACGACTCATCCATGGAAGTCCGCCAGCGTCCTTGCTCCTCTGATTCTAGGCTTCACGGGCCTTGGGGTCTTCGTTCTTGTGGAGTGGAAGGTGGCAAAAGCACCAATGGTCCCCATTCGAATCTTCTCAAATCGAACCGCCAATGCAGGGTATTTCGGCGCATTCATACACGGCCTTGTGCTTTGGTCCTTTACATATTATCTGATCATATTTGTCCGTCGAGCTTTCATTGATGAGAGATGGAAGCTGACACTGATTAGTTCCTTGGCGCTCGTCGGGATGCTTTGTTCAAATCTTCAGCGGAGACTCTTCCAGGCAGGCCAGTGCTTCTAATTTCGTTCCCAAATTCCTGTGCTGACATTTCACCAGCGCCCCCCGTAGCACTGAGTGCAGTCTTTTGCAACATCTGGGTCGCCAAAACACTTCGATTTCAGAAAATGACCTGGCCCGCCTGGGTCTTTCTTACATCCGGCACAGGACTTAACGCGCTCATGAAGCCTGACTCGAACGCAGGCATACTATATGGACTCAGAGTAATTGCCGCTACAGGCGGTGGGTGGCTATTCCAATTGCCAATATTTGCAGTCCAGTCAACAACAGTTAATGATGATCTCGGCATCGCCACCGAAGGAATTACCTTTTTTCGAAGCGTCGGCCAGGCATTTGGAGTCGCTATCGGCGGAATTGTATCTTAGAATGAATTCGATCGATATATTAACCGAGCTATCACAGATGGAACCGTACCAAAAGAAAATCTTGTCACTGGTACCCAAGCCGCTGGCGCTTATGAAATTATCGGGACATTTTCCTGAGCATGTCATTTCAGCTTATCGATACGTCTACGCTGATTCTTTGCGGACGGTTTGGTATGTTACTACTTGGATTGCTGCTGCGGGGTTCCTCGTAAGCTTTCTGGTTAAAAATGAGAGCATGGATAGAGGCCAACAATCTAAGCAAGCTTTCAACAGCCAGCACAAGGAAAAGAAGGCAGACGAGGTGTAGAAGCTCGACTTGGATATCTTGGAGAGCAAGATTGAAACACGAAAAGTTGCGTAGATCAGGAGAGGGACTTCTTTCTCGTCTTCTTGAATCAACCAATTCACATCCTTCAGAGCTTTAACTGGTTCTCCATTTATGAGGCCACCGGTATTCACAAGAGATGGCTGGCTGAACTGATTTTCGGGGCCAATTAATTTCAGGGGCCCCTACAACCGGCGGCTTGCAAATCGTCAACAGAAATACTGTGCAAACCACACTTCGTCCTCAGGAAACCTTATTTCAAGGTGCCTCCATACTTTCGAAGACTTATTTTTCGAGCCAACTTTAAATTGAAAAGTCTGAACAGCTCACATAGCTCCAAATGATCCTCCGCCGGATTTGTTGTGCTTCAAGTTCAGCGTTCGAGTACCAACGCAGCTCATGCTACTGAGTCTAAGAGACAAGGAGAAAGGAGCGAGCATGTGCCAGATGCTGTTCAGGAAGGATCGATTGGAGAGCTATAAGCTGGACAAAGCTGAAGCTATATACAAGAGAATTACAGAAGGTTACTAACGGGATAGAGGCAATAATCAGGACCCCACAATCAGACCATCTAATAGCATGAGACTATGGCTCGGATACTTGATAGCATAAGGAAGGGTAAGTTAGGGGGTACGCAAAGAGAAGTCAACTAAAATTCCATATAAATATACAGGAAGCTGATCATTGAAATCAAAGCAAGCACAGCGCCGTCAATCCAAATGTCACCACAACAAATGAGGATACCGCAGAATCTCTCCAACCTTGTGCAGCACCAGTCCTAACTCCACCTGTAGGTGTAGGAGATGATTGCACCTGGGTATTCGGCACAGCCAAAGTAGGTGCGGCACCTCCTCCGCCAAATGTCCGAACAGATGTTGTTGATGCATGCGACGAAGTCGGACCTGTTTTCTTTCCCGATGCTGAGCTCGTCGGGCTTGATCCTCTGCCGGTCCCAGTCTTCGCTGGTGTTGTGGAAAATCCCGAATATGTGGCATTATACGAAGATGCTAGGGCAAGGTAGGAAGCCGGAACTGGTGCAATCGAAGCGCTGTAGGACGAGCACTCTGATGTAGCCATGTCCATATAACCGGATATTGTATCGATGCTGTATGCAGCCTCGCACCAGTCGCATCTACGTTTGCATCAGCAAGGCTGGGTAGAAGGCCATATATTTGGCTATAGGAGCTTACTGCTGTTGAGCTGATATCCCTCCATTCTCACACAAGCACTTCCAGTAAGCTCCCCAATCATCAGCTGTCTGGAAAGAGGAGCACTCGTCTGAAAGTTTGACTGAAGTGTCGCAAACGGTGACCTGATCAAGACCTCCCCAGCAAAAACCGAGATTATCTAATTCGTCACGCTCTTTGATATTTTTGAAAGGTTCTCGTCCTGTTCGGTATCGACGGAGAGCCTCGTGGTATGGAGGAACGGGGGCAGGTGTCTAAGATAAGTAAGATGTTAAAGGCTGTCCATCCAAGATTTGAACCGGTTGAGAATGGGGAAGTTTCTCCCCACAATGACTTACAACGACAGCTGCCTCCAAAGCCACCGCACTCACGATTGCAACGGCTGCGGATGCCCAGAGAAGTGCCTCAGAAACCCGCATTTTTTTTTCCGGGTCTTGGATGTCCACAAAAAATGCTGAAGTCAGCAAGCATATCAACCCACCGCGATAGATATACTTCTGTTCAGCTCTCCTCAGAAGAGCCGGCACATTTTTGTCCGATCTCCCCGTTCATTTAATTTTTTTTTGTGTCTTTGCCGCCTCCTGCTTTCATGGTCATGGCCTGCAGCAGCAAACGCAACTTTCGACGATCTTCGTATTTCGATGGCTGAAAAGTGACAATCATTGGTCGGCAGGGTGGCACAAGCGTGTCCCTTCTTCCTTGAAATTTTATGCTTAATCTTGTCTTGCTCAGCTATTTGTTGAAAGCAGTACTCGCGTTGCTATTTCTGTGGATGGTCTCACGATAGGGGCAAGATCCTCGTTGTGGCTTGAATCCTTCCCCACACTACCCGATGGTCCCGCTTCAAGTTGCCAATAGCATTTGACAAGGAGCGCCACCAAAGCGGCTCGTCAGGAGAAGTTTAATTTTAATAACACGATGTGCGCCTATTCAGTCCAAAGTCTCCAGGTCGGCGTAACTTTATGCCCGTTTGATGTTTCAGCCTTTGCTGGTAGGGCTGTCAGCAATGGATAAATAATGCCCCGCGACATCAATCGCGCTCAATAGGGGTGGGCGCATCAGCTCCAATGGAAATATGGGCACGCAACTTGCAAATAGTCCCACAACACACAAATCTTTGTGCAAAGCTGTTTGGATTTAACAGACAGCTCGGGGATTTCTTTTCAAAGAGTTGGCGAAGGTTCTTGTCTTTTTCTTAACGTTGAGTGTAAAAAATGGTCACCATCACCGTTGGATATATTGCTGGCTTCATTGCTGCAGCAATCTTCGTGAGTGAGTGCACAATGGCGAGTCATGTAAAGTCTTTTGTACGGCCACTAATCCTGCATTCTAGCTCGAATATGGGCCCCGTTGGTCATGACCTTCATCTTGTCAGGCGTTCTGAAAGATAGAAACAGTGCTGCTACCTGGTAAGATAGTTAACGCACGTTATTCAGAGGTTGGCTAACGACTGCCAGGAGCGTTGCAGCTCGATCTCTTGAAAGAACACACTGGCCAGACATTTTGCGTTCCGACAGCGTCAAAACTCATGGGGCTCGCAAAACCGTCGTTCTCCTCACTGCTCTCATTACTGCCATGACAATGTTGATAGCAGTCGCCGGGATAGTCACGCCGCTCGGAATATACCAAACCCTAGCACTGTCAGAAAATGTCCAAACACCTTTCAAGTATCTCCTTGACACTTCCCCGTTTGGCGTCGGGACGCCACCGAGAAGTAACTTCAGCTTCAATCGGATTTGCGCCACCGGTGACCTGCTCACCTCAATGCCTATACCTTGTCCCTTCTCGGATACCATTGCAATAACATCAACAGACGGAAACTGGATCAATGCCTCGTATCCTTACGGCTATGATATCTCAATCCCCAAGACCACTTTAGATATATATTCCAGTGGGGCTGGCAACGACACCACCATCTCAAACTATTTTGACATCCAGTGGAGGCAATATATGATAACGTCTGACCCCAAAAAAATTCTCAACAATGGTTCACTCTATCTTGTGGAAGCATTTCGTGGCATGCAGTCCTTGGGCCTCAACAATGCTATCGAGCCGGTTGAGGGACTGATCGTGGATACTGTGAATGGCGGGATCGGCTTCAGAAATCGTACGTCATAGAAGAGAATTACTTTTCTATAACTGCCCTTATGACTTTCTTTCGAGACAATCTTGTACTATTTCCTGAACAGTCTGCATTGAGCAGTCGCTGACTCTACCGCCGCGCAGACACTGTACCTCCTGGCTTTCAATTGGGCGTTACATGGGAAGAAGACCTTCTTTTCATTGAGCCCGAGACGGTATGCGTCGACACAAATACAACCCTTGATTACACGATTGCTGTAGGCATCAACGCCACGATTCCAATTATTGATCTAGTTCTGACTGACCGTGGAGGCTTCGTGAACATCAACAAGACGTTCCCAGTAGCTAATCTCACCAATCCCCAAGAAAATCAGGACTTATGGACCAGAGCGTACAAGGCGGCATGGATGACTAACGCCTACACGATGGTGTGGTACAACGTCACGAATCCTCACAATTCCGCAACGGGTCAGAGCGCCTTTGCTTACCGGGACACCTTTCTGGGAAAAGAATTTCCTATCGTCGAGTCCTCGACCCAAGGTCTTTATACTTCTTTCGGAATGGACGCCACGTTTAACCAACATTTGAATATCGAAAGTGACGGACCTGGAAATTCTTCAAATCCCGCTGCTGGTGGCCTCCCAAACCCCTTTAAGATATCTAACACCAATTTCACTGATATTGGTTGGTCCTCACTCATTCTTTTGGTCAAAGATGTCGTCTGACAACGAGTAGGTATGCTCTGTGCCGGTGCTGGCGACGGCGACTACGCAAATATCACCAACATTTACGTTCATTGTGCTCTCATGAGAGGTGTAAGTCCCAGATTTCTCAGTGTGCAGCATCTTCGAGTAGCCTGCCAGTTATTGAGTTTGTAGACACGTCTTGAGAATAGACGGCGCGTAAAACTCATTCCGAGCACCGAAACCCCCTTCTTGAGACACTGCTAACCCAAGAATCTAAATTTTAGATACCTCAACGTAAGGATGACGGGTCAGGCATAGTATTTGAGCCCGGGAGCCGATGGTCCCAACCGTTGTACACCTGTGCCAGCTCTGTGAAAGCAACCGTAAAGACCGTCTCGTTCCTTTTCAACGGCACGCACGAGCTCAGCAATCTCAAGGTCAGCAAGGTCCAACCAAAAAATTATTCGGATCCAAGTAGTCTACCTCTTTGGGGAGTTGAGAATACTAACAATGAATACATTCTGGGGGGACTCAGTATGATATGGGGGCTCGTGTCTCCCAAGTACGAAAATCATCCAAATGTGTCGACAGTCCGACAAGAATCTCTTTACCTTACTGGTTATTTCAGCGACATTGGCAACACTGGATTTACTTCCGTGCCTGGCTGGGAAAATCTGCCAGCCAGCGATTTCTATCATCTAGCAATGGAATCTGCATACACTGTCAATTCAAACGCAGGTTCAGCGCTGGATTATACTGGCCAGAACAATATGGCAGTGTGGGCCAGATGGCAGAAACTCTCGAACTCCACTGCGACCGCAGCACTTATCCCAAATCTGATCTTTACAGACTATGCAGCTGCCGCTGTAGTTGGAACCAAGGGGGTTCTCGGTCCTGGCAATGCAGCTGCCCAAAATCTCGTGCCGCTCACAGTCACGCCCACGATCTCCGTGATCAGATACCACTGGGCGTTCGCAATACCAGCTTTCCTGGTTATCGCTGCGCTTATCTTCTTCACAGCAGTCGCTGCGATCGTCATGTTGTGTCGACGCCATAACATCGGCAGATTGCGCATGCACCTCAATCAACTTGCCCCTGGCCGTATCTTCACAGCCTTCCTTTCTCCGGAGCCGGGTGCAATGAGTCTTAGTGCTGAGGCCTGGAATAGAGCCATGGGGAAGCTGGTGATAGACGTCTCGGATGAACACTCTTTGGGTGCTGGCAAGAGCGACATGCCAGAGAAGCCAACCGCTGTGACTGGATATTGAGCTGTATCCGATGAATCTGATGGCGTTGGGGTGGAGTTTCTGGGTGCGAATGGGCATTCAAGAGAGAGGAGTGATGGTGATATAGGAAAGCAGGGATTTTTCAAAGCGCCGCCTTCGGTTACAGGTCGTTGAGTTGTTGTTTTCTCACGATATATATATATATATACACTGTACTAAGTCTTGATGAATGTATTGTCTTTCCCTTTGTTAACCCTCAATTGCTGGTAGGAGTATGCTACACCTATCTCCCCGTATCAAAAAGGTGCTACATGTAGCGGAAAGTTGTAATGGTGGGATGTACAGTACTTGTAGCTCTTCAAAACGCAGGGCATCTGTCACCCGTTTAAGAACTCCGCATCAGGAGTAGTTCTAACATGCGAGAGACAGCGTGTGTAGAGGGTGATGAAGAGAATCATTCTCAAATGGGACAGATATGTAATTCAGTTTGCCTGAATGAGCTTGATCCGCGATAATACCCCATGCTAGGACGGATTTATCAAGCCCCTTTTCTAGTAGACCCGTTAGCGAGAGCGCCTAACGAGCCCGGGCCCACAGGTCTGTGCGCACAGGGCATTTTCCAAGCATTTTCAGGCTTCGCGAATTCGCCTTCAGGGTACTAAATAGTAAAGTCTCTACGTCTACTTGAAGAATATAAGACAACAATAAATAGTTACGACTTAGGATTCGGGATTTGGGAATTAAAATAAGTCAAGTAAAGTTTCATTAATTAATTCTGAGCAGTTTAATTTTTTAATTTTTTAATTATAACTAAAATGCCCTATGCGCACAGACCTGTGCCCCCAGGCTCGTAACTGCAGCCCCTGAGCCTCCTAAATTTAGCGACCGGGCTTCGACGGCCCTTGCCTGGCGAGCCGGGATCGGAGCCCCCACCTCCCGCGCCCTTCCGGATTTTGACATTTCATCTGACACAGTGACATCTCATAACCTTGACGCCAGGTTTTTAAGCATCACAAATCTTCGGACCTTTGACGCACATATATACCACACAAGATTTCATTTTAACCCCGGGTAGAAATCCAAGAGAAATGGACGGAAAGATTGATGTTCTCCTATATGGAGTTGGAGCGTGAGTCTCTCCCCGGAAGCCGCTTTTGACCAGCAAACTGACTCGATCGATCTAGAATTGGCTCTTTTTATGCCTTTATCTTGAATCGAGTTCCGTCCGTTCGGCTAACACTCGTTGCGCGCTCAAATTACGAAGCTGTGAAAGCCAATGTTAGCCTTCCAACCCCCCCCTCTTTTCTCTTTAAATACATTCTCACGTGATGAACACAGGGCATCACACTGAACAGTGACATTCACGGAAAGCATACATTCAGACCATTCAAAGGTATCATTCGCCCTTTTTGGCCGCTTCCGGCAAATAATAACTTGGTCTAGTTGTCAACAACCCCACGGATGTAGCCGGTCACTACGACTACATCGTCTGCGTCAACAAGGCCATCAACCAAGACGCTGTAGCCAAGTCTCTCACTCCCGTTGTTAGTGACACAACAACCATTGTGCTGATCCAAAATGGAGTGGGGAACGAAGATCCCTTCCGAGCACAATTTCCAAACTGCTCCATCCTAAGCTGTGTCGTATGCTCACAACCCCCTTCCCTTCCTACGACCAACCTCAATTAACAACCGATCATAGACATGGGTAGGAGCAACCCAAACCTCGCCCGGAATAGTAACGCACATAAAATCAGAAAACACCGAAATCGGTCTCTTCCCCAACTCCCTTCTCTCCCCAACCCTCGAAGCCACCCGCCTCTCAGACTTCACCGCTCTCCTGAAAGCAGGAAACACCAAATTCGTAGTAGAACCCAACGTCCAGATCCGGCGCTGGGAAAAGGTGGTGTGGAACGTAGCCTGGAACGCCATCACCTCCCTCACGCAGATCGACACACAGACCTGGCTTCACTCGTCTCCCGACGCTATTCCCCTCACCAAAGCACTGATGGAAGAGGTCATTGAAGTTGCAAGGAAATCGGGGGTGCCGATGAGAGATGGACTTGTTGATGAATTGTTTACCAAGATTCTGGCACTGCCGGGCGTGTATACTAGTATGCAGAAAGATGTCGTTGCGAGGAACCCCCTAGAGATCGATGTTATTCTCGGTGTGCCGGTTAGGAAGGCCAGGGAGCTAGGGGTCAAGATTCCGGTGCTGGAGGTTATTTATACGCTTGTTGCGGCCGTGGATTATGGTGTGAGGGAGGGGAAGCTGTTTCCTTAGATTTTGTGTAACCTTAAAAAAAAGTAATTGAAATCGTTTCGTCGGAGCCTGGAGCCTTCAACTCCACAAGGTAATCTTTCGTGTGAAGCGGATCACGAGATCTCAACGGCAGCCTGCAGCATCGAAGCCCCAATGAACTCAGTCGCAAACCGATCAATCAGAAACGAACAAGCCGGACCGAACCAAAGCGCCTGATGACCAACTTCACGACACAACCAACGAAAGGGCTCGTGGTATTAATCAGGCACTACCCGGGTAATACCCATTCCGATCCAAAACTTCCACGCCTCACTGCATATAAACCAACACAAACCAACATTTCCCTCTCTCTCTTCGCCCACTTCCCTCAAATCCTCTCCGAAACATCAAAATGGTACCTCTAGATATCCTTATCATAGGAGCTGGTCCCACCGGCCTAACTCTCGCCCTCGAGCTCGCAGCCCAACCCTGCCCTCCCACTTTCCGCATCATCGAATCAACATCCATCCGCTCTGGCAATAGCCGCGCCTTCGTCTTACAACCACGAACCCTCGAGTTACTAGCTCGCCATGGGATCACTGGTCGGTTCATCGAGCGAGGACGCTTCAATGACGCGATTAGGTTCTATTCCAAGCGCGCTTTCGTTCATGAGTTAAATTTCGGGGAGGCGGGGATGGCGAGGAACACGCAGTTTCCGAATTCGTTAATGATTAGTCAGGCTGATACGGAGAGAGTGTTGGAGGAGGCGTTGAATGGGTATGGTGTTGTTGTCGAGCGAGGCGTGAAAGCAGAGAAAGTTGAGCAAGATGAGGATGGAAGTGGAGTTACGGCCGTGTTGAAGATTGCAGGAAGGGAAAGTGGAGAGGAGAGAGAAGAGGCGCGGTGTAAGTACGTAGTTGGCTGCGACGGCGCTCATTCTGTTGTGAGGAAGACGGCGGGATTGAAATTTGAAGGGGGCGTATATCCGCAGGACTTCGTCTTGGCGGATGTAAAGATGAAATGGGAGCAAAAGTCCTGCCTCTCCTTCTTCTTCGGGAACGGGTTATTGGGTGTGTTCCCGTTGGGGAATGGTATTTTCAGATTGATTGTTTCTCGAGCAAAAGAGAGAGGGAAGGAGGATCAACCAACCTTGAAAGACTTTCAAGATGTGGTGAACGAGATGGTTCCCGGTGAAACAGAGATTTATGATCCACTCTGGATAACGAGATTCAGATTGCATCACCGGATCGTGGATTGTTATAGGAAAGGACGGTGTTTTGTAGCGGGTGACGCAGCGCATATCCACTCTCCAGCTGGCGGGCAAGGAATGAATGCCGGGATGCAAGACGCCATTAACCTAGCTTGGAAGCTCGCCAGTGTCCTGAGAAGCCAGTCTGCTGACGCTCTGCTTGATACCTATGATGTTGAGAGAAGGGAGGTTGGGCTGAAATTGCTGAATGGCACGGATCGAGTGTTTGAGATGTTGGCGTCGAGCAATCCGGTGTGGTTGTATGTGCGAAATACGTTAATATCGTGGGTTGTGCCTTGGGTGATGAGTAATAAGACGGCGATTCAGAACAGGTCTCGCTTTATCTCACAGATGGGGATTAGATATAGGGAGAGTCCGATTGTGGGACAAGTTTCTACTTGGAAGGGAGCGTTGAGGGGTGGAGATCGGGCACCCGATGGAGAATTGAAAGGGCCTGAAGGACAGAGATGGATACTCGGGGTGTGTAGGGGAGTGGGCTTTCACCTCTTGCTGTTCTCTGGGATGGCCGACGCGGCGGTGAGTGATGGGAGACTTGAAGAGATGGGGTCAGACTTTCGCAAGGATGGTAACGAATCAGTGAAGTTTCACAAGATTCTCAGCACCCCAGCTGCGGATAACAATGGAAACGTTGATGAAGAAGGTAAAGTTCATGAGTTGTATGGTTTCAAGGAACCGGGTTATGTTCTCGTACGACCCGATGGGCATATTTCATTCCTTGGACTTCTCAACACAATGGATGAGCTAAAGATATGGGTGAAGAAATAGCCTTCTACATCAAAAAGCCTCCCAGCCGTATTCTAGAAGCAAGATTCTCTGCTCCGTTTTAAATAATACTTCAACAAGTATAGCAATATCAATATAACTTTAAATCCTGGTATTATGGGGTCGGTTTCCGCACCAATTGATCCGTCTTCTGCATGAGCTCTGGGATCTGGAATGGCTTCGCAACAATATCGTCCTTCAATTAGTTAGTAACAGGACAAGGATTAAACTTTTGGATAATTACCATCCCAGACTCAAGGGCTTGTTCCATTTGCTCCATTCTTGTGTTGGCTGTAACGGCAATTATAGGGACTGGTCCAACGATCTTGCCCTCCCTCTCTAAATCTCGGATTCGACGTGTGCATGCCAAGCCATCCATTATTGGCATCTCGAGATCCATCAATATGATCGACAGCTCCATTCGCGGTCCGCTTGAACTACTGTCATTCCAAAGGGTTGTCGTTGAGAGAAAGTCAAGAGCTTCTCCACCTATTTAGGATCAGCACTGGGTCTGAGGGGAAACGACGACTAAAAGGAAGCCTGTTGCTTCCAGTTTTGCCAAGAATCTGGGAGGTGCGGAAACATTTCGCAAGAGAGACATCCGCTTACCATGATTTGCCACATGGACAACGCACCCAGCGCTCCGGAGCTGTTTGCTAAGAACTTTCTGGTTTATCAAATTGTCCTCAACTAGTAAGATATGGTAATTCCGACGGGTTTTGGGAGGCGTAAGAGTCATAGTATCCATCGTGACGTTGATTGTAGATCCATGGCCCATCCGAGAACCAGGTGTACTCGGATTACTGGAGTGCTCTCCGATGACTTTCCGTGCCTTGATGAAGAAAGCAAATGTGCCTACTAGCGCTTAGTCGAGGAATTGCACAAATTGAGGTAAAGGACTTACTTCCAGCACCAGCGGTCGACTCCACCCCTATTTCGCCACCCTGTAGCTCCGTGAGTTCCCGCGAAATAAACAGACCGAGGCCCGACCCTCCATATTGAACCTGCAAAGTGTCAGCACATGCACATTACAATAGGGTATTTTGTTTTTTTGGAAGCACAAACATGTGTACGTGGGCTCGCTTGGCTGAACCTGTGGAATAGCTTCGTCTTCTCTTCCTCATCGAGACCTCTACCCGTGTCTTTGACGGCGAAGTAAAGGTAAACTTGAGGCCCAAATCCCCAATCCGGCGCAAGGGTCAAGTCGTTGTGTGAATTTGAATCCTTTGACGGGAACCATTGAATATGTGGCGCTGACTCCTTTGGGGGTTTTGAGAGGGATGCTCCAAGACTGACCATTATCTCGCGTTTGCTTTCGGAACGAGTAAACTTGATCGCTATGAGGTGGTAAGTCATAGTCTTCTCTAACTCCCCCCCTCTTCATAGGTACTGACCATTTGTCAAAAGATTAATGAAGATTTGTGTCAGCCGGACCGGGTCACAGAAGACCCAGTCAATCTGTGCCTTCTTGTAGGATTCCTCAAGTACGAAAGTCATCTGGATGTCGTCTGCGAGCAACTCCCCTTCGAACATCTTCAATGTTCTTCGCACTGTCGATTCTACTTGGATTTGGATTGGGGTAACGTGAAGCATGGCTGAGTTGAGTTTTGACAACGTTAAAACATCGTCGATGATACGCTTTTGATGTTGAGCGCACAGAACAATCGTTTGGGCCGCATCCAAGTTGCTCTCAACTAGACTTTGGGACATCACTTTCTGATCCGCTGTCTTGAAAGACTGAAATTCGACCAGCGAGTTTGCAATACCATCAGCGCAAAGCATTATTGCACTGAGCGGGTTACGCATTTCGTGTCTGTCGGAAAGTCAGCAGAAATGGCTCTGGCCTCTGTTTGAAAGTTCTAAACTTACGAAGTCATATCGATAAACGTCTCTTGTTGGCGCTTTGCCTCCTCAGCTTGCAGTCGGCTTTGGAACTGGACAGACTCTGCCCATTTGAAGTGGCTGATGTCAGTCGTACATCCGAGAACTTTAGTCAAGTTGCCTTCATCGTCTAGTTGGGGTATGGCCAGAAACAAAATCCAGGTAGTGTCGCGGCGGACTGATTCATTGCTTTCCTGGCTGACCCAAGGTTTTTTGAGACGTAGCTCTGAAGTCACTTCCTCCTTTGCCACAGTCAATCTCTTCCACTGTTCGTGAAAGGTGGGATGATCCTGTTGTTCGATACAATTCAAGATTGACATAGGGTAGTGCTGGGATCTGGGATGTCCTGTCATCTCGTACCCTGCGACTGGTTAATCCGGTGCATCTTCTTGACCTGGGTTCGGGGATAACTCACATTGTGGATTCGCCCAAGTGATCGTTCCTTCCGGGTCAAAGGTAAACATGCCTTGAGACATCAGTTAGGATCAACGCAATCGACTAGGTTATGGCCATACCACAAGGAGCCAGTTCGGCCATTTGCTGAAAATTCCTTTCGTGCTGTGCTGCCTCTTGTGTTCGCAGTGCAAGCTTCTCCACAAGATTTGCCCGTGCCACAGCGCTCTCCTCGGCAAACTTTTGGGCACTGATGTCGGTTCTGCACGAGTCAGTTTCGAGAGTCGGCGTCAGCTGAACACAAAACTTACATGCAACCCATTATGGTTTTGATCCTTCCCTCTTCGTCAAACTCCTGATCTGCCCAGCATATCAGCATTGTGAAATCTAGCAAGCCTGCAAGATCTAGGAGCTGAATAGCGGTCTTTGCTCCCAAGACACACTTCACAAAGCGGCCTGAATGGTCTTGAAATAGATTTCGTAGAAATGAATAGAAAACCTGTCTAGGAATATGCTTACCGCATGAGCACAATATCCACTTTTGCCTAGGCGTTCCCGTTGCTTCATCAATCCAGGGATTTCGCAAACGAAGCGCAAATGACCGCCTGCCTCTCTGAGTGGTGAGGCGGATCCACTCTTCTGTGATGATAGGGTGGTCCAACTCTGAGATGACATTCATGAAAGACCTGCACCAGGTAAGTTGAAGATAACGAGAGCCTCGCTGGGGATACGCACATCTCTCCTTCAAGTCCTCTGGGATGGCCTGTGATTTCGTACCCTTAAAAGTCTCAGTATTTGCAAACATAGGTCCCTCCGAAATACTCACACATGTCATTGCAATAAAGAATGTCTCCTTTGGGATTCAAATAATACATCCCCACAGGGTTGAGCTCTGTGAGAACTCTGAATTTGGACTCGCTATCAGCGAGTTTTTGGTTAAGAGTTAGCTCCTCAGGTAACATATCGGGGTCAATCATGTCAGTTGATGCGCTAGCACCCGTAGAAGTCTCGATTGATCTCGAAGTGGACCGACTTGATCGAGGGGTGGTCCCGTGGCTTGGGTTGCGTTGTTTTGGTACCTGGGATCCACTGACAACTCTCCATCTTCCCCGCAAGGTGGAACTGGTCCAGTACATGCCACGAAAGGCATGCCTGGGAAGGTAGCCATCAGTTGACCCATCGAAGTTGGGCACGCTTGTTGACCATGCCTTAAAATCAGCGTCAGCAGCTGCCGCTGCTTCTTGTTGTTTAGTAGGTGGATGAGAGGTTGGCGGATAGAAGGTTTCAGCCTCGATTACATTTCGCAGGTCATCAAAAAATCTAAGAGAACGGTTGACGAAAACCACTGGCATGCGACCATTCAGGGGCTGGCCCAGAGCGTGCAGGTCGAGGATAAATGTTGGACGACTATCATGCTCCAGCAGCTCTTTGATGCCAATTTCACTCAGAGGTGCGTGTGGCCGACCATTTTCTTGTACTTCTGTATCTGATCTGGATGTTAGTGACCAGCTTGCACGGCTGGGACGAGGCTGGAAATGCGTTACCCTCAGAGGTGGACGTAGAACCTGTCTCTCCATATTCCCCCCTCGCCCTCTTCAGATGGCGATGCACCATTTCTCACGTGTGGAGAACCAGCTGTCCGGAGGCAGTGGGGATGATGCAATGGGGCTCACGCTCGTAGTCTCGGTCGTCATCGGAGAGCGCGGCTCGCGATTCGCGCGGACCTTCCTCCGTCGGATTGATCGGCGCAGGGCATTCAATAGGGCTGGATCGCGTGAATGCAACCCCAGACGCTGCTTCCTCCAAGTCAGATGTGTCGAGATGGCTCTTGCATGGTCAAGAGGACAGGCCCGTGCCGGGGAAAAGTGGTTTGCTCTCGAGGGCTTCCTTTTTGAAGATCCTGCATTCTTGTGGCGCTGTGGCGCTTTCGATTTCCCGTTTTTCGAGCTGTGGTGTCTTGAGTGCACGTGACCAATCGACGATCTGGCGAAGAGGCTCTGAAAACCAAGCCCTTCGTTTCTTCATCGCTGCACGGAGCCATCTCCGATACGGCCGCGGTGCTTCTTCCGCCAAAAGGAAAAGAACCGCGCTTCAGCAGCCGACAGCCTTGCCGGGGCGTGTCATGTTTATCCCGAGAGTTGATCACCATGCCAATCTCAGCGCCAGTGCCGCAAGAGGCTTGTCAGGTACGAAGTGCTGGGAATGTCTCAAGATAGTATCTGCTTCAAGAGAGTTGTGAGCTTACACTGTCAGAATACCATAATATCGCCTGTAGAGAGAAGCCGATCTGTGTGGCCAAGTGATGTTTGCACCCTTCAAACTCTCGACAATAATCGAGGAATCACAACCTTCTCCCCTCTCTCATTACTCTATGGCGAAACCCATCCGCAAATACCCAGGTTCCTCGTTCTATATATGTTCTTGCAGCGAAATTCGGAGTCTTGAGTCCCTGTTGTTCCTCATGCCCCCACACTTCTCTCTATATAGATAGAAGATATCTATCATCAAACTACGTCAATACCAGTCACCTGCAGTGGTTGAACCTACGGTACATACATCTCTCGTAGACAGATAACCTAACCTAAATTAAGGTATGTAGGTAAGATGACCTACCAACAAATTATGACAGGCAATTTAGGTTCAACCTACGACTTACCGCAAACCTAAACCTAAGTAAGCGTTATGGCTAAAAAAAACCTATCATAGGTCACCTAGGTTGCACCTATAAATCCTAACCTAATGCCGAACACTGGTCAGCTATGCTCAAGTATGCGAGTGCTTGATATTGGATGTCTGTACTGTACTTTCAAAATGATTGCGAAGCGTCGGGAACTTAGGGTATCGTTCCCGTTTCCGCACGGAATGGCCGATTTATTACTGAAGTTCATTCGGTTGTTCGAGATCGAGATTGTTGTATTTCAAGCGGCCGAGCTTTCTCCGATGAGTTGCTTGGAGTACCCTCACCCTCACATATACGGACAATCTGAACACGCAATCTTGAGAGGGTGCATATTAATCGGATCAAGTCGTTTTCAAACTCCCGAGGAAAGTCCCCGCGTCTATTAGAGTGCGCCGAAAGTGTGACATAGGAGGGAAGTTGCTCGTGTTAGGCCCATTGAACATTGAACACGTTTTCATTCACGGTGCTTGGTGGTTGGTATTCGGAGTTTATCTTCTCTTGTCACATTAACTCTATCTCCGGGCCCTACAGTTGTGGTTTCTAGGCCTAATGATCAACAACTTGAGTGGATTCTACATCTGAGTACTTCCACGTCAGTGATCGAAGCTCTTCTTATTTAGATATTACTGCATTCCAGGCCGGGACATTACAGACTCTATGGTGGCGCACAGAATCAAACTGATTGGTCGGTTTTTGACAGATGCCCCACTTTGCCCCATGACGGGTGAAAGTCTCCCCGCCAGCCGGCGAATAGACATCATAGATTAACAGAGACGAAATGGAATCTGAATGTTGCTCAAGCATTGCGTTGGTCGAGTTTTACAAATACATAGGTGCTGAATTGGGTCAGTATTTCTCATATAAAACCGGCATTCGCTCACCGCTTCCAAATTCTACCCAGGTCATCAAGCTCTACATCCATTCAACTTAACAACCACTCGATCCTGATTTTAACAAACTTCACACATTCAAGAGTATTCCAAAAGTACCATTATTCTCACAGCCATGTCACCCAAGAAGACTCTCGTCGTCTTCGGAGCAACAGGCAGTCAAGGAGGCTCCGTCATTAAGACCATTCTCGAGGATCGCACACTCAGTTCCCAATTCGAGATTCGAGGTATAGCCAGAGATCCGTCAAAGCCTTCGGCAGCTGCTCTTGCACAGAAAGCAGTCACCCTCGTCAAGGTTCTTCTCCCGTTGGAGTTGATCGTCAATAATTCGTCACATTGATTTCACACTGTCAGCCCGACCTTGATGATAAGCCTTCTTTGACTCACGCCCTGAAAGATGCCTACGCCGTCTCCGCCGTGGCAAACTGGCAAGAAGTCATGAACGAAGAGCGAGATGTCCAGCAAGGAGAGAATGTCGCCGGTGTCGCAAAGGTAAGGCCTCAGACGTCCTTCCCCGTACCCATCATCTAATTTCGACAGAAGCAAAACGTCCAGCACCTAGTCTGGAGCAGCCTCCCTTACGTGTTAAAGAGCATGAACCCAAATCACCCCCCAAGTACCTATAACACAGCTAAAACCTGATTAGTCACCGAAGGCAAAACCACAGGTGTCCTGCACTTTGACAGCAAACCAATCGTGAAAGAATACATCATCTCACTTGGCATCCCTTCACCTCCGTCCACGCTGGCGTCTTCTTCAGCTACCTGCTCTTCTGGCTCAAGCCCGTCTCCCCGTCCCCCTCCCCGACCTCCAAATCCTACAAGTCCTTCCTCCCTCTCACCCAATCCCTCAAACTGCCCATGATTCCCGTCAACTGCGACACAGGAAAATACGTCAAGGCAATCCTCTTGAACCGCGAGAAGGTTCCTCGGGAAACAGACCTCCGTTCCTGAGGGTCATTATAGTCCTGAGGATCTTGTTAAGGCGTTGAAGGAAGTGGGTGGGCTGGGTGTCATGGTGGAGCAAATTACTGAGGCGGAACAACGCAAGCATATGGCTGCCCTAGGGGCTCCGGAGTTTTTGATCGATGATATTGTGGTAATGTGAGGTTTATGCAGGACTATGGGTTCTTCAGTGAGAAGGTTGCTGGAGAGGGGCGCGAGGTGAATTTACTAACTTCGGGACTTGTGTTCGTGGTTGTATTCTTGCTGACTGCATATTAGCTGGTGGGTGAGCACCTGGAAAACTATGAGGAGTGGGTGGCTAAGAGTCCGGAGGTTGCGCCTTAAAGTGATTGGTTGTGAGACCAGTCGTTAGATCAAGCATTGACTTTCTTTAGTTCGCAGCCTAGACTTGAGTTTTGTTTTGCTTCCCTCACTAGTTGTTTGACAGTCATTCCACAGAGAATCCACCTTGCATTCTTGGGTCGAATCACGTGACATAGTATATAAACCTTTCCCCCTCGATGATAAGTTGGGCATTTACAACCTGCCGAGGATTGTAAGCTTCACGCTACTTAAGAAAGTCAATTTCAGTTATCCCTCCGACCAAAACGATTTTGCCCCTAATTTGATAAAAGGGGTTGGTTGCACCAGGATGCCTCGCTAAAACCCCAGATTTCGCTAAACTCGCTTCTATCCTGAAAAAAATTCTGACCGCAGACTTCAAAAATCCAGCAAAATGCCTTGAGCCGCTCCCCGCCTTTAGGATCTCAATTCTAAGAGACCCTCCTTTACCTCACATCGAACCGAGAGAGAGAAAAAGAATAATCACAATCCAACGCACCATGGCGCCCCCAACGTCCCTCCCTTTCACAGAGGACTTCCAAGACGCGGACTCCTACATCTCCTCCCTCCTCTCCTTCTGCGCCGCATCAACCATCTTCCAAACCCTCTGCGGCGGCGTTCATATCCTCGACTTCTTCACCCGCGACCCGAGCCTCTACCACACCGTCATTCCCCAAGAATGGCGCTCCTGGCTGCTGGCACGTGAGTCAATGGACCTCCTCGATCTTCTCATGCGTGATGATCTCTCTGAACCTCGCACCGATGACCCACCGGAAAGCCTGCTCAAATATATCAGAGAAATCAGGAAACATTCTCTTCGCCGAAATTTACCACCGAGAAATGGAAAAGAGAGGAAGCTGCCGAGACATGTGGCGGTAGGCATGATTCCCAAGAAGATCCACGAGGTAGGGAATTTCGCAGATTATGTGGTTCGCGTTGCGGACGATGTGTCTGCCAGTTCTGGGAAAGAGATCACGCATTTCGTTGATTTTGGGAGTGGGCAGAATTACCTAGGACGGACGTTGGCGAGTCCACCGTATAATAAGCACATTATTGCCGTGGAGAGCAAGGAGCTTAATATTAATGGAGCAAAGAGCATGGATGTTCTTGCTGGTGTTGCGGAAAGAGAGAAGGTGATGAGGAATAAGAAGTTGTTTCGAAAGCAGCAGGACAGTATGACGCCTGTGGAGTTGTTGAAGGATAAAGCTGCAAGGAGAATTGCGAAGCCATTGAAGGCGCCGGAGGAGGGGGCCGCGGATTTGAGACCCAGTAAGGATTTGGCTACTATTTATACGCCGGCTGACGGGAAGGGATATATCCAGTATGTGGAGAATATTGTTCAGGATGGCGATTTGTCGAGTGTGGTGGAGCAGATTGAGAAGATGAAACTTGCTGCGCCCCGGGGGGAGTTACAAATCCTGAATGGCGATGCTGAGAGAGCTCAGCCGAAGGCCGAAGTCATTGATGAGATGTCTAGGGACGAGCAGATTCGTTTGATGGCGATCTCTATTCATTCCTGTGGCAACCTATCTCATCACGGGATTCGCTCTCTCCTTCTCAATCCTTCAGTCCACGCCATTGCGATCGTGGGATGCTGCTATAACCTCATGACCGAGCGACTCGGGCCGCCGACGTACAAGTTACCTCTCCTGCGACAGAATCTGCGAGCAATCAATGCCCCACGCGTCACTCGAGAAGCAGCGGCCTGTGATCCCCACGGCTTCCCAATGAGCGAGCGCATAGGCACGTACAATGGCGACGGTCTGAGGCTGAATATCACAGCACGGATGATGGCTGTTCAGGCTCCACAAAATTGGACAGAAAAAGAAAGCGATGCTTTTTTCACACGGCATTTCTATCGGGCTCTGCTGCAGAAGGTCTTCTTTGATTATGGAGTTGTGACAAAGATGAGGCAAAATGCCGATGGAGAGCAGGAGAACGGGTTCGAAAGCACGGAGCCGGTCATCATTGGGTCCCTGAGGAAGGGGTGTTACAGTTCTTTCAAATCATATGTTCGTGGAGCGTTAGAGAAGTTAAGTACAGACCCGGAACGAGGTACGAGGGTTCATGAGAAGATGGGAGGTATCACGGATGAGGCAATTGAGGAGTATGCGCAGCGATATGAGGGCATGAAAAAGGAGCTCAGCGTCACGTGGTCGTTGATGGCGTTCAGTGCTGCAGTGGTGGAAAGTCTGATTGTGGTTGATCGATGGCTATTTCTGAGGGAGCACCCGGACTTAGTGAAGGAATGCTGGGTCGAAGCTGTGTTTGATTACCAGCAGAGTCCGAGGAACTTGGTTGTGGTTGGGATCAAGCGATGAGGAAGTTAGCTCCTTCCGAGTCGAGAAACCGAAGGCTGCTTCCCGAACAGCGTCGCCAGCCGCAGTGCAGAGTCGATATCGCGAGTGGAGCAATTGAAAGCTACTAGCACCGGCGGGCTGGGGAGTTAAGTATCCCATGGCCGCGTCCGTACAATGAAGGGGGCGGCTGATATCGAAAGATGCAGCCACTTGTCACGACTCCCAGCACGCTGAGGAGCAGGAGCTCTTCCCAACTATACTATCTGCGTCTGTCACATGATCTAGCTCAATTTCAGATCGAAGATAATGGGGTCAAAATCTGCAATCTTCCCGTCCCTTCTTTTTGTTTGAGGGACACTGTCCATTGCAAGGTTTGTTACTGGCCATCCATAATATCAACCAACTCCAGAGTAAACTTATATTACCTTTGCAGTCTTGCAGGAAATAATCATAAAAGGCCCTTGTTCTGCTCAATCTTCCTAAATTTGGTAAAATAATCTTTCTAAATTTGTGAGAGTGAATGAGGGTTCGTGCTTCTCGCTCCAGTCTCTGAATATAAAAAGGTTCTTCTACTTTTCTACATCACGACCCCTTCTTGACACAACAACATCTGCTCAACGTTGACGTAGCAAGACATCACCTTCCTGGAGATTCCTCGTGTCAATACATACTCGCCCATTGGGCACTGGACCACTTCTCGACAGTTTCTCCTCGTCAAACAACTTTCTCGATTCGACATACCACGACGCGTCAAGACAAGAACCATCATCTCCGTTTCTGAAGGAACACCAGCCATGGCTATCATAAAATCAAACGCGACCGTGACAGACGCTATGACATCGGATCTTTCTGCGCTCGCAGAAGCAGGTGATAATCCAGTTGAGGTTCAAGGTACGTTTTAGTAGACGCGCAAAGGAGCACTAACCTAATTAAAACAGAGAGTGATAGAGATAACAAACACGTCAAAGTCATAATAAATACGATTCCTACCGAAGTATAGTTGCGAATATTCGGAATGTTATCAACAGCCTCAACTGCTTGCCTGGGCCTGACATGCCGCCGTCTTTATTCCTGCCTCAAGGACCAATACCCTAATCCAATTCTACCTTGCATGTACCGATTGTTACAACATGAGCTGCGGTGGTTTTACTTTAGCTCTGGCTACTTGTGCGGGTGCCAGGAAGCTACTCACAGGCTCGGGTTGGGGCAACGTATCGAGCATTGTGTGGGTCCAGACTATACGTTGATATATCTTGCCGTGGACAGAGATTGGGGTCCAGGACATCCTCTACTTGTTCCTTCAATTGTGTATAGGTGCCCTAAAATATGATTGCCTGGCAGCGTTCGTAGAATTGGGTAGTGTCTGTGTGGTCGAGACTGTGATTGGGTAAGGGCAACAGTAAACACTCCTTTCGGTTTCCACGAACCTGGTTTTGAATCGCGACTTCCAAAGCCCTATAACACGGGTAATGGTTGGTACCCAGCAGCTATGGCAGCAATCAAGACGGATGTGGCTCGATTTGACATTGTCGACGAGTGGAGGATGTTTTGGTATCGCTTCCCAGTCGCTCAACGCAATCCGAAGGACTTTGAAGCCAGTTACAAGGAGGCTTGTTTGGAAGATATGTTTGATGGATCCAGGCAGTGTGTCAAAAAATAATCAAGGCTAATTAATTAGAATTAGTTAGAATTGATTATAATTAAGTATGATTTGATTAGCTTGATTTTTATTATAATTAATTATAATTAACTATAATCATCACGTGATAATACAAAAGTATACTATCTTAGGCATTTTTAAAGATTATTAAATAACTAGTAGCTATAGTAACAAGATATAAATAAAATCTATAAAGCATATATAAGAGTATAAAATTAGTCTAAATCTAAAATAATAAACTAGTTTTTATTACGTGGTACCAGTCACGTGGTGTTATTACACGTGACTTAGCATGTGGCCAGTGCTTCCTTAGCCTGGCAAATAGCTCAATTCAAGCTCTTTACTACTACTATAACATTAATTTATCTTGATAGTTTTCTTCTTTAGAAATCTCTTTCTCTTTTCCCTTCTTATTTTCTTATTTCTTCTTCTTTAATTACTCTAAGGGTTTATTTATAGCTCTTTTATTAGTGGCAAGGAATCACTGGAAAACAAGGAGGTTCTAGCGCCTTTGGCTTCGCTTACTAATTAGCGCTAGGCCTGGTTTAGTAAAGAGCGCCTTTAGTAATACCGAATATGGCTAGCCCAGACCTTATTTTAGCCTTATCTCGGCTTCCGAAGCTCCAGAGTCATGTGTGTAATCACGTGATAAATCTAATTAATTATCTTTGATTATCTTTGATTATAATTAAGTATGATTTGATTAGCTTGATTTTGACTTGATTTGATTTGAGTAGGGGGGTCTAATCAAATCAAACCTAATCATTTGACACACTGGATCCAGGCTCCTGGGTTGTAGAAAGGCAATAGTGCACCATTCATGGGTGTTCCTCTACCTCCGACTTGGGTGACGAAGCTCTGGAAAAACCCTGGCTTTGGGCAACGGAGCATGTGAATCGCCAACGAGAATTGCAGCGATACTAATATTATCGGTCTCTGGGTCTTTTGGCTTTCTGCAGAGTGCGTTCATATAGACGGGGGCTGTGAGGTACAGTAGGGGTGTGTCTCGAGAGCAGGGAAGTTGCGATAATGGGAGCGGCTCGCCAGCAATACACTTTGGGTCTCCATTTCGTATCATATGACACCGTGGTGATGAGAAATTGAGTGAAACCTTGAATTTGAAAACGAAAAAGGCGTAAGATTGATCTTCCCCAGGCCACCTGTGAGGCCTCTACCATCCTGCCCTTCTCGAAGTTCCTGCCCCCATCGGTAGCCCACTCAAACACTTGGAAGATACTCAATAACATCTTGCTCAATTTCTAGGCATAGCAGATGAATGCTGAACTTATCTAACTTCCATGAATACCAAAGCTACAGGCAGGTAGTGGTGAATCGGCTACAGCTTGGACCCCCCCCTTCAAGTCCGTGTAAATAAGGCTGCTCACCATCTACCCTTTTACGTCACGCCCTCTTCTCGACAGAACCTCTCCTCTCTTCTCTAGCCCTTGGAAACGAGCAATTCTGCACAGTACATCTGCATCCTCTTCGAACGAGGGTCCTCCCCCTGATTACAACCATACCTTCTCGTTCCGAAGCAACTTTGGCACAGAAACCGCCCACCTTCGATCAACAGACCACCAATTCCAACATGGAGTCAAATGGAAAAATTATCTCCGCAGACACATCATCAATCTCCATCGCCTTTGAGCAGACTATCAATGCTTCTCTTCGTCCTGCCTTGCCAATAATCCCAACCCAGGGCTGCAGAAATACTCTTGTTCATAGCGAAGAGATGAGCGAGAAGATGGAGGCACCCGCTTTGAATGGCTTTGAACAAATTGGTGGAGCGGCAACATTGCAGCCAACCGGAGAAGGCGAAGTCAATCCCTTGGAGGTACCGACAGACATAGGACATGACATTGAACACGGTCAGGGGCAAGGTATGTTAGTCTCATCCGGAAGGTGAACATTTATCTAATGCAACCAGAGATTGGAGGAACGAGCGAAGTTATCAGATCCAACCTCGATACGATCCTTGTAGAATTGGCCTTACGTGTCTTCGATATGCTGCCAGAGGCTACAGCAGTTTGCCTTGGTTTGACTTGTCGACGTCTTTACTGCTGCCTCAAAAGTGCATACTCCATCCCCATCCGTCTGGATAACTTCGTTAATTATGACTTGGGTTGTAATGGGATTTACGCTTGTGGTCAGTGGGCATGTCTGGGATCGTGCTGTTGCGTCGGTTGGCGCGGCTGGGACCTTCCACCAAATGGCGTTCCGCGTTACCGCCTTTACCTATGGGAGCTTCTGGACGCCTGGATGGGGTCAAAAATACCTGCTTGGATACCTGGCCCTTGAAACGGACGGGATCTTCAGATTTTTCAACCTCGCTGTTCTGTTTGTTCACGATGAACGCTTTGAATACGGTTCGGGGGACAACCACCCTCCGACAATGGTTGGTCCTGTATACTGGAGATACTGTGATTGGGAAGCAGCAAGCAATGATCTTCCTGTGTATGAGGACGACTTCCGCTCACGTCTTCCGAGCCCTTTTAACAAAGGTCAGGACTGGTATCCAGAGGCCACCTCAGCCATTCGTGCCGACATCGCTCGCTTTGAGGTTGTTCGTGAATGGAGAAAGTTCTGGAGGCATCGATGTCGCTTCTTTCGAAAGCACGAGGATGCTTTTAACCAATTTTTTGAGGAGTACTGTCTGGACCAGGCTCTCGACGTGTTCGAGGATAGTTTCAATCTCCTGGGGTTGTAAGCGGCTGATCTCACTGTAGTTTATATTTAGCCCACGACACGCAAGCCGAAGAACGTAGAAGACGTGGAGAAAGGTTGTAGCAATGATTTCCATTGGCTCTTGCCTTCATCCGTGATAGTTGGTATTGCATTTGTGCTGTACATATTTTGACCGCCGTGTTCAGCGGATGAGGATTGGAATCTCTGTCCAGAAAGCACATCACGTAAACCGCCGAGGCAAGAATTGACTTCGCGACGGCCTAATAACGCATGATCTTGACTTATAACCTTCCATGATCCTTGGCCATTGGCCGCTCCTCGAAGTTACCACTTTTTGCTTACTCCTGAAAATGCATCAAAGATTATCGATATTAAAATAATTAATAGGTAAGAAAGGCCACATAATTTCAGATACACCGGGCGATCCATTTTAGTAGATCCGAGAGAAACGGTTTTAAATTCTCAGGACTACTCTAAGTTCAAATGTTCTCGAGTCGACCTTGATTACTTTTCGTGTGCCCCCACAAGGACCCTCAACGTGAGGATGATATGCTCTACCAAACAGTAAATTGAGCGAAACCATAGTTTTTGGATCTTCCCGGATTTCTTTTGCCTTTTTTTCGTGGCACCTTGCTCGCTTAAAAAACCGCTCCTCCCACTTCGTAACACTAAGCGAGCTTTGCAGATCCATCGAAAAACCAACGCGCCTTGATTAAAGCATAGGTGGAGTAACAAGATTCTTATACTGCTAAATTAGAGCAGCAAAAGGTCATATAAGAGTTAGCTCCAGTTACTCCTTCCAGCCAAGCATGCTTGGCTCCCCACCTCTGCACAAATCACCAGGAACTCATGCTACCCCACCCCCTTTTTAAGCGACGCTGCAATTCCAAGTCCCGACGGACAACCTTCAATGGAGCAAATGATGTAAAATTGCCATTCGGGAACAGTGTATCAAATGAATAGAGTAAAATAGAATAATAGCCGTTATTCTATTTTATTCAAGTATAAACCTCGTTATTTATATTTTATTCATATATTATTCAAGTTATTCATGAATATTCATGAATAACTTGAATAACGCACGTGATCTGTGCACGTGATAAGCTAGCTTAATTAGGTAAGGCCTCGGGTGGTCCCGCACCTGGCGCCACCTCACTAGCCAATCAGGTAGTAGTGGCACTTGGTAAGCGAATCGAACCTCAATAATACTTCCAAAACCTCCGTAAATTATAATTATATTAAATTACTAATATAGGAGCTAAAAATTAGAAATTGAAGAACTAGAATCTCCGGACTAAAGCAAACCTTTATAATCAGAAGAATTATAAAGCAGACTTTAGAATATTAGAACTTTCTATAAGAATATATCGTTTTTCTCGAATTCACTTCTTTCTTATATTTTAATTACTTATAAAAAATTAACCATTACTCTTATTATATTACTTTATACTATATATATCCTTATATATACTTAATATACTCGAAAATGTCTCAAGACTCCTTAATCAAGCTTAATATAAATCAAAATCACCCCGATTTCGAATTAAGACTACTTAATAAGCAAGCTTCTCTTTTTAAGAAAGGCTATTTAAAAAAGACGCTAAATCCTATATAAGAGAATATCAAGGACCTCCGTATATATACTATTAAGTATATAATTAGAGGATATTTGTAAGTTAATATATTAATTTTTAATAAATTTTTTACTAACTAATCTAATAGTAAAATATGGCTTAATTAATAAATATATACTTCTATAAGTAATTATTACTCTCATTTTCGGCATTCCCATAGATTTATAGATCTTAAGAATTTTAAAGATAGTAATAATAATAGTAAATTATTTTATTATTAATTAAAAAGAAATATTTACTAATATATTTAATAGATAAAAGTAAAACTTCTAGTCAAGTCTTACAAATAACTATAACTAGCCTTTTTAATAAGTAATCGGGACAATGAGAAGAAAGCTTTATTATTAATTACTTTAAGAGATTATTATTAAATTTTATTATTAATAATAATATCTCTTTTCGGGCTATTACTACTTCAAGCTTTAAAAAGCTAATATCTTATTTAAATTAGTAAGCTTTTATTACCTTATTCTTTATTTATATATATACTAGTATTTAATAGTCAAGTACCTGCTATATACTCGAAGGCTCTTATAGATAAGCTTAAGTTATACTATATTAAAAAGAATTTAAATATTAAAAAAAAGTTAAAAGAGAATATTAATTCTTAAGAAACCTTCTCTATTATTTTAGATACTTGAATAAGTATAAATTAAAAGGCCTTTCTTGGAATTATTATATAAGTTTATATATTTTAATAATTATTAAGTAAAATATATACTAATATATTATAAATACTTTATAAATAAGGATTTTAAATTAAAATCTTATTTATTAGCTATAAAAGATTTAAATAATATATACTCCGGTATTTATATGCTTTCTATTTTATTAGAAGCTTTAAAACAATATAATATTAAATATAATATTACTAGATAAGTAATTTAAATTTAATTTAATTATATAATTACTAATTTTTTTTTATTAGTATTACTCGAGATAATACTGGCTTAAATAATACCTTATTAAAGGCTTTTATAAAGCATTATAATAAGAAAGGTATTAAATTTCAAGGAGATATTCCTTATATAGTTTATATATTAAATCTAGTAGTTCAAGATATTTTAAAAGCTCTTATTAAGAACGATTATAATACTTCTTATTCTATAGATTTATATAAGTAAGAAATAAAAGAACTTGAAGATAGAGAAGAAGAAGAAGGAAAACAAGTAATAAGTAAGTTTCCTATATAATTTATAAGAATTTTATTAATAAATTCTAGATTTATTAATTTAGAGAAAGGTTAGAAAGACTATTATAGGTCTTAAATATAACCAGGAAAACCAATGACTATTAGAAGCTCAGATTAAAGCTTTTAATATAGAAAATACTCGATTCCCTTAACTTAATAAGTAATTAATTCTTTAATTATTAAATTATTAATTAATACTAATTATTTATAGATTAAAAATATAGTAGTCTTCGACTTATTATATATTAAAGAACTTTTTATATATATATAAAGCTATTAAGGTAGTTATTAATAGCTCTAACTTAAAGACTTTTAAAATAAAAGTCTAGTTTTAACTAATATTAAAATTACTTATTTAAATAATATTTTAAATATAATTTCAATATTTATTAAGGCAATAACTAAGTTATAAGCCAAAAACTATTCTACTATATATTATATTATACCTAAAGTATATAAAATATATAATAAATTAGAAAATTTCAAAAAAGAATTTAAAGTAAGTCTTTTCTTAAATTCTTCTTATATTATTAATATTTTTATACTAATATTTAATAGAACAAAGCATTTATAGATACTATAAATAAGAATATAGCTAAACTTCGAAACTATTATCCTAAAACAGGTATTTTAAATAATAAAAATAAAGTTTTATATTTGGCTCTTATTCTTAATCCTCGAATTAAATAAGAAGAATTAACTAGTATTAGCTTATCTAGCGGTATATCTTCGGATATATATAACAGATTAAAGACTAATTATAACATATAAGTACTTCCTTTTATTAGCTTTTAGTATTTTAATAACTAATTTTTAAATTTAGATATAAATATAATTATAATATATCTCAAGCTAGATCCAATACTTCGGATATTAGTATGGCCAATTCCGATTCCGATTCTAGTAGCTCGGATATATATATTATTAATTTGTCCTCTAAAATAGAGAACGAATTAATAACTTATTTAGAAGAAAAAAGAGAAGATAAAAAAATAAGTAAAACTTTACTTAAATTCTATTAAATATCTATCCGATATTCTCTTAATATTTTTTAATATATTAGTACTAATATATATATAGACTAAGCCCTTAGACTATTAGAAGTCTAATACCGCTAGATTCCCTGTATTAGCTTTAATAGCTAGGAAATATTTAGGAATTCCGGCTTCCTCGATAGCTAGTAAGAGGTTTTTTTCTTACGGTGCTCTTATTATATCTAAACTATATAATAAACTTAATAAGAGTACTTTTAAGATAATATCTTGCTCAAAAAGCTGGGGGTTATTTCAAGATAAATTAGAAGAGGCTAAAAAAGAAGAGAAAAACCAAGATTCTGAGGAGTATAATCAGTTTATTATTATAGAAAATTGATATTTAAGTAGCCTTATATAAGTTCTAGCTTAGCTTATATAAGGCTGCTTAATAAGTACCTTAGTTCTTTTTTTTTAAATTTAAATATATGTCGATTTATAATGATCCCGTGACTTCCACGTGATTATTCATGGTTATTCATGTTATTCATGAATAATTATTCTATTTTACTCAAGTTTTTTAAGCTACTCGTTACTTATATTTTATTCAAGTTATTCATGAATATTCATGAATAACTTGGATAACTTGAATAATCCTTTAATACACTGTTCGGGAAGAGGAAAACAATTTTTGGCTAGGGGAAAACATGTGTCATACTGGGTAAATTGTCTACTCTAAAGCTATAGTGGAAGAAATAATATAGTTCTAAAAGAAGGCTATTATATAATTAAAGGGACGGCTGTTATATCGTGGCCCGACGCATGGGATAGGAGTCTAGGACTTGTGCTCAGAGAGCCAGCGAGTGAGGCTAGTTTGGTTGGTTCTCCACCCTCAATTTCTCCTAAAGACTCTCCGTATTTAGCCCAACATAAGCCACAATCTGGTTCGGTGGAAGTAGTCTCTTCTACTCGGCCTACTCGCCCAAGCTCAGATATGAAGGCGAGTGTTCTTGCATTTTCGGCCTGGTAATATTGCTTATCGCCATCAGTATCCAGGTCTCCCGCAAATGTGTCAAATGTGTATTGTGTAGTGCAGAAATTGAAGCAGACGCTGGTCCATCGCAATTGGAGCTCAGGAGGCGACTTACTAAATCTCTTTAAAATAATTTATTTTACTAATTGTCTCTTACGAAGATTGCGGCATAAAGTGACGGGATTACAGGGCATTTACGCTCGCGTAGTAGTCTTAGCGGACTCCAGGGTGTGGTTTAAGGTAATATGCCTGCTATAAGCCTTGTAACTCTAGGCTTAAAGCCCTAAAATAGGACTGTGAGACATCCACAAGGTTATGGAAGATCTTCAAGGTTATAGTGCTGCTGGCAGAGCAACTATAGGGATCGGACGCTATGAGAGTAGCTATTACAAGGCCCCTTTAGGGACTCTGCCCTTGTAAGTACAGGGGATATGCCTTCTAAAGGTGTGGTACCCCTTGTTTATAGTTTATAGCGTGCTTATAGGGGAGTAGCCTGGAAATATAGGGGCTTTAGTAGGTGAGTGTGGTAGAAAGCGGCCTGAACGTGAACCCGCTGTACAGATGCCCGGTTATCTCGTTATTATACTTTATGCCGCAATCTTCGTATACCTATTTCTGCTAATTTTCCTAAAACAAGTAGTAATTGTGACGGCGGGATCAATGCAATGGTCGAAGGCTCAAAGTTCAAAGAATCTCATGTATTGGAAAATACTAAGCTATGGAACAAAGTAGGGAGGATGCCTCGACCTTTAGTATTATTCCGTCCAAGCAATTCCGGCTTAGCTTCGTTTTGTGCCTGTTTCCGATATCCTGTCCTTGGCAGATCATGCCCTTACGCCAGCCGTCACACTTCTCTTAGTAAACCTCTTATTCTATATAATTTCATTTTTAGTAAACTAATTATTAGTAGGCTTAATAGTAATAGAAAAAGGCAAAAATTAGGTATTTAAAATATATATTCCTGAAATAATAATAATAAAATATTATTCTATATAGCTATAAATATACTAGTATAATATATATAGAAATAGAAAGAAATAAAGAATTAAAAGATATAATAAATAAATTAAAAAGAAATATAATAAATTAATAAAAGAATTAGTAAAATCTATAATATTATAGAATATAATATAAATAAATAAGATATAATAATATAAAGAAATAAGAATTAAGAATATATTTTTAATAAGGCTATATTATAATATATAGAATAATTTCAAAATAAAAGAAAGTATATAAAAATAAAGATATATTTAGAATATATTAGTAAATTTATTAGTTTTAGCCTCTTTTAAGGCCGAGATTCTAATATTATATAATTATTAAATCGGGACCTATTATAAATCCCGAATTATATTTAATCTTTTATTATTAAATAGGCTTATCTAATTAGGTAATTAGAGAGCTAATTAAGCTATTACTTATATTAGGAAATAGGCTTTTATATTACTAATATTAGAAAAAATAGCTATAATTACCGAATTTAATATAAATATTCTTAATAAGCTAAATAATATATATAATAAATTCTTAAAATAAAAAACCTTTATTAGAAATAGAATTAAACTAGAATTAACTAAAGAGAAACTAAAGAACTATTAAGCTAATAATAGAAAATTCGAAAATATTATTAAAGGCATTACTAAAGGCAAATAAAAGAAGCTTAATAAGATTAAGATTATAATAAATAGTTTAGAAACCAAGAATTAGAATAGAATTATATTATATAATAAAGCCTTTAACTAATATATTAATAATATCTATAATAACCTTAATAAAAATATTTATAAAAAGTTATATTTCCTTTTTAAAATAAAAGCTTTAGTATATAAGGCTATTTAATTAATTAATAAAGCTATTTTGAAATATATTAAAAATAAAAAATATTAGAATATTAGTATATATTATAGTATGTATTACGTATACGGCTAGTTACGTAATATATACTATACTCTTATATAGTAGAATAGCTAATAAGGCTTCTAACCTTATTATTATACCTTTTAATCTAATTACCTATATAGTAAAGCTATTTCCCTATATATACGTCTATTAGTCTAAGCGACTCGTAATAGTATATTTACTAAATTAGATATTATTAAGGTATTTAAGTATATTAAAACTATTTTAAAACCTAAAGAATTAGTTTTTAAGCTATTATTAGCTAATAATCTTAAGGCTAGATAATATATTTTTAATATTTCCGGAATCTTTATTAAAGAATATTATAATAATAAATCTTTCTCTAACTTCTATAATAAGCCTAGAAAATAGGCCTTTATTATAATTTTAATAGTAATTTAATTAGATCTAACTAATAAAACTAAAACTAAACTAATAAAACCTATTATTAATATTAATAATAAAACTATTTAAGAATCTAGTAAAAAAAAGAATAAACTAAATCTAAAACTTCTAATAAATAATACAGATTTAAATACTAGTCTAAATATAAGATTAGTAATATAATAAGAAATAAAATAAAGAAAAGTAAAAAAGAGATATTATCTAGAAAGCTAAAAACTAAAAAAAAAAAGAATATTAATAATATTAATAATATATCTAAGTATTATACTTATAAGATATTAGCTAAATAGAAATTAATACTTAATTATTAAAATAACTATATCTTTAAAAAGTTATATAATAGTATTCTGGAACTTATTTGTAAATAAAAATATTATAGAATTATTAATAGATTTTTTAAAACTTTTTATAAAATATATCTTTAGTAATTTACTAATGTTTTTTCTATTTAAATAATTAATATTAAGCTTATAAATATTTTAAAAATAGTTATTAAAATCTATAAAGTTATTAAAAATAAGAAATATATTTCTATTATTTAGATATATAAGAAAATATAGGATTTCTTTTTAGAAAATAAAGAAATTATAAACTATAAATATAAATATCGGATTTTTAATTAATTTTATTCGAATTTATAGTTCTAATTTAATACTATAGCTTCTATTCCTAAATTTAGTACCTTTAATCTAAATATAAATAGCTATATTTATAAAAAGAATTACCTAAAATAAATTAAAATACTTAATATCTAAAAGCTTTTAATAAAGAAAATAGAAATATTATAATTTCATTTCTAAAAAAACAAAATATCGAAATCTAGAAATCTAGATAATAGCTATTTTATTTTAGTTTTTTAATTCTTAATAGCAGATCTTTTAATATAACTTGGATTTTATAAAATATTAGCTAAATATTTTATTTATCTAATTATTTACTCTTAGCTAGCCCGATATTATATTTCTAGAAATATTAATTACTATTAGTATAAAGGAAATACTAAGAATCTGGCTATTATTAAAGCTCTAAATAGTAAGTTTTTTTTAGTAAGGAAAATCGGAATATTAGCTATATTTTCTTTATAAACTATAAGAAGGTAGTTTCTTTTAATAAAAAAGTTCTTAAGAGTATTAATTACTTTTCTATCTATAATAATTTCAATTTAGAAAATATAAAGAAGTTAAATAAATATCTAATAAAGAAAGAAGGAGAAAAGTATTTAAGTATAGTAAACTTAACTAAATAAATAGATATTTTTAGCTAGATAATTTATAAATTTGGAATTATAATTAAAGAATAATTAAAGAATAGCTTAATAATAATCTATTATTTAAAAAGTCTTTTATTATAATTCTAATAAGCCTAATTACTATTTAGAATAGAATATATAAAAATAGAGTTTTCTATAAAGTTATTAAAGCTTTTTATTAAAAGCTTTCTTTTTTTACTAAAGGCTAATTTAAGAATACTAAGAATAATACGAAATTTAAAGAAGCTATTTATTTGGAATATATTAGTATAATATATAATATAATTCGCTATAATAAGCTATTTTAGTATCTAGCTATAAAGGTTAAGACTAACTAATAATTAAAGGCAAATACTAAGTAGTAAAGAGAACTATATTATATTTAGTATAAGAATATAATTAAGCTGGTTTGGATTACTTTTAAGTAAGTTCGAGAGTATGAAATAAGACTATTTAAGGGTAATAGATTATATTTTCGGTATATTAAAAAGAAATTAGAAATGCTAGTAGAGGAGAATCCTAACTATTTTATTATTTTGGATTCTGAATAGGGATTTTCTATTAGTTTTTGGTATTTAGGGGACAAGTATAAATAAATAGGGGATCAGATATAGTACGGCAAGCCATACTCTATTAAAAATCGCTTTATTTTAATAGTTTTAATATTTTGGTTATATAATAAAGGCTAGAGCCTTTTATATATAACTTGCGGAAATCATATAAGAAAGCTGGCTTTTCTATAGTTCTAGATAAGAATCTCTCCTTTATATTCAATTAACTGAGCTTTTGTATACTATATACTATTTATGCTTTACTATTTATGCCTTTGATCTTGTTGTTTTACTATCAAGTCACGTTTTGCGCTCTGGTGTACTTTATGTGGGTTTTTGTCTTGTCGCAGTTTCCCTCCCACAATATCCAGAAAGTAATGCGAATATAGTGGTTGGCTGCGGGCCGACCCCTACCAATATCTAGGTAATCTCATTGCTATAATTTGGCTTCTTTCTCTTTCCTGTACTAATTATTAGTATCTATATAGTTAATATATCCGTATACTCTATTAATCCTGGTCGTCGATTCTATCGCTCGGGGTTACCTTCCAATTAACTAGTATAGCCAGAAGTTAGACCTAAAGGGTCTTCTCACCTCGACCCATTATCCATAGATAACAAAAGAAATGTGGGCCCAACGCCCCGCATAGGCGTTTACCGTATATAGAGACTGAGAATACGGCTTAGTTTGCAAGCAGGCCTTGGTTAAGATACGTTACGATTTCAAAGACGTATTGACCAGGAGCATTTCCCTTTTCCCCTAATAGAGGGCTCCTTTTATTATTGATACATACCGCCTAGAGAGCGCCTGTTATAAGTTGCCGTATTGATTAACCCACAAATGGTGGGCATATCATGCTCCTACAGTTCCGCCTGTCTTTCAGGACTAGCCGTGAAAATTCTTTCCATTTGAAGTACCTAGAAAGGTCTGTGGAGCCTTTTAGGCGTCGACTATAAATGTTGGAGTCCTGGAAAACTGGTTCGATTCCCCCGCACAAGGAGTGCCATAATGCCACCCATCGTGAACATTTAGTGCTGCCATACTGCTCTTCAGACGAGTCCTCTATACGAGCAAGTCGGTGAATATCATTAAAGAACTCGGCATTATAATTCTCCGCACTCCGTAAAGCCCGGAAGCTTGTGGTTATAATGACATCGAATATCGTACCCGATATCTTTGCTTCCCGAGAAGCGATGAGCTTGAAATCAGTTAATATATCCAAGGCCGTATTAAACAGTTTGAGATCGCTCAAACGATTTTCGAGCATAACTCCCCCAAAACCCTTAGCCGTCCAATTTGGGATATATGAGGGGAGTTTGGGATTTCGGGGTTCAAACAAATGGCTAAGAAACTCGAGCGTGCCTGTTCGCTCGGTTGACTTGATCACAACAGCCTGACATACTTCTTCGGGCGAGAGCGTATAATCCGGTTCCACAAGGTCCGTATATACACCAGTTCCTAAGCCCAGTAGGCCATACACTTTGTCCCGTGGATCAGTAACTTCTCGTCCGCAAAAGGTTGCTATTGCAGCGAGTATGCTATATGAGGGTCCTCTGGCCTTGGTGATGAAGTCCAAACGAGCTGGTTGAGTGAAGGCATCGTGCACGGTCAACCCAAGTTCAGTTGAAATTTGCTCCGAGTCCCATATTGTGCAACCTGCGCAGCACCGAGTCCTGTGACTCCAGAAATTTGCTACGGCCATGGACATTGTTTCGCCAGTAATGGAGCTCTTGCTGCATTGGTAGACCAATCTTTGAGAGAGGACGAGTTCCCGAACAGTCCATGTGCGATTCCACCAAGGGAACCCAAATAAACGGACGAGGTGGCCACGAAGCTCGACAGAACTCAAAGAGAGTCCATTCACAGAAATACTTGGCTCCAGCAAGGGATCCAAATGAAGAGTTTCATTGCCAGCCAGGCTGGCCAAAAATTCTAGTGCCATATCACTCCCATCCCACCCTTCACCGAGCCAAACCACAACTTGTGAAGCTTGACCGTAAATGGATCTCATTCGGGAAACCTGATGCTTTCTTTCCGTTATATCGTCCTGATTTATACAGAGTGCATCGACCTCGCCGAGAAACCCCAAAAAGTCACCACCCCCGGCAGATCCTCGGCCCCGCCAAGACCCTTGCCTAAGGTAATTAACGTTTCGACCTCCCCATTCCCCTTACCCCCACCACCCAGGGGGCGATAAATACTTTAAAAAAGTAAATATAAGTTTACCTATTACATAGTTTCGTGCTACGCCCATTAGGCTGCTCCTCACCTGCTCATCCTCAGCAGCCTGCGTAAGGCTGTCGCGCCCGGCGGGCCCGGCTGGTATTTATTGTTTGTGCTCACCGGGTAGAGAAGCGATTGTCGAACGAGTTGTTCAATTTTGTTCAATATTCGACCATTCTTCCCCTTGAATATAACTTCGATACATTTCTGCAAAACCTTGTTCCTCCGGAAACGATGGATGACTATCTATTTCGATTCAACATCGAGAAGTGCAGATATATTAATGAGGAGACTCGATGCTTAGAGATGTTTAATTATTCAGTGAGTCTATTTCAACCCTCAGTACGACGACTGACCGGGGTGTACTAGGACCCTCTTTATGACACTGTGGTTGAGCAATCGCTACCACTCAATCAATTTACTGATTTCCTCTCGCAGAAGGTATGTTGCCTTTGAAATTTCTCAAGCCCCGTTCTAAAGCATAAACAGGGAGCGTTTGAGCAACCGAAAATTCCAGATGGTATGACTCAGCTTGCTGGTTTTAGAATGATGTTTGTCGATAGACCCTGATGACTTTAATGAGAAGGCTGACAACTCAGTCTGCAACAAAATGTACTACACCCCGAAGTTTTCGACCCCTCCGTCATTAGCCTCCCACCTGATATATACTCTAAAATGATGACCGAGTTGCATCTTCCTTACAAAGGTATAGAAGGATCAAGCACTGTGGGCCCATTCTTCTGGTCTGCAATCGATGATGATGACAAGCACATCTTCCGTATGTGAATCTCTACAGGAGAAACACTTCGTTCCAATCCTCTAATTATCTTTTGGTTTGAACAAGCTGACAAGTGCTTCTCAGAAATCATATATCGTAAATCCGATGTTACAAAGAAAGTCCATACCAGGGCCTGGGAGCTCCTGTTATCGTTTAATGTGCTAACAGGCATCACTACGGCATTCTGCAAAGCAAGCCCAAAGTCGCACATTATTGATAGCATTAAACATCTCAAAGCATCGTCCCAGCAAATCGGTCATCCTATACTCTTTCCCATCATCATCTTTAGCCACTATTACTCGGCGAGGTTAGAAGTCCAGCAACGAGATGCAAGACTCGGGTTGCGCAAGATCGAAATGGCTCTTAATTTTATACCGGATAAGTATGAAAGTGAACTTGTCGTGGGCGGCATGGTGGTTGAAAACAGCGACGATTATTTCGACGAGAATAAGATTATTGACTTTGATCGTATTAATAGAGATCTGGTCGAGACACACACCAAAACACTGTCGCACAGTCCAGCTGCTTATCTACGAGTACTAGATGGGTTCAAAGAGGCTATGAATTTATTTGAGATGCAAAGGGTTGCCATTCAGTGCAAGTGGCCAGAGCTTACTCATTCCAAATTCGCATCCCGCATCGGTTTCTACCGAAAGAAGGTACAGGGTCAAGGATATTACCAGTCTAGCACCCTGCAAAGGTTGGAGGCTCAGCGGAATGCCGTAAGTTGTTTTCTTCATAATGATAAACTCGAATTTGGGATGTAGCTGCTAATTGATTTGATGGCAGCTCTCTGTGTCCTGCGGACAAATAGATAATAGAGTGAGCTTTCAAATAGCTGAAGCTCAGACGAAGCTAGCCTATTCAAACAAACGAGAAGCTGTATCGCAAAAAGTGATTGCGATACTGGGAACGGTATTTCTTCCAGGCGCCTATCTGTCCGTATGTTATGTCTCCAAAATGTCCCTCACCCATCCCCAAATCAACAGTAACACTTTCCTAGTCACTGTTCAGCATGACATTCTTCGACTGGCAATCAAGCAAGTCTAACGAACTTTACGTGTCGCCACTCTTCTGGATCTACTGGGCCATATCGATCCCTCTGACAATCGCCGTCGTCGGCACTTACATTCTATGGGACCGGAGACTGTCCATAAAGGCACACAAAGAAGACGAAATGATCGAAATACGGATGCTAGATATGAAGAGAATTTCTCAAAATCAAGCTGTAACGAGCAGGAGTGTTGTAAATGGTTGCATCCAGAGAGCCTAATGAGAGGGTGGCTTATGAACGAGTTTCAATGATTCTATAATTGTTGAATCCCGCTGTATTTTACAACACTCTCCCGAAGCGAGTCGAATATAGTAGTAATTGCGAGACAAGACAATTGGGAGGATTAAGCTTAGGGTTCAGTTGTTTCATATCAATACGCCTCGCGATCCTTTCCGAATTCTAGAGCTCAAGGTGGACGGATGCACAGGGAGTAGGAATTATTCTGTCAATTTAAGTCAGTCCTAGAGCCGCTTTAGCTACCTCTAATTATATTACTGTTCTATATAGTACTACCTGCAAATTGGTAAGGCTAGCGAAGGGAAATTCGCACGCTTTAATAATAAAAATATAACTATACTAGCTTTAATCTTAGCCTTAACTTTAATCTTAACCTCTTTCTAAAAATAACTTTAATTCTAATATATAATATTATTAAAGCTTTTTTTTATTAAAAATATATTAAAGATAGCTTTAAATAATAGTTCTAGTAAAGATAAAAGTAGTAGAAAAAATAATAAAGCTATAAATAAATAAAAAGATAATATTTATAATATATTTTTTAATAATCTAGACTCAGTTTATAATATTCTTTTCTATTAATATATTTAATTAATAAACTTTTTTATTTCTTAATCTCTTTTTTATATATAACTTTCTTTTTTACCTTTTTCTCTTTTATAATAATATTTTAATCTTCTTATATTATCTAATAATACTACTAAAGTTAGAGAAATAGAACTATATTAGGATAGGAAACTAAAGAAATTAGAAAAAGATAAGATAAATCTAAAAGCAAGCTTAGTATATATTTATAAAACCGAATTCTTTTAAGCTTATATTACTTATAATAATAAAAAGAAACCGAGAGGCCCTTTTAAATACTATATAGTTATAGAAAAAAAATTCAATAATATTTATATAAATTATAAATATAATAATAATAGTAAAGTCTATATTTTCTATTAATTTAATACTAATTCTACTAAGTCTAGAAAGCCTTATTTTATATTTATAAAACTTTTTATATTAAAGCCTCGATTACCTATAAAATATAGAAAGCAAATATAAAAATAGATATAAGATTAGAAGATAATAAGGAAGGAGATTATAGTAGAGGAGGATAAGGATACTAGAAGAGAAGGAAATAAAGAAGATATAGATAATTCGAGTAATATAGGTAGTACGGAGGATATAGAGAGTAAGGGAGATAGAGATATGTCTTGTAATCCATAGGATTTGCCTTACGGACCACGTAAGCTAAGGGGGGACTAAGAGTAGTTAAGAATAAGGCGTATATGCTGTACTTTTTTTTTTTTAGTGAGGTATAGGGGGGGGATGCGGGCGCGAAAATCAAAAAATCAGAAAATCACTTTTCGCTTCTCGGTTTTGTCGACTAGCCCGCTAATGGCCTCAGTACACTGACCAGGATATTCCTAAAGGAAGCCATATTCACTTCCACGAAGAACATCTTGCATTTGGACAGAGCTCTGAATAAGATAACTGACCAGTCATTGGATCTGCCGGAAGACGGGTAAATGATGCGTTGTTTGATTTGAGTGTATAGACCTTCGGCAAGGGATTAGTTCTTGGGAGAGATCTTAGGTCCGTTTTCGCCCCACAACTACATGTTTTTGGCAACCAAAAATTGTGTTTGGCATTGGGTAGCCTACCAGTTGATCCCCAGCCTCAAGCAGTCTCGACAAGAGTGACAGATTACTCGCCGTCAAGGGATGAATGCGTAGCTTGCCCGATATCTACCAGAGTGTGATTCCATTCTCCATGTGTAAAGCTTAGAACCCGATGGCAAGGTTGCTCGAATATTCTTACGGATAAATGGAACTGAAAAAGCGAACTAGGAAGCCGTCGGCATTGTGGTACTAATGTTCCTCAACCAACCAAGGGGAGGGGAGATCGCGCCAGCTTCATCTAGTCAAGTAGTCACACAGCTAGGAAGTTGTCAAGTTTTGGTTTGGCCCGGAAAGCTTCAAGGTCTAAAATTTCCACATCAATTGACTCGAGATTGAAACGTCCGCCTCACGTGGATCTCACTACCGCCAAAAAAAACATAATCTGGAGCAAGAAATCGTTCCAACCAATTCCCTAAGGATGTTCTAGATAAACAGCAGAAGCAAAAAAAAGCCAGAAAAGTTGCCAGGGCCACTTTTGCTAATCTCCGAGTCAACGATACCACTGAGATAAAGGAGGGTTCCATTATATAGGCAGCTGATGCAAAGAACCAATCAACTGCTAGCAAAGAATTAGGAGAGATGTAAATACAGTATACTTGCACTCCTCAAGATCCCAGATTCCCGGTATGAACTTGTATGTATCGAAACCGATTGCGATGAAAGCTGAAAAGCAAGGAGAATGTGACACGGAAGTAGACATTGATAGAGACACAAACAAACAAACAATAAACTCGTACATGTTATTATTATTATTACTGAAGTCATGAGGTTATGAACACTTGTGATCACGGTAGAGATAGATGTTTATTGGGTTCAAGCAGCAGAGTAGGGTTGCAGCCACGGTGGTTCGCAAGTATCAACACCAAGCGGTTTAATGGGATGTGATATTCGCGTTCACGGCGAGGGGGAGGTGGTTCGTATACTACAAGAGTTGCGATCACTCAGTTCATCGACTCTCGCTTCCCTCCCTGCCAAAGTAGGATCATATTTAGGATTTTAATATATACACCATATTTGCAGTCAGCGCACTGACCCGACGTCTCTGTCCCTAGCACTATCACTACCACTTGGTCAGCCAGAGTAGGAAGAGAGGCCGCAAGCGCCGAATAGAGGACTCCTCTTTCCAAAGCTCCCTTCTTATTTAACATCTCATGATTCATTGCACAGAGCTTCAACACGCAGTAATACTCAAACTAATCTGCCACAACGTCAGGAAAACTCCATCATATTATAGGACATTGATTTATCAAGGAACCGACATGCCATGCCACTCAGGGTATACTCGACCTCTTGCTTAAAAAAATGATAAAAGCAAAACCCCGAACCGACGTCACATTGAGAAAACGCGCCCAGATAACCCCAATGTACCACAACTTTGGAAACATTTGAGTCGATGTGCGACAGAACGCTGACCTCCAAGACCCTCCTCCCTCCTTAACAAACAATCTTATTCGTACCTGAGCCACCACCTCGAGAACATCGAGTTCGATGGCTCAAGGGACGAGCCGAGGGTCCTGCATTGAAAAGCATAGCTCAAACCCCATCTGAATCCAAGCCTCAGATCGTTCGATTACCCACAGACCTTCCCCCCCAGACTTCCAGGGACACTTGTAGAGGAACGGAGGCTCGCAGACGGCGAGGATCGACGCGGGAAGGATTTAGGTGTTTGCTGCTGCTCGTTTCGAAGACTGATTCGGAGCGGGTACATTTTGTAGACACCTCTTTCTTCTGAACGTAGTCTTTGTTTAGAATTTTTCAGGGGGCTGGGAAGGAGTACTTCGAGGAGGGAAAGACATGTCCACGGGGCTGCCTGGCTCCGCACTGGCACTACGACCTCTGCCTTCCGAACTTTTCGATATGAAGGATCGAGTGCGTTGCTTGACGACCTCTCTTTGATCGTTCTGAGAGATGTCCCCGGGTGTCTCACAGCGCTCGACGTCATGAGTGGGAAAGCCGTTCGGTCCACGAAACGAAAGGAACCGTCGAAAAGGAGAAGCCCTCAAAAGCGTTCTGGTACTGCGCTGCTCGAACTCAGTTGGCCTGCATCGATGTCAACGCCCACCGAGTCATCGCAGCAACGTTCCAATCAGGGGCAACCCCCCAGCGCAGTTCCCAGCCAAATCCTAATCCCAAGCTTCCATGCATAATCAATTACATTACGCTAACATTATAATCCAACAACAATCACTTACTCCTAGACAAAGTAGTTGTCTCTACTATCACGCTCGCATCTTACTTGACAGGAACTCGGCCAGAATTCCCACCCGAAGCACCGAAGGGGGGCACGCGATGAAGGCTGTCAGCCCTCGCTTACGAATAACGAAGGAACAGTTCTGACTAGCGAGTGTACTAAGTTTACTCGCCGCATCCATCATAACTCGATTCCCAATTTGGGATGCAGGAGATATTGATAGAGGGGAGTGCGGCGAAGCTCCCTCGTCTGCAATCTGCTTAGAAGTAGATGAGGGTATGGCACACTTCGTGAGAACCAACTAGAGAGCTCGTGAGAGACAGAGAAATGGGAGAAGCTTTTGATAGGAGGAAAATTACGTTACTTGAAGGCTGTGCCAGTGGCACAGTGCAGCGCAGCCAAGCAGCTACTTACTGGAGAACCTAGCAAGTTGAGTTATGACAGAAAGAAGATGGTTGGAACTGGCGGTTAGCCCCTCGTAAACGCGCGAGTGATGAATCATGGGCGTGTGTGAGAAGGATGTGAGAAACTGCGGCGTAGCAACAACAGGCCTTGGAGCCTGTCTAAGCCGAATACGGCAGTTGGGCTTGGTATTGTCTTGAGAGTGGAGGTGGTGGGGAGCAACTTAGGTAGCAAGTCGATACAGATTCTGTGTAACCTCGCTTGAGGTTGCGAGTGAGTTTGTTGTAAAAAGATTTGTGCAGAATGACTTTCATGTTGGCGAATGCTGGAAACAGAGTTGGGATCGGGTACCGAGAGGATTGTTGGCGAGGGGAAGGGGAATTGTGAGCATTGAGCAATTTTCAAACGACTTGTTTCCAGCACTGAGAAAAGGCTCGGCAGTCAGTTGTTCCTCGGTGATGATGTGAGTCCAAACTGCCAACTTGCCAAGGCAATAGTTCGTGATGGGAGCCGATATTGGAAGGTTGAAGCTGTTTCTGGCGGATGTTAGAGCCCCACAGGAAGGTAAGACAGCGTCTCTAACGCCCATCTCCCAAATCCCCTTCAAGGAGCTTTCTATTTCGATTCTCGTATGGCATGCCGTACTCGTAAAGCAAACCTGCTGGCATCCACCAAACCTCCGAGTCTGTATGAGATCACATACGGAGGCATTTCGGCCC